ATGGCTTGGTTTGAGGTAGAAATGTAATCACTTTGTGTCTCCCTCTTTTGGCATATATGGAAAAGGGAAGAGGGGTTCATAAAGCTGTCTAGAAAATGCTTGGTCTTTGAAAAAAGGGACAACACCAACCAACACAGAATAGAAACATAACAGGTAAGTTTCTAATGGTGGCCAAAACTGTATGCTACAGTAGAGAAAAATAAATAAAAAAAGCTGGACTGTATTTTAACCATAAAGTGATAGAGGTCCATAGCATTGGTTTAGGTACCAGTGTTCAATATTCTGCACTTCTATCACTGCCTTCCGAATTCATGTTGGTTTCTGTGGACCTTAACTGTGGGGATTTTTGTTTTGAATATTTTGTGTTATTGGCCCAAGCAAATATGTTTACTAATGTTTTCCTTAGATTTCTGTGGTGGACATTAGCCTCCTGATCAATGTTATTATCTGTCAAAGTGTATTTTTAACATTATTTCACGCGCGGAAGAGACCTCCATGACTGGATTCTAATTAACAAAGTATTGATAAAGTCAGAGAAGCCAAACACACTTTGCTCCCTTTTGGAAAGTGATTTCTTTGGTTTCTCGGGGGAAAAAAGAAATGATGTTTACAATGTATGCCAAGGGTTTCCATGCCTATCAAACGATGTCAGTTCTAATTTTACTCAAAATTGTAGTATAATGGCCTGAACCTTGTTGCTAAGACACAATAGACTTTGGTTTTATATTCCTGCCTTCACGCTGGCTAGATACTGTACAGGTTGAGGTGAAATGACTGCGTTGAAATTGGTTGTCGCATTTTGCTCTGGGTTTCATACCAGAAGCATGTATTTTCTACCAGACCGTTACAACGACTTGCTGTAAATAATCAAAGTTAATATATGATGTGTTAACATTTGAAAAACAAAGTACTTTGAATATTTCGTTTTTAAAAAATAAAGTTGCAAACAATCAGTCAGCCTTGTTTTTTTCCTGTGGACTGATCACACAGGTTTGGAAAAAGCAGGAGAATAATACAGTGCAAATAAAACAGTGATGCTGTATGTGTGGGTGCACGCGCATGCATATGCCTGCTATTTTGCGGAATCAGTGTTCAAACTTTATATATTCTTTTTCTCGTATAGTTTGCTGTGCCTAACAATGGCCAAATGCGTCTCTAGGTCCATGCCTCGGTATCATATCAAATCAGTTTATTACAGCCATATGGCCAGAAACAGTAAAATATCCAATTGTAGGCTACTTACATACATACACACATATATAAAAACGCACTGAGCATGATCTAATGATGAATAAGAACACATATAATAAAATTAAGTTTTAAAAATAATATTAAAAAAGATGAATGTACCCAAACAAATGATGGTACAATGTCCCTGACTTATGGCCATTTGTTTACCAACCACTTCATCTATATTGCAGCCAAAAGGCCGGCCCTATTAACCGTTAACCAGCAAAATAAAATGCCTCATCGCTACTTGATGCAGTCCTATTAAAGTTTGGATTCCACCGGCATGTAATAAATGATGGTTTGTGCCTCAATATGCTGGACTCCAATTTAAAATACCGGGACAGGAAGACCATTTAATTTACAATTTATTTGGAACGTACCTAGATAAAAGGGATTCCCTTTTACAAGAGAAAGAACCTGGAATGGAGGCTTACATTTTTAAAAAAAATAAATTGCACAGTAAAAGTACTTCAAATAAACGTTGATTGGGTTAGAAAACAAATCATGATTTTCGTGTGCTAGTGATCTGTAGCTTCCTCCCTATGGTGGAAAGGAATCTTTGGGCAGCAAAGAATTTTGCTGTATCAAGGAAAGCCCTTGCACAGAACAAATAGAACCATAGAACAAATTATTTCGAGTCTCCTGCTTGAGCAGGGGGTTGGACCAAAAAACATCCAAAGTCCCTTCCAATGCTGTTATTCTATGTTCTATGTTCATCTGTCCAGCTATGACTAATAAATGCTCCTCTGAGTTAGATATAACTCCTGGGGGTTACATAAGCAGATCCTTGGACATTTTGTAACCTGATAGAGAACTGGTTGACATTTCCTCAATATTATTTTTCCAGTTTCCCAATCTAACTTTCAATCCAGAGATTCAGATCCAGCCTTGCTTAGTTTTTTCAAGATCAGCTACATCCTATTTTTTTTAACTAGGCAAGATGACTTTTGCTCAACAGAAATTGATGTTTAGATAGGGCATTGTAAAGATCTTTATCCAAGGAAAAGAACATCATCTTAGATATAATGTAAATTAATGTAAGATTGTATTATCTATCCAAGCTATTTGCCGAAGCAGAAATTCAGAGTGGATCTTGAAGCCAGATTCAAACCAGGATTTTCCAAACTCAGCATCTTAGCCACCATACATACCTTTCATTGGAGAGATATCCAGAGTTCTGCAGATTGTGAAAAGATAAAACTGATTTTCGGAAGAAAACAACACTCAAACATGTTAAACAGCATAACTATGCTGTGTTCAGGTACATATATTTTATACAGTTACATCTTTATATTAATGGCTTGAGTGGGAGAGTTGCATCAGAAATGGCAATAAATCAAATCAAGTGCACTTACATGATAAAACAGAATCTTGTAGATTATATTTTTTTATAATACCAAGAAATTTCATTTTTAAACTACTACTACAAAAAAAAACCCTCATTATATTCTTGGGAGGAAAAAGAACAAAACTATAAAATCCACAAAAAAAGAAAAAGAGGGGAAAATAAATATCACTAAAAATAGGGAAAGAACAATAAAATTATACGACACTGACATTCCCTAAACTACGCTGAAGGCATTACCTAGCCTGGTAACTAAACATTTGGAAACCAACCCACAAGCTCGGAGAACGTAACTTCACTCTCAATAAAATTATATCACTAAAAATTTCGAAAAAAGCAATATTGTACTTACACATAGTGCTTTTTTTACACAATAGCAATCATGTACTTTATATGCAATTAATAAGTTAACAGCAAATTATAGAATTTAGGATTGACCAAGGAAAGGTGAGAAAGACATCCACTAACACGAGAGCATACCACCAGTAAGCAAAAATTCTGTGCCAACTGAAAGGTAGCCATGGATTTCTGCCGTCCCATGAACTAAATTAGCTAATTTCTAAATCAGCTGCAGAATGCTTAAAAAATGTGTAAAACTCTGTTTATTTCTTTTGAAATGCCAAGACTCTCTAGATGGCACGTTTCCCCATTTGCCTGCACAATTGTTTCACCTGCTTTCTAACCATAAACAATGGTAGTATGCCCTTTGTCAAAATAGGATTTCAACCACAAAGATAAATTAGTATCTCTTTATTTACACATAAGTAAAAGAAGATAACCCCCACCCACATATAGGTATCAGGTAAAGGGCCCTTAAAAGAAATTACTTTATGTACAGTTCAAATATGTTGCGTTTGGAATGTGTTCAACTGGCCAGCATCATTTGAGTTATCAAACATCTAGTGAGCATGCTCAGTAACTATATATTTACCATGTAACATACATGGAGGACGGAGGGGTCTGGTGTGTTGTGGTCCATAGGGTCACAAAGAGTCAGACACGACTTAGTGAATGAACAACAAACAAAAAACATGTTAACAGTTCCCATAATGTTCTTAGTATTATCTTGTCAATACTTAATTGTATATTCAGGAGGTGCATTTCCCACATTACAATGAGTTTTCAGGTTATTAAAGTTCAACTCTTTGGGCAACTCTTGTCTCTGGCCAGTCTCAGCTTATCAGAATCCACATTCTTGCTTGTTATCTTCAAAGAAACAGAAATTTTAATCCAAGGTCCTCCTTGTTACTGAAAACAATTACTCAGACAGGCTCCTCTCCTGTCCCCACCATGCTTATCATCTTGCCTATGCAGGTTTTAGAGACTGGGCAAACAAATGGGTAGTAGGAACGGGTGGGAAAATGAAGATCTATTTCTGAAGGTCTCAGGAACCTGAAATCAGCATCATCCCTGTGGAAATTAAGTGGAAGAATTCAGCAAAGTCTTTTTGCGGAGGGAATGTGGCTCTGAAAATCCAATTTTCTCAGCTTGGGACTGTTGTAATTACTATCTTCTAATTGCAGACTCTCAAATCTGCATTTTCACTGGAGGTGATTGGATGTATACAGCATATGAAACAGTCACTAGGGAAAAATAGGTAGCACATTCTTGCTAGGTTTGTGTGAATTGTAGAAAGTGAAAATATTTTGACGATCAATCATTGATAAATTGGAATTTCGATTTCTCCCACTGAGTCCTACGAGAGGAAAAGACGAAGGAATAGAAGAAACCAGGAGATTTCATTCATTCGCAATAATGTGGTTTGCAAGCTGCATTTCTATCTCTAGGTCCGCCTATGGGATTCAAGAGTCATTCTCTAGGAGGCGCTCTGCCCTTCGCAGTCTATTTCTATGGTAGTTTCCTCTCAACCGGAAGCCGGAAGTAGTGATTTCTGTGGCGCCTCACTCTGGCTACTACCGTTTCAATGGCATTCAAGTGGGAGGTACCATAGACATAAAAATTAGAGTGATACTAATAGTAGATAAAGTAATATAACAGGATTTTTGTTGTTCTTGTTGTTAGAAAGTGAAGTGTTGCCATTTTAGCAATATTATTTATAATGATGATCACATTGATCAAAATAATAATAAAGTAATTTTTATATATCTGGGCTCTTAACGGCTCTGGGCGGTTCTGAATTAACTCTTTTGCCTCCTGCTATGGAACTGAATCAGAACGTGCCTGGTCCAATAACAGAGTCGGCCATCGCCTCTAAGAATGCCCCTCCCTACAAAACATCAATCGCAATCGGGGGGTCAACTCTACAAGTTCGTACGTCTAGGTTCCAGCGCGCCTCCCCCGCCTCCCCCTCCCCGTGACGTCACGACGCTGCCTTCCGCCACGCCCTGGGCGGGCGAGATGAGCTCATCTCCTCGCCCACGCGGGGGGGGGAAGGGAAGAGAGGAACCGCAAGGCGGAAGTGACGCACGCTGGACGCGAGGCCGGAAGTGACGCAGGAGGCTGCCAGGCGGTTGGAGCGCACCAGCTGAGGCGTCTCTCCCTTCTCGGCGCGGCTCGGCCCCGCTTGCTCCGCCGCTCCTCTCCGCCTCTCTCCGCCGCCGTCGCCGCGCCCCAAGCCATGTCGGCGCCCGGAGGAGCCGGCGGAGAATTCGGCAACCCGCTGCGCAAGTTCAAGCTGGTTTTCCTCGGCGAGCAAAGCGGTGAGGGCCGCGCGGGGCGGGGGGGGAGGAGCGCGGGGGGAGCTCGCCGCCAGATACGGGGGGGCAGTGGGAGATGGGGGGTCACGGGAGATGGGGGTCACGGGGAGGAGTGGGAGATGGGGTCACAGGGGGAGTGGGAGATGGGGGTCACCGGGGAGGAGTGGGAGATGAGGGGGGTCACGGGGGAGGAGTGGAAGACGGGGGGGTGACCGGGGAGGAGTGGGGGATGGGGGTCACGGGGGGGGAGTGGAAGACGGGGGGGTCATGGGAGGAGTGGGAGATGGGGGGTTACCGGGGAGGAGTGGGAGATGAGGGAGTGTCACGGGGGAGGAGTGGGAGATGAGGGGGGTCACCGGGAAGGAGTGGGGGATGGGGTCACGGGGGGAGTGGGAGATGAGGGGAGTCACGGGGAGTGGGAGATGGGGTCACATGGGAGGAGTGGGAGATGGGGGTTACAGGGGGGAGTGGGAGATTGGGGGGAGTGGGAGATGAGGGGGTCACGGGGGAGGAGTGGGAGATGGGGGGGATAAAAGGGGCAACGAGGCCTCCCTTCCCCCCCCCGAGCGCTGGGCTAGGATGGGGCTGGAGGAGGAGATTTTGGGCTGGTCCCTGCGGGGATTTTCAGCTTTTATTTTATTTTTAATGCCTCTTTTTATCTTCCTTTTCAGGGGTGGTTGTGAGAGAGGTGGGAGGGGGGCATATAAATCCTATATAAAGAAAGAAATAAACATTTATGATAAAGAGGAGGAGTTGCTGGATGGCTCTTCTCCTGCCAGGTCTCCCGGCCCTCCCCTCCGTTTTGTTTTGCTTAAAATGATGACATTTGTATCCTGTCTTTTTATGCTTATGTTTGTATCGTGTTGTGGCATTTGTATTTTGCATTAGGGAGGCCTTGAAGGGACTGCAGTTTGGTCTAGTGATTGAAGCACCTGGTTAGAAACTGGGAAAGTGTGAATTCTAGTCCTGCCTTAGGCATGAAGCCAGCTGGGTGATCTTGGGCCAATCTCTTTCTCTCACCTGGCACTGAGGGTGCAACTTAATTTGGGTCATGAAACGTCCGCAAGAAAACAACCAAGCTTTTTAGAGAGCACCCAGGACACCTCATTTCAACCCTGAGCTTCAAATATTATCCTTTACTGCGGGGGTCTTCAAACTTGGCCCTTTTATGACTTGTGGACTTCAACTCCCAGAATTCCTCAGCCTGGCTGAGAGTTGAAGTCCACAAGTCATAAAAGGGCCAGGTTTGAAGACCCCTGCTTTACTGGCACTTTCCCACAGACCTAGGAAGGAGGCAATGGCAAATCACTTCCCAAAAAAAACTTGCCAAGAAAACTGCTGGGACTTGTCCAGACAGTTAGCCAAAAATCAAGAGTGACTTGAAGGCACACACACAAATTCCCACCAGCCAAGAAAACTTCAGCAAGTAATCCAGGGGTCAAAAGCTGATTTTAAGACACCTAAATGTGTGTGTGTGTGTGTCAGCTCAAGTCAGCAAACATGCCTAATACCGCTGCCTTCTATTTTCTCCACCACAACAACCCTGTAAGGTGGATTGGTCTGAAAGAGAGGCTGATTAACACATAGCTACCTAGTCATGTTTAAGGCAAAATTACAACTCACCATCTTCTTGGTTGGCCCAAAGTCACCCAGTTGGCTTTCATGCCTAACCCAGGACTAGAACACAGGTCTATTGGTGAAGTTACCAGCCAGCTTTTATGCCGAAGGTGGAGCTAGAACGCACCATCTCCTGGTTTCTGGGCCAGCCCTTTCTCCCTTACATTAAGCTGGTTCTTAATTAAATAAGTGGGATGCTGTGGTCAAGGTCTTGAGTGTTGGCTTATTTTGAGAGGTTTACCTTCAGCATCATTGACAGACCGACTGGTATTTGGGGCTGCTGGGTGCTCACACCAGCCATGTTAAGGGCAAGCAGGGATGTCTAAGGCCTTACTGAGGACTCCAGGCAGTGTAAAAACAATGGATTTTTTAAAAAGGAACAATACATTAAACACCAGGCTTGGCAATGGTTTTTACTTGACAGTGCATGTGGTAAAAAATAGACTAAAATTTCTGAGAATTTCATATTCTCTACCTATTGCATCATGATTACTGCTGCAGTGTATCATTCTTAATTATAGTTACATCATGTTATATACTTGAGTAAGCAAAGGCAATGAATGGATATACAAGTTATGAAACATTAATAGTATTATTTCATGGGATCATGCCTGCTGCTCCTTGTGCTCTCTTTCCTTCAACCCCACTTTATATTTTAGTAATATATGCCCTATTTCGTGAAGAGACTTCTGCTGTATATGTTAAAACTTATAAAATGGGGTTTTGCTTGATTTATGCCTGTTGCAACTCAAGAAAGCTCTTGGCAGTAGGAAAAAGATAACTTGGGGCATTCTGAATAGCTAGGCAAGCTCAAAAGTCTGATTAAAAAGAAAATGTACCAAGTAGCCTCAGAGTTCTGGAAATTTTAAAGGTAGAGATCGTCACAAAAAAAAGGGCCTAATATGTTTGTCCCCTTAGTACAGCTGAAGGAATAGAATGAAGGGTATATTTGAAAGGACTCGATGTGTCATTTACCAGATCCTAGTTTTTTTAGGCATGGTTAAGAGGTCCTTTCTCTTAATTTTATGGGATATGCAGAAAGGTCCAATACCTAAGAGTTGGGAAACATAGATGTATATATTATTGATTTTTTTTTGTTTATTGGTTTATACATTGTAGCCTATCTCATTTTTTTTCCTCTTAACCATCAGATTATTTACCACTCTGCTAACTATTTGTTTCAGTTTGCGAAGTAGGATCCATTAATTCACAGCCATGCCCTTTTAAAATATTTTGCTTCCCCAGATTGATTTGAAAGTGGCACTATTCTGATTTATGTCAGACTGCTCATTTGTATTAAGGTGTGTGAAATTAGTATTGCAGATAAGTCATTTCAGGTGGCATTATTTTGGCACATGAACCCATTTATGCTTGTGGAACCCCTCCTATCACAACAGATCACATGAATCAACATCCCAGAGAGCCACTCCTAGATATGTATGCTAACAATAGCTGTATATAGCATTTATATAATGTGCTAACTATAAGTAATACCTTTATTTGTACATCATTTTCATGTCTATTTTAAAGGGGGAGCAGACTGAGAGATCATACTTTTTTGGCTTACGTTGGTAGATTCAGTTTTATTCAGTATAGAATAATGAAAAAAGATTTTAGTCTTATTTTGAGATTAACTTTGGTGTGCATGTGTGCAGCAAAGTTTCCAGGTTCTATAAATATTTTAGATAGAGCATTATAATGTTTTAGTGTGGTGCCACTAAATTATGTCACACCTTTGGTTTGGATGATCTTCAATTAAGCTCTAGCAATCTAAGCTTAAAAATTCACATTTTAACAGATTCTTGTTTACCTTTTTACATACTTATCAAACACAACTCAGTCCACAATTAGACACTTACAGTTTTGTGAGAAAATACAAAATAGAACCTCCATAACAACTCTGAAAGTAACAGCAGATCCAAAAGTCCACGCGGATCTTACTAACATACCTTATTTTTAAAGAATGGAATTACATTGTGTAATAAGCGAGTCAAAATTTCCTGATTGTTTGGCATTATTTGTTTATTTAACAACATACCTATTGTTTTATGAATTTTATTTGTGTGTTCCACCTTTATTTTTACACACAAAGCAATTAAACTTGTACATATTAAATTAAACCTATGCATAAATAGTTGTGCTTCTTTCTTTTGTAGTTGGAAAGACCTCCTTAATCACTAGATTTATGTATGACAGTTTTGACAACACGTATCAGGTAAGTGTCAGAAAGATGATCCTTTGTACTGATTAATTATCAGACTACTTTATAATCATGAGAGATTATACATCTAGAAAGATAAGAGTTCACAGCGCTCATATTTTTCCATTGGAGGAAAAGCATGCTAATACATAGTATGCCTACTAAAGCATAACTAATTTCCAATCATTAAAATCATACAAAAGCTGTGAAAGTCACATTCTGTTCAGATCAGAATTATAGATGAAACACATTAAATCACAAGGCACTCAGTAATGATTTGATTAAACTGAGGTTTTCCTTTTCCTGCTGCCTGACATGCAAAGGTAGCATCTGATCATCTATATCGTCTGAAAAACCTCTCAAGTTTCATGTAACTTGCAAAACACAACTTTTATGCCACTAACTTCAGCTAACTCTCACTTAACTGTGGTAATTGGGACTGGGAACTGTGTTGCTAAGCCACACCGTCATAGCTTGTGCTGTCACGTGACTGTGCCGACTTACGATGGAAGTTCCAGATGCAGTTAGCCAACTTCTGGGCAGTCATTAGGTGACGTGGGATAGGATTATCATTTGCAATCTCCCTCCCAGTTTCTCCATGGACTTTTCTTGTCAGAAGCCAGCAATGGTTTATGGGACACTGTGAGGATCATAATTGCCAAATGTCCAAATTGAGAGCATGTGGTCAAGTGAATGCTGCATCAGCTGCAACCGCAAAGACTGACCCTCAGCTCCATCATAACCACGGAATGGTCGCTGAACACTCAAATGACCAAGTTCTAAGTTTGTCTCAGCTAGCGGTAGAACCTAGCTGACTTTGAGCCTCCTGTTTTACATAAATAGCGCATGTACAATTTCTTTGTTGACTAGACAAGAAGTGCTTTCGTGAAAGTCTACAAAATCAAACCCAGCTCCAAGGAATGTTTGCTGTACTTCCTTGGGACACAGTACAGAAGTGGTTTGCAGTTGCCTTTTTCAGGGGAGATAATTAGCCTCTGCATCGGATCAGCCACTAATGCAGTTAATAGTAGTTTAATCTCACACAAATCCATCACATTTTTAGTCTAAAATATCAGGGCCGTTCAAAAATTGCTGAGTCTGGTCTACTAAATATCAGGGAAAGATATTTAAAATTCTGTTAAGATTTGTGAACTGTGAGTTGGATTTAAAATAATATTGCATACGCCTATTATTATTTTGTGCTTAGTATTCTCTGATTTCCAGCCTAATGTCCCCTGGCATGATCTTTTCTAAATAAATTGTTTTAATGGTTCAAAATGAATCCTTTCTCATTTTTCCAGGCCACCATCGGAATTGATTTCCTTTCAAAGACTATGTATTTAGAAGACCGCACGGTAAGTGGAGTTATCTGTCTGCTGATGTTCATTCATCTCCCAAGCTGGTACTTTCCCCATCAACATGGGCTGTGGCTTCGATCTCCAGCAGGGAACATAGGGACACTGATGTGCCCGTGGATACCCTTGAACTCTCCTATGTTTCCTCTCCTTTTACATTAATTTTTTTTTTAAAAAAGTTGACGTTTTTAAAAGTTGGCGCATTGAGATTATTTTCATTCCCTAAATACATTTACCCTTAGATTTACAACTTTTGCCTGGATATCTTTCAGCTTGCCCTCCCCCCCCCCAAAAGAGTCCAAGCAGAGTTACTATGCAATATTCAGCAAATGGGCCAAATAAATTATTTTGTAAATAGTTGTATCCTTTGGAAGCCATGACTCCCACCCCCAGTTCAGTAATCATTTTATGAAGGTATCCATAAACCGAGTTTCGAAACATACCTTCCCTAGTCTACAGGAAGAAGGAATCGGCAGCCGAGTATTTTTCATTAACACACACAATCTCTGGATATAGACAGTTTAATGTGACATCCATTGCTTTATCATTGACCCCTTTTACAGTCTAGGGGTTAGTAAGATATGCTTTTAAGTAAAAGGAGAGAAGGGCCATGAAAGGTATCCATGCCTTAGATCAGATTCCATCAAGCTTTCAAGTCAGACCAGCTACCATAGGGGTAATTTTTCTTTCCAGCCTCGTGACACTGCCTTTTATTCTTGTTTGGGCCAGTCTGCTGACTTCCAGCAGCTTGAGGGAGGTCAGTCCACCATCCTGTCCTTATAATAATGCAAAAAGCTTCTGAAGACCAGCTAGCCCTATGGGTGAAGGCTAAATTGAGAATACCTGTGCCACGCAGTGATTATGATACCTGATAAGAGTACAAATCTAGATCTCTTTGTCCAAATACTTATCCAGGAGGTCAGATTGCCCTTGTTTTATTTAGGTTACCTGTCACTCAGTCTGAAGAAGCCGTATCTTGAATATTACTTTGCTTTTTGCTTTTAAGAGGTAACATTGGAATTTGAGATGGATCTTCATCTTAATCATAACAGAAATTTTACATAGTTATATTGGGAAGAATTCAACCTCACAGGACAAGACAATTGTCTTGTCTTGACCAAGCAGTAGGTTTTTACGTTTGTGTATGTTTTGAATGGTGAACGGTAGCCGCCATCCACCAACTCAGTGACTGCAGATACGTTGAAGTATCTTGAGCCACTTCCTGACTTACTGTGGGGTGAACAGCAGCTTTTTCTCATGGAGTGTCTGTGTCTGTGGGTGATGAGCTTTGTCCTCTCAGGATTGATTGGCATAGCACAGTAGAACTGGAGCAGAAGTTGCTCAACGAAAGCAGTTCAAGTATGGCCTAGATGGGCTTGGCAGTTCCTGAACCCGGAATGAAAAAAAGTATAAGGAAAGATAGTAGTCGAAGGTTCAAGCAAAATGGTTAATGAGATCGTTGTGGGTGGGAATTTAAAGGCTACCATATCTTTCATAAAGAATTCCATCTGGAGGAATTAGACGACAGAAGCGGGTTTTTTTTTTTTGTTTGTTTGTTTAGAAAAAACACGAGTTCTCATTTTTAGTTTTACGCTGCATTTCGTTTCATTTTAACTTCCCTCTTATTTACTTGCATTGTTTCTTTGTTTCGAGTATGTGCCTTTTTTTTAATTTCACATGCGTTCTGCTTTATTTTATTTTTGTCCATATTCCTGCTCTTCTCTTTCCTCCTCTCCACCCTTGCCTCTCCCCCCCCCCCATATTTTATCTTTTCTCAGATCAGGCTGCAGCTGTGGGATACAGCCGGCCAGGGGCGATTCCGTAGCCTCATTCCCAGCTGCCTCCGGGACTCTGCTGAGGCTGTCATTGTCTTTGGCCTGACAAGTAGGTATTGGGGTTTGAGCTCAGCAGGCCCCTTGCTCTGAGTTCTATTTCTTAGGAAGCAGCCAGGACTCCTTTGACCCCAAAGAGGGGCAGCTGGGTAGAATCCGTAGCCATCACTAAATGGGCATGCCTGGCTTTTATTTTATTTTGTTTTGTTTTGTTTTATTTTATTTAGATTGGAAGTGATAATGAGATAAGTATTTCTCTTCTGGAAATACTGATTTTGTATCCTTCCCGAAGGAAATACACCTTATTGGAAATCCTCCTTCTCCTCTGGTACCTACCAGTTCTGATCAGAGCGCGTTTAGTCTCCAGCTGAGATGAAGGCAAAGTCTTCTAAGTGAGATCCTCTCTCTGCTTTTGAATATACAGAATTACCCCTATGTAACTCCTAAGGTTTTATAACTCCACAAATTATAGGTAGTCCTTGATTTATGTCCACAATTAAGCCCAAGATTTTTGTGGCTAAGCAAGACGGTTATTAAGTGAATTTTACCCCATTTTATGACCTTGCTGGCCACAGTTGTTAAGTGAATCACTGCCGTTGTAAAGTTAGTAACACGGTTGTTAATCTGGCTTCCCCAACGGCTTTGCTTGGCAGATGGTCGTAAAAGGGGATCACATGACCCTGAGACACTGCAACTGTCATAACTGCGAGTCAGTTGCCAACCATCTGAATTTTGATCACGTGACCACAGGGATGCTGCAACGGTTCTCAGTGTGAAAAACAATCATAAGTCTTTTTTTTCACTATCATTGTAACTTTGAATGGTTGCTAAACAAACTGTTGTAAGTCGAGGACTGCCTGTACAGAGAAAACCGGCATTCTCTCAAGCATTGTGTGGCAGTAGTTAGCTTTGACGTTTTGTAGTTAGCTTTGACATTTTGGTTGGCCTTATTTGAAAGAGCTGAATTGTTTGTTTTCTCGTATTCTTCTGCTGTTGACAATTCTGTATGCATCTTTAAGTTTTTTCCTATACATTCTCCCCTTTATTTGTTTATATATTTTGATTTGCTCTTAATCAAAAACTGCAGTTCGTGCTAACTTGAGAGTTGCAAAAAAGAAAACCAACAAACAAGCGTGTAAACATTTGCTAACCAAAAGTTTTATGACCTCGGACCACTCCATTCCAACCTCAGATCCTTCTGCATATTCCAGAAGTCGTCCAATTTGGCTTACTCTAAGTGATCTAGAACCTGGAACATTTTGAAACTTCTACTAACAATAGCAATATCATCTGGATTTATATACCACCCCATAATGCTTTATAGCACTCTCTGGGTGGTTTACAATGTCAGCCTATTGCTCCCGACAACCTGGGTCCTCAGTTTACCGACCTCAGAAGGATGGAAGGGCTGAATCAACCTTGAGCCGGTTAGGATCGAACTCCAGGTTATGGGCAGAGTTAGCCTGCAATACCGCATTCTAACCACTGTGCCACAGGGGCTCCAACAATCATATAAAATTCAAATTAAAGCCGTATTTGTAAACTATTAGACAAGAGTCAACCTAATATAGTTAAGGCACAGGGCTAGAAAACCAGAAGACAGTAAGTTCTAACTCCTTCTGAATCACGAAACCAGCTGGGTGACTTTGGCTAGTCGCCCTCTGTAATAATCAGTGCTCAGTCATTGCAGGGTGCAAATATGGCTGACTGCTTTCGCAGTGTTTATTGCCTTATATACAGGTATTCAAATAGCATAAAGTAAGACGGCATCAGCATAGCAACAGCAGTTCTATTGGTGAAACCCCTTGCCAATCCTTAAGAGGCCTCAGCCAGGGAGCAGTTTCTATCACATCCTGTTGATGTAACCAGGCTGATATCATGTGAACCAGGTGATATCATGTACCAGCCTGGGGTATTTCCCTACATTGCCATGGTGATGTGAATGGATGAGAATCATGTAGAGAGAAGAGGCATGCAGGCTTTGGAGGGGCAGTTTGCTGCTCACGACCTCTATCTGGCCCCCATCTCTACAGCCCTCTTTCAATCTTACAATGGGAAATCACTTCAAAAATCTTGCAAAAAAACCCACTACTTCAAAGCCGCTGTCCACCCCACCCTCAAACCCTTCTTATAAATTAATAGGCTCATTTTGAACGTGTAAAAAATGGATGCAAATGACGGTTCATAGAAAATGGTCCATGTTTGAGGAAGCAGATGATTACTATACCTGGACAGTCTTCGGAGGCAAATCTTTTTTCGTCCCTATAATTTTAAAGTAAGAGCAATGCTGCTGTCTTCACAAGGCAGCTCTTCACCACGTACTGCCTTTTTTTATTTTTACTGCTCCTGTAAATATTCGAAAACAAAATGGGTTGATTTCCATTGAAGAAAATAAAATTGATTGGTTTCCATTGAAGAACATGCTTAAGGAGACATTGTACTTTTTTTTTTCTTATCCATCTGGAAAAATTGTTGACAAAGAAGCTTGTAGGTTGAAAATACAGCAATAGCAATAGCACTTAGACTTAATACCGCTTCACAGTGCTTTACAGCCCTCTGAACGATTTACAAATGTCCGCATGTTGTCCCCAACAATCTGGATCCTTATTTTACTGACCTCGGAGAGATGGAAGGCTGAGTTAACCTTGAGCCCATCAGTATCAAACTACTGGCAATTGGCAAAATTAGCCTGCAATTCTGCATTTTAACCACTGCACCACCATGGCTCTTGTTCTACAGTATTGTTTTACAATATTCCTGTTTTATTGATGGCATCACTGGAAGATATACCTTGGTGTAATATACCTTTCTCTAGAGAATTGATCATATTGGCATAAGATCCCCCATTAGAGATATCCTCCCAGTACAGTAGTTCTTTTTGAAGTGATCCCACACAGTAGGATCCCAGTTCCATAACTGCACAGATTAGTGGAGTGCAGCTAATTTTTCTTTTCTCCAGAACAGATCCATTCACCTTTTATTTAGATTGGAAGTGAATAACAAAAGCGTTATTCTTACTTTAGGATGATATGCAAGCAAGCAACCCTTCCCTTTCCGGCAGTATTTCATCTCTTAATTCTCCTTGCAGCATCTGTGCTGAGTTGCTCCCGCTACTAAATATTTCCCTTTATTTTTCTGCATTTCCCCCATTCCCATTATAATATTTAGTAATTACACAACCAGATGGGAGCCTGTTTGTGATTTTGGCAATATACAAACGTAACAAATTATCATTTTCTGCAATCAGGTGCTGAAGTTCAGGTCTGATTTTAAAGTCATTCACTTGTGTCCCAGTACTCATATTCAAATGATAAATTATGATGCCAGCCGTTCTTGTTTTGGGGCCTGCTTTTATGAATATATTGGTTTAAGAAGGCTTTTCAGAAGAGACTGGATAGCCACTTGACTGAAATGGTAGACGGTCTCCTGCTTGAGCAGGGGGTTGGACTAGAAGACCTCCAAGGTCCCTTCCAACTCTTATTCTGTTATTCAGAGTAAAGCAGGTGACCATCTGGCTGGCATTTTTTTTTTTTCGCCTTCATTTGTAGTTCAGTCCTTATTGGTGACTGTGGGACACTGCAGTGTTGTAATTGGGGGACAGATGGTGAACACCCAGATTGTGATCGCATGATATAAGGAACAGACTGGTTGATGTAAGCTTAGGACCAGTTATAAATACCGTTGTTCCACGTTGTAAGACGTTTGGTCACTAAATGAGTGGCTGTTAAGCAAGGATCACCTGTATATACTTATCCAGTGGCCCATGTAATATTTTTCCCATGCTTCATTAATCATATCGGTTGGGTTTTGGAAATATTAGTAGTATCTTCAGCCAGTGATAGTACTTGGCCCTCAACTGAAACTATCATCTTGAGTAATAACTGGGATGATCTTCATTTGTAGGTTCAGCTTAGTGCTTTTTTTTCCCCCTCTAGCAGTTGTCAAGTATACCAGACCAACAACATGGTTAAAACTGAAATAGAAAACACAGATTTATTCACAGCATCTGTTAAGTTGAAATGAATTTCTTTGCACTAAGTTAAATTGCCCCCAGTTATCCCAGAAGCGTTCCAATTTCTGAGTCTCCTGGCTGCTGGGACTGTGAGCTGAGGTTTTAAATTCTTATTGAGTGTGTATCTTCCAATAGGCTTGGTATGAGTAAGGTTATATCACTTTTTTTTTTTTCCACTCAGAAGCCTTTACGGCTGAACAGGGATTTTCTGGTTCTCTTCATTATGCCCCTTTCATTATCATAGAAGTATACAGTGCAGTATTGTGTATTTTACAGGGAGAAACATTTTCTCTATTGCATGCTCAAAAATAAGAAATTTGGTTCCACTTTATATGGAAGCTTTTAACCTCTATGAATCTGTCAGATTTTTACCGATAGCCACAGGGGAAAATGAACATGTAATCCTGCAGTGTTACTTTCAACCCAAATGAAATAATTTTCTAGGAAATAATGACTTTTTGAGGGACGTTTTTTCTCAGACATACCCCCATTGTTTTTTAGTATGCAAAGATAAAGTAGTCCACCCACTATGAAATTAATTTTAATCTGTAGCATTGGTGTTCTCAGTTGTCTCGATGGAGTTTTTGGAATGAAATTGTTAGATAGCAGAGAGCAATAGCCTGTGATGTGATTTTTTTTTATTATTATTATTATTTTATTTTTAATGCCCACTGCTGCATTTTCTGACGAGACATTTGTATGCAGTTCTATAGAATTCCTTCTAATGCATTGCCTTTTCTCTAAAGGACGTTTTCTTTTCTTTCTTTTCTTCCTTCTGTCTTGTGTCTTTCTGTTTCTTCGCTGGGCTGGTATCAGCAGGTCCGACTTCAGCTTTGGGACACAGCAGGCCAGGAACGGTTCCGTAGCCTGATTCCCAGCTACATACGTGACTCAACTATTGCAGTGGTAGTCTATGACATTACAAGTGAGTGAGTTGATTTGTGTCATGGTGTACCAAAACACTTTGTTCTAGGAGAAATCTGAACACAGAAGCCTTGAGTCATCCATGAAAGCTCAGTGGGCAGTGGGCACAGCCTTGCTGGCAGACGGAAGGCCTGAGTATCTTGCCTTAGGCAAAGAACCATCCTGAAGCTGACTTTGTTTGTTTGTTTGTTAGTTTATATGTCATATTTCTAACTCACTCATCTCCCTCAAAGAGGAGCTCTGAGCGGTGTACAGTACAACATAGCCAGTCAATAAAACAATGCATAAAAAACTAACATTAGAAATACAAATTTCAATTAGGGTTAAAAGAATTTACAAAATTATAGAATAATGACACACATCAAAAGGGGGGAGAATCTTAAGATGGCCATTTAACACTGGGTTATTGCAGTTGCCAGGCTGGGGGGGGGCTCTTGAGGGACTAGCCAGCCCCATTGTTGCAAGATCCTCTGTGCCCCCAGGCAAGTCTGCAGATCCAAGTGTTGACCCCTTTGTGGAAGGCCAAGAGATCGGGGGCTTTCCTCACCTCTGGGGAACAAGGAAGTTGCACAAAGTGGCTCTCTCCTTAGTCAAAATTCTTTGAGTGACGGGGCCTGTAGCATATCTTCCCTGTCTGACCGAGTGAGACGGGCTGATGAGATCGGACAAAGCTGGTTCTGTGGAAGGTCAATATTCTATAGGTGTTCCTCTGTTCTTTGGCCTGACTAGAGTGCATTCAGCTGCCTTCTCCTTGCAGATCTGAATTCCTTCCAGCAAACCTCCAAATGGATCGATGATGTACGAACAGAACGAGGAAGTGATGTCATCATCATGCTGGTGGGCAATAAAACTGACCTTGCAGATAAAAGGTAATTGTAGAGTTTAAAAAGAGAATGCTTTTGGGGGGGGGGGGGATGTGGATGTATTAGAAAAATGTCTGGCTAATACTTGGAAGAGCCAAGGCTTGGTTGAGGAAACTATATTCCATCCAGAAATTGCTGAATTCCAAGCATTTCTCACTTTTGGGTATGAGTTTGGGGCATTTATATTTCACAATATAAGTGCCACCACAAAGGAAGTTAAATGAATTTCTGATACTCAAGAAATCAGACAGGACCCATTAAGAATATGCCATTGGTAAGCATCTCTACAGCACTGGTCAAATTGTATAGGAAGGCAGTAGAACTTCAAAATACACGAACTGTTGTAAGACAGAATCCCCAACTGTTGGTTTATTTTCCTTTCTGCAGAAGAGGCCTTACAGAGAACATAAAAACTCAACTTACAACAGTTCAGTTAATGACTGTTCAGGGTTGCAACAGCACTGAAAAAAGTGACTCGTGACTATTTATCAAAGGCCCTTGCAGCATCCCCGTGGTCACGTGATCAAAATTCAATGCATTTGGCAACTGGCTCATATTTATGACTGTTGCAGTGTCCCGGGGTCATGTAACCCCCTTTTGTAATCATCTGACAAGCAGTCAGTGGGGAAGTCTTTGACAATTGGGTTACTAACTTAAGAACTGCAGTGATCCACTCAACAACTGTGACAAGAAAGGTTGTAAAATGGGGCAAAATTCACTTAACAAATGTTTCACTTGCCAATCGAAATTTTGGGCTCAGTTGTGGTTCTAAGTTGAGGACTGCCTGTAGAATGAACCAACAATGAAAGTTGGATTTGCTATAAAAGTAGGCCTGTGTAGCTTGTCGGAGGTGAACTGGCTGACACATTGTTAATTCCTACAGAGCTGCAAGATAACTTTTTAGGCCATGTGGAACTCAGCCCAACAAAAACTATTAAATCATGCAAAGCTGTCCTTTCTGTTTTTGCAGTCCCTTGCAGGAAACAAAAAAATAGGATTAGCCAGTACCATTGGCTGGCATACATTTCCTTGGAGCTTTGATTTAGTGGGACGTAGAAATGAACAAAAAATGTTTCCATTACTGTACATTTGATGAATTTAGTTTGCCCGCAGCCTTCAGCCAAAATATCACATGCCCCCTTGACCTAATTGTGAAAGTTTTCTTGGGAAACCGTCAGTTTATGCCTTTGGCAGGCTGATTGCAAAGCCCTTAAAAGTCTTGTTAATAATAATGATAATAATGATGTTGTTGTTGTTGGAAGGGACCTTGGAGGTCATCTAGTCCAACCCCTTTCTTACTCTTCAGGCAGATTACTACAGAAGAAGGTGAACAAAGAGCCAAAGAACTCAGTGTGATGTTCATTGAGACTAGCGCGAAGACGGGCTACAATGTGAAGCAGGTAATTAACTGCAAACTTCAGCAGAAATTTCAGGCTGTCTCTTGTCCCCTCCAGTTTGAGGCCTCCTCCTTAGCAAACGTGGATTTCCTTCGCTTAATACTTGCTTAAAAGTCATCTGCAAGAAAAGTTTTTCCAGCTTTAATTAATGTTTCGTTTTTGGCATCTCTAAAAAGAGCAGATGCAATGTCACTCCTGATCGAAGGACCTTTCATGCTAACTGCTGAAGTGCTTTTACGCTCTACACTCTTTGGATATGTTTTAGTTCTTCTTTCGTCTCTATTTTCATATGAGAATAGGCTTCATATTCCACTACAAGCATTGCATTCACAAAGTCTGGGTTCTTGTCTTTCAGCTTTTCCGCCGTGTCGCTGCTGCCTTACCTGGGATGGACAACGCTCCAGAGAAAAGCAAAGATGACAGTATCCTTGCCCTGCTGATCAGGGGTTTTGTCTTGTACTCACACATCTTTTCTGTCTACTGTGATGTTTTTAGAGAGTATGTATCTAATTGGGGTTCTTTTTTCCTCCATCAGTGATCTTACAGGCAAATTGCAGAGGTCAAGCAATTTGCCAACTCAACCTTCAGGCCTGTCAATTTTGCATGTGTCCAAAAGGACATTGCAAGGTTGCTAAGGTCCAATCTATTACTTCTGGAAGTAGAGTTGGGCCAGTCCATCTCTTTAGAAGCCACTTTCTGGAAGTAAGTGCTATAAGGCCTGGATCTTCTCATAATGACTGCTGAGTTTGGTATGTTGAGAACTTGGTCTCAAATAAAGGAGGCTATTTGTAACCCAGAATTGAAATGAGGGATCCTTGGGTGTTCTCTGAGCTTGCTTGTTTTCTTGCAGATGTTTCGTTACCCAAACTAGCTAACATCCTCAGTGATAGCACCGAGGATGTTACCTAGTTTGGGTAATGAAACATCTGTAAGAAAACAAGCAAGCTCAGAGAACACCAGAACTTAGTACTTCCAGAGGACCATCAAATCAAGATGGTCTGGTTTTCATCCGCATCCATCCCGTTAATATTCTGGCTAATATTTCCCGAACGCCAGTGTGAAGGACAAGGGCTGATTCCCTCAAGCACATTTGATGGGCTTCGTTGGATCAAAGAGTTCTGCTTGGGTTTTGTGTGTTTTTTTTCCAGCTTGTTCTTCCACTGTGGAGACATATTTTCCTTAACCTCTTCTCTCCAGTGATTGACATCAAATTAGAGAAACCGCCTGAGCAGCCTGTGACGGAGAACGGCTGTTCTTGTTAAATGTTCTACAGCGTGGCAGCCCCTTCTCAGTTAGCCAGTTCAGTCTCTCACTGAAGAGCACCACTTCTTATTGACTACCAAAACACAACTTTCCGAGGGCCGCAAGCCCACTTTAATAGGCCATTGGGGTCATCCCGTTTCCTCCCCCGCTCCTGAAGTCGTGTGGACCAGTCCCAGTTGCTCTCGTTTGCTGCATGGTGTGAACCCTCCAATGCCTCTTGCCCTTTGTTGGTTGTTGCACTTTGGTGCTGCTGTGGCACTCTTTCCTTGCTGGGTTGTCCTACGAATGTGCAGGGGAGACACTTTGTCCATCTTCCCCCCCCCCCCAAAAAAAATTACTGATAAATTTACCGTAAAGGAGCTAATGCATTCTTCCTTTCACCTCCCTCCTTTTTAAAAAAAAAAAAAAAAAAAAATCTTTTCTACCGCTGCTTTTTATTCATTTGCAGAGGCCGTTCCTCTGATTTGGCTGTGTCTTTGTCGCTAGCAAGAAGAAAACCGTTGTCCTACTTAAAAGTTTCGGTTCATCCTTCCTTAAGGATGGTGCTAAGGAAGAGGGGAACGCCCTGAGAGAGGATTGACATACGTTGTTCTCTCTCTTTCCAGATTGTCTCAGTGTCTTTTATCCCAGGTGGACTGATTTACCCCTATCCCCACCGTCCATTGCTGGACATGTACAGAGATGGTAGGCAGAACTGGACCAATTGGGGAAAGATTCTGAGTCTCTTGTGGGAAACCTGGTTCCTGCAAAATGATGAGTAGGGAGTCTCCAAAATGGAGGATGTGCACTCTCCAGCCGTTTATTCCACCCTGCTCTCCCCTTCTCGCGATACTCTCAGAACGATCTTGTTCTTCATGAGTTTTGAAGAAGTGGGTAGCTGGATTAAACAGGGACTTCTCTGGGCTCAGACTAATGCCAGGAGCTGCTATTTTTACATAGTTTATCACTCATGACTCATTTGAAATATGCAAAGTGCTTTACAACTGCCTCCACTTTTTGCTTCGTTCCTTGCGTTGTCATTTCGAATTATATCTCTACATCCGCCTTCTCCAATCTACTACTCTTTCTCTATTCCCTAGCCAGTAAGGCTCAGGATTTGCAAATTTGGAAAGTGTTATTAGATTGGGGAGAGTTCCCATAGAGCAGTGTTTCTCAACCTTGACCATTTTAAGGCATGTGGACTTCAACTCCCAGAATTCCACAGCCAGCATTGCTGGCTGTGGAATTCTGGGAGTTGAAGTCCACATGCCTTAAAATGGTCAAGGTTGAGAAACACTGCCATAGAGGCTAAGTCCTGGTCTCACTGTTGGAAGGTCCTCATTCTAAATTCTGGGTCTTTAGTCCACTCCTTTATCCTTACCTTCGAAACATAGATATCTAGATAAAAATGGGAGTGGATTGTTTTTATTTCATATACAGTAGAAGAGATGCTAATCCTCGTCATAGGTCTGCTTGCTCTACAAAGAATATTGTACGTATTTAAAAAAAAAAAGTTTAGAGGTTTGCATAGATTTCTTGAACTTCTGATTTAGCACAGAATTTATTTTCAGGTATCTCCTCTAGGACTGAATGCAAGTTGCACTAGCATGCAAACTGACATGGGAAAACAGGTTGAAGATGGCATGAACTGGATAATATTTTCTGATGATATTTGAATAACGTGTTTTGTTTGATTTGCGGCCCTGTTTGTCTCAGTGTGATTGTCCTCTCGTAGAACAGCCTTCCTGAATTACGGCTCTTGAATTCCTAATCCATATGGCTACTGGCAGTATAAGCCAGTCTTGCTTAACCTTGAGAATTCCACCCATTTTAAATTTGCTGGGCTTGAGAAACGATGGTATAGGCTGGAGATTGTTGAGATTTGTCGTTTTGAAAGAAAGGATTATGGGAATTGCAATCTGACCCGTCTAAACGGTACTCTGGAGAATGGGTCCTGTTGTGCTGGGCTTGCTTTTGAGGATAATTTATAAAGATCTTTGTGTCTGTAATTTTACGACTGGGTGCTGAGGTGATACAAGTATATAACTCATTGAGATTGGGGATGATAAGATGATGTTAACCGTTTTCTTTTGACGTAATCTGTGATGGAAGGATAGTAACGCAAGATGTGGTCTTCTGTGATTTTCCTTGCTTTTTCTGCTTAACATGGGCTGAGCTCTCCTGGAGCTAAAGTAATTTTTATCCTCTTCTGAAAGAATTTGAGCGGGGGTCTTCAAACTTGGCAACTTTAAGACTTGTGGACTTCAACTCCCAGAATTCCTCAGCCAGCCAGGGCTGGCTGAGGAATTCTGGGAGTTGAAGTCCACAAGTCTTAAAGTTGCCAAGTTTGAAGACCCCCAAAATGAGGGATTAGAAGCAGAAAGGATTATCTAAAATGAGTTCTGCCTATCAGCCCAGCCTAAGCATTTCCTTTCCCCCATCTGAGGATTTCCTTGGTCTCCCTCACTCTCACAAAATGTCCTCCTGGTTCAATTTCTGGCATGTGATTCCTTCCCAGGGGCTGAGCTGCAAACGATTTATTTTCTTCTTTGTCTAAAATGCCCTCCTGCTCCTTGGCCTCACCCACTTCTGTCAGAGTCCTGGGCAGCACAGTCGAGTTGTTCCCTTAAGTTCGCAGGAAACCACCAAACGGGAAACACTTTCCATCAACTGATGCTTATCTTTACCCAAGCAGTACTGCCATGGCCACGGTTTCTGCAAAATGCATCCTAAAATAACTCGGAAGAAGGCTCAAACTCACTCTCTTGCTTGAGAAATCAGGTTTTCCACGGAGATGAGCCGGAGGAGGTTTCAGTTGGTCAATACTGCAGTGAGTTGGTGGCTTTTTTCTTGCCCTTGGGTGTTTTTGCCGCTACTCCCCAAATCTGGAAGCCTCGTGCATAAAGGAGGACAACAGTCCGGCAGATGCTGTTGAATATTTGCATTAGACGTCTACGCATCACCCTCTTCCAGGACTCCGCTCTCTTGTCTCAAAGGTGCTTTTTCCAGAGGCCACTGAACTATGTTTTTTTTTTCCCTTGAGGAAGAAGACATTTTGCTTTTTGTCCAAGAAGCTTCATCGTTCTGATCCAGTGGCCTCTTGAAAAAGCACCTTTGAGATAACCGTGATCTGGATGACTTGAGGATCTCCATAGGATCTCCATCCTCTTGTTTTGGAATTGGGAAAACCAGACAACAGGTCTACTGACTGCCCGCGCTGCTCCTTGCACTTAGAAATTGAGTACTTGTAGGGCCAGCCTCTTAGCCCCTGGCACCGAGGCTTCGCATTGCTCAACATTCCAGCATTTTTTGCTGCCTTTGAAGGCTTCTGCTCAGCAGTCTGCCCTCTTGAAACCTTGGAAGAGGTAAGTGCGTTGGATTATCCCCAATTCTGAAAGCACCACTGACCTCTTCCGACACTTGGCTGCTGCTGCTGCTGCTATTTCAATTCGCTTCTTCGATGTGCGAAGCCTCGGGCATCTTCTCACATGCCTTTTATCTGAACCCAGGTTGCCCGTGTGTATCTCTTTTCCTCTCCATCAGAATCAGCCAGCCTTGCAAAGCTTGGCTCCCTGGATTTCGAAGGCGAACCCCCTTTGCAAAGGCCTGTTCCCCACCTGTGTAGATAAACTATATATAGATCTAGAGAAAGATATATACTCCCTGTTGTGTGGGAATTGGCAGTGTCCTGTCACGTGTCTGTCCCTTTCTCCGCGGTTAACTGGGGCTGCTGCCCTCCCTTTCTCCTCCAGCCACTGCTGTCGTGGTGTTCTTCGAAGATGCACTGGAAAACTACTCTCTGGAGATTAGGGATTTAAAAAAAAAAAAAAAGTAAAAGAAAAAATAGGAAAAAAAGCATAAATGTTTGTGGGTCAGGATGGCGGTTGGGGGGAAATAACCTTGTGAACGACACTGTTCGCTTTCCCCTGCCTTCTCTGTGATTGTGTATAATACTTGAGTGTGTGTCTCGGGGTCTGCTGTCTCCTAGCTGTTAGCCAACTAAGTGACTCTTGATATATGAATATTGACTGTCAGACTGCAACTGTGTATCACACTAAATAAATTCAGTTCACCACAGTTTTAGTGTCGCTGTGATGGATTTTTAGGGAAACTCTGCATCCGGTAATGCTCGCTTCCAACTTTGGGTGATAGGCTGTCAAGCACATATTAAAAGAGAAAAAAAGCTACCTTAGTCTGCAGTGGCAAGAATTCAGGAATCTAGCAATATTTTTTTTCCAGATCACAAAATTTATTAAAAGGCAAATGGACAATTTTCATCCCCACTTTTTAATGGAAGCTAAAGAAGAAACAAAAGAAAGCAACGAGCCTCTTCACTTGACAACCCTTGTTCTGAAAGTTATATTTCGAGTGAAGAGAGTTGCTTTACCTCTGGGATGCTTCCATGAAATAAACTCTGCCGCCAGATAATCTTGCCTGTTTTAAAAGAATTGGGTAGTCTCTGATCTTACTTGTTTTCTTGCAAGTCTACCCCTCATGCAGGGGTAGGCAACCTCGGCTCTTTTATGACTCATGGACGTCAACTCCCAGAATTCCCGAGTCAGCTATGCTGACACTCTCTCTCATAAAATTTGGATTGCTAACAAAGAATTAAGGTATTTCGAACTATATATATATATATATATATATCCTCCCTCGCTCTCTCTCATAAAATTTGGATTGCTAACAAAGAATTAAGGGAGAATGGAATAGCTATTTCGAACTAAGGGAGAATGGAATAGCTATTTCGAATATATATCCCCCCCCTTTAAGGCTCTCTTTTTTTTTACAACTTTTTAATGGTCCCGCTTTCCCACTCTCCTTTTTCCTTCAGAAAAAAATGTTTCTGGTTCAGTTTTCCAAACTTTGATGTGCTGACGGTCTCTCCTACTCCCCCCTGCCCAGCGCGAGGCGGGTGCAGACGTTGCAGCGCGCCGGGCGGGGAGGGGGCGGCGCGGGGGCTTCCATCCCGGAACGTGCCCGGCGGAGCGGTCGCGTCCCAACAGTCCCCGCCGGAGCCCTTTGCTGGCTGGCTGGCCGGCCGCCCTGGGCAAGCTCGCCGGAGGGGCGCGGGGGCGGAGGGGATCAGCGCCTCCCCAGCGGCGGAGCCCCGGCAGGAGGAGGCGGGCGCTCCCTCCCGGGCGCGGCCAATCAGCGGCTGCGGCAGAAGCGGCTCACCTGGCCGCCCCGCGCTCGCCTCTCTCGCCCGGGGAGCCTCGCAGGCGTCCTGGGCGGCCGGGAGAAGCCTCGGCGCCGCCGCCGCCGCTGATCTCGGCTCCCTGCACGGAAGGAAGGAAGGGCGCGCCTCGCCACCTGCCCGGGCGCCGCACCTGCCGCTGCTCTCCGCCCACCTGGGCTCACCTGGGCGCACCTGGGCTTCTCCGGCGGCATGGAGCCCGTCCGCCTTCCCGACGAAGCCGCCTTCCGCGCCTTCCAGGCGGAGTGCGAGGCGGAGCTGGGCTGGCTCAGCCGCTACAACCGGGATGGCGTCGCCGTCTGGGGGCAGCTGCCTCCCCAGGGGGACTTCGCGGTGCACCGCGTGAAGGTGAGCGGGGCTCCTCCCCGGGGCTCCGTGGGAAGGGGGGGGACGGACACGTGTCGGCGGGCGGGCGGGCGAGGGGCAACAAGTGCCCCCCCGCACCCCGAAAAGACCCCCCCCTCTCTGATCTGAGTCTCCCGGCTCTCTCTTTGCTCTTTGCCTTCTAACGATACTTGCGGGTCGGTTGCGTGTCAGGCATTCCCATGTTTGCCGGAGGTAGGGGTTAGCCAGGCGTGCGTCCTTGCGTTCACACGTGGGCAGCACTCCGCGGAGCCATCCAGGAGGGACTCGGGACTTTGCCTGCGTGATGCTTTTGGCCTAAACCCCCTTTCCTGCTAAGCTGAGCGCTTATGCACAAACTTGGGTTAATTGAGGAAGCCATAGTTGAGTGCAGAACGGGGGAAAGTTGCAAAGGCAGCTTTTTACCTTCCTGCATGTGTGAATCGAGGTAAATCGGGGTCTCCCCTCCTGTGCTGTATCTCTTCCGGGAGACCGAAGTTAATGAGAAGCAGGGTGTGGTAGGAATGTAACAGAAACCTGACATTAAAAGCTTATAAGTCCAATTAGCTGTAGGAGCAGAATTTTCCTGGTGCTTTGTTGTTATTTTCTTCTTCTTTTGATTCCTATTTATACTTCATCCCTGCTTATGTATATATTTCCCCTTTTAATTCTTTTTGTTTTGGATATCTCTGAACTGGTACTCAGCCCAGTTTGGGATGTCAGTGCAGTACAAAGGGATGGGGGAGATTCATAGACATTTTTAAAGCCATAATTCTTATCGAGTCCTGAATAGAATCTCAGTTCAGCAGGGCAAGCTGGGAGGTGTCTCAGGTGTGTGTGTGTGTGTGTGTGTGTGTGTGTGTGTGTGTGTGTATGGAAGGTTCATCTCTAAAGACGCACTGTGCCAAATCTCCCATGGTCCACAGCCAGCAGAATTACTGTGGATCAAGAGAATATGGCCCATCATATGTGGGGACCTCAAATTAGGGGGGAAAAATGATGCATTAGTTGGGTTGTTAACTAGTTAGCTAAGAAGTTCTGAATGCTCCAGCAGTGGAGGTTTTTAAGAAGAAATTGGACAATCATCCATCTGAAATGGTATAGTGTCTCCTGCTTGAGCAGGGGGTTGGACTAGAAGACCTCCAAGGTCCCTTCCAACTCTATTATTCTGCTAAGTTCAGTTCCCCATTTTGCAATTAGGGTGACCTGGCCTACAATAATTGTTTTTTCTCACTATGGGTAAGAAACAGGAAGCTGACTCTGGCCACTTCCTATAAAGAAAATCTCTATAAAATGTTCTATAGATGGCATCTCCCACCCATAAGATTAGCTAAAATGGGTTCAAATGCTTCTTCCAAATGTTGGAAATGTAAATTGGCAACTGGGACATACTGTCACATGTGGTGGGAGTGCCCACGAGCCCGTGACTTTTAGAATAAGGTTAAAAACTGGCTGGAAGAAATTTTAATGGTAGTGGTAGAGTTAAAACCAGAACTCTTTCTATTAGGCATAACCACGCAGAAATATGACAAATACGGTATTCTATTTGATGTTCCACATTCTCACAGCTGCTAGATTGGTATATGCTCAAAACTGGAGGAAGAAAGGAATTCCAACAGAAGAAGAGATCTTATATAAAATTTTATCGTGTGCTGAAATGGATAGGCTCACAATGGAAATGAAGGATAAGACAGAATCAGACTACTTTGAAATCTGGGACCAATTTTATTACTGGCATGAATTAAGGAGAACTGCTTGGGCTTCAGACTAATGTTAAGACAGAAATATATATATAACTGTATATTGGTAATAACATTAAAAATATGAACCCTGGGTATATCCATATTCGAGATAAAAGTGAGCACCAGGGAAGTTAAAACTATAAAAAGTTTAATTAAAAAAACTGTATATATAATTGTATTGTATAGAAGAATAAGCTTATTTAGAGATTAAGAATGATGTATTAATTATATGTATTAAGAGGAACAAATTATTAGGAATATTTATTCTGGAATGTCACATGTCCATTTTTGTTTTAACTGTATTATAAATAAAAAACTTTAAAAAAAATAATAATTGTTCTTTCTCAGAGGTACTCAACTAGTTTCATGGAGTTGTGACTATCAAAAAGGAACCAGACCCCAAGGAAGAATATAGTCCTCTTGGCTTGAGCCCTGACTGCAATAAATATAATCAATGAAATATTTTCCTTCGTACTGATCAGGTGGTAGTTTCTCCTTTAATATCTGCTAGAAGCAGACGCCTATATTTGACAAGAAACTCAAAAGTTATTCATGTTAACCTAATAGCAGGCTATGATTGGAAATACTTCTGAATTAGAAGTTGGGCAGCAATGTTGCCGAAATTACTAGGTACCAAGACATACCAAAACCTAATTTAAATTTTACTTGGGTAGACAGTCTTATTTTGTAGACTTAACAACTACCAACCAAGATGCTTGTTTTGGTTAAACTTTGAAGAGCTCCCTCATGTTTAGGACAATTTTATCTAACAGTTGTTTAAGTTGTTTGGGTGAGGTTTTTTTGGGGGGAGCGGGTGTCTTCTGAAGGCCTAACCATTTCCACAAAGGATGCTTAAGTAGGCATTCGTAGCCCACTTGATTTTTAATTATTTCAATACTTGTGTTTCGGAAATAATTTGTTAGCACTTTAAATAAGGAAAAAAAAAACAGTTTATTAAGTTTATAAAGCTGCCAAATTAGAGGTTGTGGCTTATAATTAAAAAATAAATAAGCGCAACAATACAAGACAGAATATAGACAATCCTTTGGGATATAGTTTTTCAACCATCACTTATTGCTCAGCAGGATCTAAAGATACCTTGGCTCGTGACTTTTCAAAAGATGGGGTTTTTTCAATGAAAAAAAATTATCTGGAACACAAAAGAGAAACTTCTCCAGTATGGGCTTGAGAGCGTTTGATATAATTGTATTTTTAAAATAAAATAAAATAACCAGAAGCAATAACTCCAATATAAGAAACTGCAGGAAAATAAAGCCGGGTAGGCTTCTTTTCATCGTTATTCAGCCTGTTGAACTTCTGGCTAGCAATTCCATTTTTTTTTCCCCTCGACTTAAAAAATCTTGGAACTGCAAAATTGATCCCATTTTTCTTTTAATTTCCCAGCAACCCTTGAGATGGGTTAGGTTGAAAGAATTGAGGGTTGTGAATTCTGCTGTGCTAATTTTCTTTGAGGTTTCAGAAGATTAGTAGGGACTCTAAATTATGGTTTACTGACTAAACTGTACACGCATGCACCTCCCTCCCATAAATGTATGTCAGATTTCCCAGATCTGGTAATCTCTAGATGTGTTTGGAGAATGGCCTGCAACTCTGAAGGACAGCCCATCTCAAAGACAGCAAACCAAGTAGAATTATCATGCATCCTAGAGTCCAGATTCACTTAACAACCAGGTTACTAACTTATCAACTGCACTTAACATCTGTGGCAAAAAAAATAGGTGGTAAAATGGGGCAAAACTCACTTGGCCAATGTCTCGCTTAAAAACAGAAAAGTTGGGCTCAGTGGTGGGCGTACGTCGAGGATTACCTGTACTTGTTTTCTTGAAAACTCAAGAAATTATATTTTTTTAAAAAAGTGCTGTGTTTTCCCAAACTTAAGATTGATTCCTTTCCAAGTTGTTACCGATAAAGGAGAATATTTGTAACTCGGGATTGAAGTGAGCGATCCTTGGTGCTTTCTGAGCTTGGTGGTTTTCTGGCATCATAGATGATGTTAGCTAGTTCGGGTAATGAAAGGTCTGCAAGAGAACAAGGCAAGCTCGGAGAGCAGCAAGGGGCTCTCCTGTCAACGCCGAGCTGCAAATATTCTCCTTTATTAGTACCACATATGGGCATCAAGCACTTCAGCAAGCAGCAGCAATGATGGTGTTACCTAGTTGGGTAATGAAACATCTGCAAGAAAACAAGCTCAGAGAGCAGCAGCGTGCTCTCAGAGTCATTGTTTCTTTTTTATATATCTATAAATTTTATTAGTTTTTATAGAGTTAGGGATAAAATGGGGTCAGGATTAGGATTGAGGTTTGAGTTAAGATTAGGGTTGGGGTTTTCCCAGGTAACATTTTCAATATGTAGCCAACAGCATATTGTCTGGGTACATGTATTTAACAATAATAGATGTAGTTAATTATCATAAGCAGTATTAATTAATCACTCCATAGCCGCCTTCTTACTGATATATATTCAAAATTACATATCACATTCCTTTCTCTCTGACCTGTTTTTCTAGCCATTGGTAAAAGTTATCCCATGTTCTAAAGAGTCTTCTTTCTCTTTAATCTCTAAAGTCAATCTATCCATTTCTGCTCACTCAGTTGGTAAGTTTTCATTTTTCCAATATTGGGCAAATACAATTCTTGCTGCTGTTAAAGTCATTGTTTCTTATCGGTAGTGGAGCTATACAGAGAGATCAATTTGGAAGTTAAGGCAGGGTTTTGAGTAAGGATAGGGGTGCACATTCTACCTGTTAGGAGGAATTTTATGCTTGTTAAATAAATAATTTTCACGGTGAAATGCAAACAACTACAACAGGAAAAAAATACAGTAGCAATTACACACTGAGAAGAGAATCTCCGTATATTATGGGTATCCCAAAGATGCTTTTTCAAAAGGCCACTGGACTTTTTTTTTTCCTTGAAAACTTTTTGTTTCTCATCCAAGAAACTTCTTCAGTTCTTCATTGTGGGTAGTTAAAATACACTCAATCTAACACAAAGGGGAAAATATAATGTATACCTAATACAAATATAGAATTCAGTCTGATGCTTTTCCAAAAATCCTCACACAAGGATGCAGTCCATATTTTAGAAATAGAGCTTGACATCACATTTATATCTAGTCTGGGTTTTTTTCCAAGATTGTTAAGTGAGTTTTGCCCCATTTTATGACTTTTCTCACTACCTTTAAGTGAATTACTGCTGTTTTTAAATTAGTAACATGGTTGTTAAGGGGATCTGGTTGCAAAGGGGGATCACGTGATCTGGGGCACTGCGACCATAAATGTGAGTCAGTTGTCAAGCATCCCAAAGTAAATCATGTGACCACGGGGATGGTGCAACGGTCACAGGTGTGAAACACGATTATAAGTCACCTTTTTTCACTGCCGTTGTAACTCCCAACGGTCACTAAATGAATTAAAATAAAGTACTACCTGCTTATGCTAGGATTTGAAAGCAAGACAAGACCACATCGTATGACTAGGGGTACCATAAGCAGATGTGTCTTTCTGAACTCTCATAATTGGGATGAGATGGGTTGGATTTGGGGAGGAGGGTTTCTGGATACATTCTCTGCACATGTTTTGAACTCTTGGCATCCAGATTTTTGCACGGCTGTAACAAGCAGAGCCTGTTAAGCCTCCAATTTCCTAATCTTCCCGTGTTCACTTATACTGGATTTACAGGAAAATTCAGTAAAAAAATGTCTGTGGCAGAAAAGACATCGTTCAGAAAGCAGAAAGTCATAGATTGCCTCTGCCATAAAAATTCCCCTTTTGCTGGTTTCTAATCCTAATAATTCCACAAAGAAGGGAATTATTCCACCTTTCCATTGTTGCTCTTGAATTCTTTTTAGATTATAATTAGGTGAGCCTAATGGGAAATGTCCTTGATAGGACATGATATCCCGGGTTGTTGAGTAATCCATGGAGAATATAGGATTTGTCACTTGCTCTGAAGCCAGACAAAGTCATTGTTTTACTAGCCAACCAGGAAGTTGGCCAACAGATCAATGATTTACAAAGAAGCACGGAGCTCCTAGTTTGTCTGAAAGAAGAGAAATGATAGGAGAAGCTGCTCCTTTTTCATTAGAAACAGGCCAGGTCAAAAAGGCAAAAATTAAGGGTGGGAATCCTACCATTGCGGGTAGAAAATTGAACCAACAATGAGGAAAGCTGAGTTCAATTCTTTCTCTAGATAAGATAAATAAAAGAGCCAAGCTGGTGTGGGAATAGAAATATGGCCGTGAGCAAAAAATTGCATCCATAACCTTATGCTTTTTCAAGAAAAAAGAGAAATATTAATGCATTTCAGATGTAGAAACTGACTCTTTTAAAGAACAGTTCATAATTAAAATACAATTTTAATTGTATTAGAGGTGTCCGGAGCAGGAAATCTAACTGTCACATTACACATAAAACGAGGGAATACATATGTCCCTAGGGAGCATTGTTTTCTTCCATCTGAAGCCCTCCAAATGTACAGGATTACAGCTAGCTAGCCTGTGACTTGCAGTCACAATTGAGCCCAACATTTCTGTTGTTAAGCAAGACAGTTGCTAAGTGGGTTTTGCCCCATTTCTTGCCAAAGTTGTCAAGTGAACCATTGCAGTGCTTAAGTTAGCAGTACAGTGTTAAGCAAATCTGGCTTCCCCATTGACTTTGCTTGTCAGAAGTTTGCAAAAGGGGATCGCGTGACCCTGGGACATTGCGACCGTCATAAATATGAAGCAGTTGCCAAGCGTCCGAATTTTGATCACATGATGATCACAGTCGAAAGTGTGAAAAACAGTCATAAGTCACTTTTTTCAGTGCTGTTGTAACTTCGAACGGTCACCACATGAACTCTTGTAAGTCGAGGACAACCTGTATAGCTCTCCATTATCGTCATGGGAACCCGTGCGGTCCAGTGTTGATGGTACTGGGTTGGGAAGAAGAATTCAGCTCCAAGTTGTTCCTTAAGAAGAGGAAGCTCTGCTCTGTCAGCTGAACCTACCTCACCAGGTGGAGAAAAATAGGTCTTGTACTACACTTGGATATAAAAATATTATAGTATGTTGTAATGCCTAAAAGAAGATTGCTGGTGGCTTATAGGAGGAGGTAGAAATTGGGGGTGATTTGCTCTCCAAGTTTGCCGAACCACATTGGCACACAAGACATATATAAGCTAAAGAGTATTCTTCTTCTTCTTGTGCCATATCCGTTATCGGATGTTGGCGATCATGTTGGCGATCCTGTTTTTATCAGCAGCCGCACGAAAAAGGGCTGCTGAGTTTTGTTCAAACCAGAGATTTTGAAGCCACAATGTTCTTCTTCTGCCTGGACCTCGTTTGCCTTCCATCTTTCCCTGGAGGATTAAATGGAGTATGCCGTATTTTTCTGGGTGTCGCATCACATGTCCGAAATATTCTAATTTTCGGTTTTTTAATTGTTTTGATGATTTCCCTGGGCTTTCCCAAGAGGCTGTTCCAAGAGGAACAGGACAAGGAAATCCTGTTGATGTTACTTAGTCTGGTAACGAAAAGTTCAGAAACTGAACTGAAGCAAGCTTGGAGAACAAACCCCTGTCAAAATCTGAAACCAGAGCTACAAGTATTTTCTATTTATTTCGGAGGCAGAAATTATCCAGAGTATGCCAAGTTGCAGAGAGAGACATGGGTTGCCAACATTCGTTTGTTAAAGGATAGAAGGCATTTTCACAGCTACCTAGTTTATTCAGGTGACTTACACTGGATCTCACAAGGTCACCTCATGCATCCAATCCAACCTGTTGTTTTCCTAGATTGTGTGTTAGGAATCATTACATTGGAATGTTTTCTGGGTTTATTCCTGCAGCAGTCATTAACCACACTTGCCAACCAAACTTTTATTGCTTCTAAAGTCTATTCTGAAAGCCCACAACGTGGACCTTTTATTATTCTTTCTTCCAATTAACATCTTGGGCTATTTTTTTCCCTGTTAATGGAACACTCCAGGCAGCCATCGACATTAAAATGCACAAAAACGCAAGATATCTTTCAAATATTTAAACCAAGAAATATGGGAATAATCCTTCCCCGCCTCCTTTGATTCCGAATGTGAGTCAAAGCTCTCCAAACCGAACAGAGGATAAAACTATAAGTCGCCACTGATCTTGTTAGTTTTTCTCTTTCAAGGCCAATCTTTAGATTGATCACTTTTCATGAAAAATTGAAACTCTGGTTTTGGTTTTGCTGATGGTAGATTTGTTGTTATAGAAACGGCTCGTATGTATTATTGTATAAAAGTAAACAGTTGAGGTTGTAATGTTATTGTCTATTACTGTGCTAAAAAGAGTGGAAGTCAATGCCTTTCTTTTTCCCCTTCTACCCTATACTTTCTCTTTTTTCCTTTTCTCCTCTCCAGCTCCCATTATTTTCATTTTTCCTTTGTATTTTATATTCTGATAAATGAATAAAACATTTTGATACATAGATTGATCAGTTTTGCCACATCTGAGAGCAGAAAGGTAGCAATAACACTTAGACTTATATGCCACTTCACGGTGCTTTACAGCCCTCTCTAAGTGGTTTATGGAGTCAGCCTCTTGCCCCCAACAATCTGGGTCCTCATTTTACCGACCTCAGAAGGACGGAAGGCTGAGTCAACCTTGAGCAAGTCAGGATCAAACTGCTGGCAGTTGGCAGAATTAGCCTGCAATTCTACATTTTAACTACTGCGCCACCATGCCTCTTGTTTTACCATATTGTTGTACAATATTCCTGTTTTACATTTAAGGCTCCCTAGAAAAGATCGAACTCCTGACAGTAGGCAGAGTTAGCCTGCAATACCGCATTCTAACCAATGTGCCACCACGGCTCCTGTGATTTATTTGTGTGCGGTTTACACCCCCATAATGTCTGTGAGAGCCTCTGTGTAATAACCCTGGTGATACTAGAGAAATTATAGGGGCAGAACTCGAGATATACAAGACCATTTGCAGAAACATGAGAAAAATGTCTATATTTAATTGTCATTTATTCAATAATAACTATTAATTTAAGGTTGGCAAAAGAGAGCATTATTGGAAGAAGAAAAAATCAAGCAAAGCCATTATATGAACTATAGAATTATAGAAATTAATTGTTATTGATTGTTTTTTTAAAATACTAACCCAGACAACATGCTGTTTACCAAATATTAAGGTGATTGTGTTAAAAATCAATAAAACATATTTTTAAAAAAAGACCATGGACCCAACCTAGAACAGCTGACTGACTATTCTAACATTGCCTCTCCTTTGATCACAGGGCTGTGTGAACATGCCGGATGTATCAGCTGAGACCGTATTTGATGTCCTACATGACACCGAATACCGGAAAAAGTGGGACTTAAATGTTATTGAAACCCATGAGATTGCCCGGCTCTCTGACAACGCTGATGTGGGATACTATTCTTGTGAGTAAGGAGCTAGAAGATTTTGTAATATTAGGTGCATACCGTTCTTAACAAGCAGATAGCGGGATTCGATTCTTAGTTTTTGGCATCCAGGTTAAAAACTTGATCGGGAGAGAGTTTTGCCCAAATTAGGGGAGAAATTTGTCAATCTGTAGATCTTTTTTTTTTCTTAGTACTTTTGAATCAGTCTTGACTCCTGCCAACTTTCTAGACCAGGGGTCTTCAAACGTGGCCCTTTTATGACTTGTGGACTTCAACTCCCAGAATTCCTCAGCCATTTTTCTTGGCAAGGTGTTTTGGAAGTGATTTGCCATTGCCTGTTTCCTAGGGTCGAGAGAGACTGACTGGCCCAAGATCCCCCTGCTGACTTTGTGTCTAAGCAAGACTAGAACTCGTTGTCTCCAGGTTTCTAGCCAGACGCCTTAACCACTATCCCAAACTGACCCTCTGCCTTTAGGCCTTGGGCCCCAAATTACATGGTTCTCTGAATGCTATAATTAAAGTGGAACCAGATTTAGCTAATTTAGGCTTTTGTGATGACACAGACATGACTGAGATGGCCTTAGTACATGCTTCTGGAATTTCTTCTGGAATTAGAGGCAGAAGATCTCTCAATATCGGATACCAGAAGTTGGAGAGCTTTGTTCTTGCTCAAACTCTTTTAGAAATGGATCCTTGTCTGCTTAGCCAGACCTCACTAGATCCTAAACTGGCCAATATCTGCTGATATCTCAGATTCTCGAGAGGCAGAGAAGAGCATCTGCTTTTTGTGTGGCTTATGGCTGTCCCACCAGACCAGCAAACTTATGCACAAAATATGCATATGGTACATAAGGAGATGGGCTAGGTAAGATCAAAACCAAAGTCTAGACCAGGAGTGTCCAACCTTGGCAAATTCAGGACCTGTGGACTTCAACTCCCAGAATTCCCCAGTCAGCCAGGCTTGAAGTTGAAGTCCACAAGTCTTAAAATTGCCAAAGTTGAACATACCTGTTCTAGACCTCCTCTCAGATATGGAAGCTCACTGGGTAACTATGAGCTTTGAGTTGAAAGCTGAAAGGTATCAACCTAATGTAAATAGAATATTCATGACAACAAGCGCAAGGATTACTATCTTTTCTAATGCCCTAAGGTCTGATGTTCCACAGGTAGTCCTTGACTTCGAACGGTTCATTTAATGTCTATGGCAGGGGTCTTCAACCTTGGCAACTTTAAGACTTGTGGACTTCAATTTCCAGAATTCCTCAGCCAGCTTTGCTAGTAGCTTTGGTTGTCGCCACATTGTGGGAACATATCGTTGGCTTAGCCCAGGGGTAGGCAACCTTGGCTCTTTTATGACTCATGGACTTCAACTCCCAACTCCTGAGCCAGCCATGCTGAGGGGAAAGGGAGAAGTTTCCAAGCTGAGCTACGCTGGCTCAGGAATTCTGGGAATTGAAGTCCATGAGTCATAAAAGAGCCAAGGTTGCCTACCCCTGTCCTAAGTCCTCCTGTTCTAAACGGTGAGCCTCCTAGACCAGGGGTAGGCAACCTTGGCTCTTTTATGACTCATGGACCAACTCCCAGAATTCCTGAGCCAGCAGGGCTCAGCTTGGAAACCTTTCCCTTTATCCTCAGCATGGCTGGCTGAGGAATTCTGGGAGTTGAAGTCCACGAGTCTTAAAATTGCCAAGGTTGAAGACCCCTGGTCTATGGAGATTCTCGGTCATCCAGATCACGGTTGTCCCAAAGGTGCTTTTTCAGGAACCAAACTGGACTGTCTTGTTTTTCTTTGAAGACGTTTCACCTCTCATCCAAGAAGCTTCTTCAGCTCTTGACTGAATCCTTCCATTCGCCACCATCCAGTCAGAGCTGAAGAAGCTTCTTGGATGAGAAGCGAAACGTCTTTGAAGAAAAAAAAAACAAAGTCCAGTTGCCTCCTGAAAAAAAGCATTGAACGCTTGTTTGAAGTTATGTTGGCTTTTTTAAAAAAGTAACTTGCAACTGATCCTCACACGGCTGTCACAGCATCCTCATGGGTTACGTGACCAAAATTGGCAGCCGGCCTCTTTGCTATGGTTGCATCATCCTGGGATCACGTGACCACCGTTTGCAAACTTCCCAGTTGCCTTCCAACAAGTGAAACCCATGTGGGAAAGTGGGATGCATTTATAATGATTGCATGATTTACTGAACAATTGTCGCGATTCGCAAAAGAGGTCATAAAATCAGGCACGACTCACTAAACCACCATTTGGCTTAGCCATGGAAATGCTGGTTCCAGTTGTGGTTATAAGTCAAGGATTACCTGGTTTCCCGTCTTTGTTCTGATTCCATGAATAATGGGTCCAACTACCTTTACGGGTAGTTTTATGCAGCTTGATTTATTAGAATTTTTACTCCATCTTTATTATAAATAACTCAAGGCAGCCAACACACCTGATTTACCTTCCGCCTCCCATTTTCTTCACAACGACAGCCCAACGAGGTGGGCTGGGCTGAGATAGATAAATCAGTGCATGCTGAATGGCTTTTGAATTTATTTATTTTTTAAAATCCTAATTCCTAAACATTGCAATGTGTAAAGGCAAGGGGTTGCAGAATTCTTCCAAAGCTTTTGGTCTCTCCCTAAGGAGGAGGATAAAATAGAATTCATTGTATGTAGCAGGGCCTAATGCTGGGAAAGATTGAGGGCAATAGAAGAAAGGGACGACAGAGAATGAGGTGGCTGGATGGAGTCACTGAAGCAGGAGGCGTGAGCTTCAATGGACTCCAGAAGATGGTAGAGGACAAGAAGGCCTGGAGGAACATTGTCCATGGGGCCGCGATGGGTCGGACATGACTTCGCAACTAACAACAACAAGTCTAATGAAAAGAAGGATTAGAGGAGACATGATAGCAGGGTTCCAATTCTGAGTTGAAAATATCAAATTATAGCTTCTGGAGAAGACTCCTGCGAGTCCCCTGGACTGCAAGGCAATCAAACCAGTCAGTCCTAGAGGAGATCAACCCCGACTGCTCTTTAGAAGTCCAGATCCTGAAGTTGAAACTCAAGTAACTTTGGCCACCTAATGAGAAGGAAGGACTCCCTGGAGAAGAGCCTAATGCTGGGAAAGATGGAGGGCAATAGAAGAAGGAGACGACAGAGAAGGAGGGGGCTGGATGGAGTCACTGAAGCAGTAGGCGTGAGCTTAAATGGACTCCAGAAGATGGTAGAAGACAGGAAGGCCTGGAGGAACGTTGTCCATGGGGTCGCGATGGGTCGGACACGACTTCGCAATTAACACCAAAGCAGTGATCACCTGATGGTATCCAGGCCTGTCAGAGCAGCTTGCCAATTCGCTAGGTAAGCTGGCATGCAAATTGGGACATTCCTGACATAGCAATGCCAGCACATGCCAGCGAGGCCTCGGGTTGGCAAGGCTCACCTGGATGATATAAAAGATTAACCTTGCAGAATTATAGCCCTGGGTACCGCAGACCCAGAAGGTTATTAACAGGTGAGAGAGAGGGTTTAGAAGCAGGCAGCAAAGGTGATGCAAGGGCCTGAGGGCCTGCTTGAGGACAGGCGGAAGGAATTGGAGGAGTTCAGCCTGAGGAAAACGAGAACTTGAGGGAAGCGTGAAAATTGTGCTCAGATACATAAAGAAAAGGCCAAACACTCTTCATTGAGTTTTGCAGAGCGGTACGATTGAATGGACCTTGTGCTCCTTTCCAGCTCTGCGTTTCTGTAATTTAAATTAGGTTTACCCCCCCCCTTTTTTTTTCTATTGGTTTAAATCCCTGCCTATCAAACTGATGCACCTTCTCTATCTTCCTGACTAGGGAAGTGCCCGAAACCTTTAAAGAACAGAGATGTTGTCACCTTGAGGTCTTGGAGAATCTTGGATAAGTCATATGTAATCCTCAATTTCTCTGTCAAGCACCAGGTAAGTGAACCAAAACAAACTGGTACCTTTCTGAGTGGCTTACAGGTAGTCCTCAACTTAAGACCACAATGGAGCCCGAAATTTCTGTTGCTAAGTGGGTTTTGCCCCATTTTACGATTTTTCTTGCCACAGTTGTTAAGCGAACCACTGCAGTTGCCTGGTTCTTAAGCGAATCGGGCTTCCCCATGGACTTGGCTCGTCAGAAGGTCGCCAAAGGGGATCACGTGACCCCGGGGCACTGCGACCGTCATAAATGTGAACCAGTTGCCAAGCGTCCGAATTTTGATCACATGACTCTGGGGAGGCTACGACAGTCATAAGGGTGAAAAACGGTCATGTCCCTTTTTTCAGCGCCGTTGTAACTTCGAACGGCCACTAAATGAACTGTTGCAAATTGAGGACTACCTGTACACAGCATGATTTGCACAATGTGGTACCCACTAGACTAAAATGGGCCTAGTAGCTTTGGTTGTCGCCACATTGTGGGAACATACCCTTGGCTTAGTCCAGGGGTAGGGCACCTTGGCTCTTTTATGACTCGTGGACTTCAACTCCCAGAATTCCTGAGCCAGCCTGGCTCAGCTTGGAAGCCTCTCCCTTTCCCCTCAGCATGGCTGGCTCAGGAATTCTGGGAGTTGAAGTCCACCAGTCATGAGGGGGCCATAGTTCCCTCATGCTGGCTCAGGAATTCTGGGAGTTGAAGTCCACAAGTCATAAAAGAGCCAAGGTTGCCTACCCCTATCCTAGGACAAAGATTAAGAGCAGGGGTCTTCAAACTTGGCCCCTTTATGACTCGTGGACTTCAACTCCCAGAATTCCTGAGCCAGCCATGCTGAGGGGAAAGGGAGAGGTTTCCAAGCTGAGCCAGGCTGGCTCGGGAATTCTGGGAGTTGAAGTCCACGAGTCATAAAAGAGCCAACATTGCCTACCCCTGGTTTAGCCTAAATCATCCTATTGTTTAGGCATGGCATGCTGTGTGACACAGGTTCTTAACCTGGATTTGGTGGGTTGTGAGAAACCAGCACAGTGTGAGTTTAGCACTGGAAGTTGAGCTGCCCTCTGCTACCATGTTTTCCCCAAAATAAGACCGGCTCTTATATTAGTTTTTGCCTCCAAAAGATGCATTAGGGCTTATTTTCCGGTTAGGTCTTATTTTCAGGGAAATAGGGTACTAAGTGCGTTTGTCTGGCTGACTATCTTAACTGGGGCTTATTTTGGGGGTGGGGCTTATCTTACGAGCGTCCTGAAAAAGAGCCGGTTGGCTCTTATTTTCAGAGAAGCACAGTAGTAGGTGTGCTTTTCTTCCACAACAGACTCTATAATGGTCAATGTTGGCTTTGCAGGCCAACACCTACAACATCAGTTCAGTTAATGGAGGGACTTGTTCAAAGGCTCAGACCCAAAACTCAACCCCAACTCATTGTTCGCCTTTCTTTTGTGTAGAAATACCCTCCCCGCAAGGATCTCATAAGAGCTGTGTCTCTCTTAGCTGGATACCTGGTGCAACCAACTGGACCCAGCAGTTGCTGCTTGACTTATTTGGCCCAGGTAGACCCAAAAGGTAAGGACCCTTTTTAGAGACAGATGTTGCATTTATTTGGATCTGAAACAGGAAAGGTGCTTTGGAGCCAGCGCTGCGCTCCTCACAGTTCAGGACAGATGGGCACCACAGATTTAAATTGAAATAATCGGCTGTTAACAGGAGGTAGCCTTGAATGAGGGCCACTTCAAACAGAGCCGTGCCAAGGTAAACTGAATCATACGTGCATGATCATCTAATTGGCTTCAAAACCAGATCTTGAGCTGCTTATATTGTCCTGAAGATTGCTTGGTCAACCCTTCCAAATTCTGGAGCAGGACCCCTGGTGGCACAGTGGGTAAACTGCAATGTTGCAGGCAAACCTTGTTCACAGCCAGGAGTTCGATCCTGACCAGCTCAAGGTTGACTCAGCCTTCCATCCTTCCGAGGTTGGTAAAACAAGGGCCCAGATTATTGGGGGGCAATATGCAAATAACACATTGTAAACTGCCCAGAGACTGCTGTTAAGCACTATTGGGCTGTATGTAAGATTAAATCCTATTGCTATTACTGTCTTGAGTCAGAGCCCCTTCCATCCACCCACCCACTCCCATCCCACCGCCCAATCATTCAGTGTGGGAAGCTTATCAGTTAACTGCTACAAATACAACAGCTACAGCTACCTCCATGTGGCAGGAGGTGTCGAACAAGTGTGGGAAGCGTGTTAGATTTCAAGAAATTAGCATAAGGAGAGACCTAATCTACAAATGAACACCTGGATGTCAAGTAAAGTTTGCGTACCTTAGTTCTGGCCCCAATCCTTGAGATTTGAAGGCACAATGTTTGTTGCAGTTGTTCTTATTATTTATTTATGTATTTATTTATTTATTTTATTCAAGGTATAAGCCATCCATTTTACCATCAAAGCACTTTTTTTTTTTAATTTCCTATGGCGGGGGCTCTCGTTGTATTGAATGGATTATTTTGTAATTCTGGGTTGTATTGAATGGATTATTTTTTTCACTGCTCTGAATGTAAATCCATGATCCCCTACCAAATTGGGTGGGGCCCAGAACAATTCTCTTACCCCCATCCCAGGCAAGGCCGGGTTAATAATAATAATAAAGTTGGAAGGGACCTTGGAGGTCATCAAGTCCAACCCCCCTGCTCAGGCAGGAAGCCTTATACCATTTCAGACAAATGGCTGACCAGTCTCTTCTTAAAAACTTCCAGTGTTGGAGCATTCACCACTTCTGGAGGGAGGTTGTTCCACTGGTTAATTGTTCTAACTGTCAGGAAGTTTCTCCTTAGTTCTAGGTTGCTTCTCTCCTTGATTAGTTTCCACCCGTTGCTTCTTGTCCTGCCTTCAGAGGCTTTGGAGAATAGCTTGACTCCCTCTTCTTTGTGGCAGCCCCTGAGATATTGGAACCCTGCTGTCCTGTCCCCCCTTGTCCAGGGTCTCTGCAAATGTGTTTCTTCCTCCTGAGCATGTTCTGCAGAGGACATTCTGTCTCATCTAGTCAGAGCTGAAGAAGCTTCTTGGATGAGAAGCGAAACATCTTCAGAAGAAACACAAGACAGTCCAGTTGCCTCCTGGAAAAAAAAATCACTTTTGGGTTCTGTCAACAATTGTTTATTTCATTGTAGTTGTCCTCCCAAGTCTTTATGAATCCTCTTTTGGTGCAGGAATTATTTAGAGGGACCAGCAAGCAAAGAGGCTTTGAGTGCTGGACAGCCCCTCCACCCAAAACACTTTGTATGTGTCAGGGTTTGAAGTCCAGCAACAGTTCCTAGCTTATTTCAGGGTTCCTCTCCTCAAAAGCTCTTTCCTAGAAATGCGTGCTCTTTTCATGCTTTCTCCTTTCACTTTCCTTATCTGCTCTGGCTTCTGTTCACCACCCAATTCTTCCTAGTGCAGTGGTGGCGAACCTATGGCACAGGTGCCAGAGGCGGCACGCAGAGCCTTCTCTGTGGGCATGCACGCCATCGCCCCAGTCCTAGGCCTTCAGCTGGGTTTTATAAAACCTTTTTGCTTTAGGCCTCCGCTGCCTAAAAAAAGCTTCAATCAATTTCAACTTCTCGCAGGGAAAAAAAAAGATCTTGCAAAGTTGGAATTGATTGATTGAACTTTTTAGTCCCACCCAGTCTGCCGTTACCACTGCAGCCACGCCCATCCAATGGGCCACACCCATCCAATGGGCCACACCCACCTGGCACCCAACGATACATAAGTGGGTTTTGGGTTGCAGTTTGGGCACTCGGTCTCTAAAAGATTCGCCATCACTGTCCTAGTGTCTTTTGTCATGCTTTCTTCCTGTCTGGTTTTGCCCTCTTCTGCAAATTTTCTTCTTAGAGGAATTTAATTTGAGGGGAGAGCTGAGCGGTCATTGTACCAAAGGGGTGGACATGTTCAAGGTGGGGGGGGAAAGGACTGGTTGGGATGAGGATGAAATTAAACTTGATTGAATCCGAATGTATTTTCCATCTCTTCTCCGACCTAGGATCCCTGCCCAAGTGGGTTGTGAACAAAGCTTCTCAGTACCTGGCACCAAAGGTGAGTGAGGCCTCACCTGTTGGGCTGAGCCGTTTCTCAGCATGAGTCATGGTGGCTTTCCCAGAACTGTATTAATAATAATAATAATGATAAAGTTGAAAGGGACCTTGGAGGTCATCGAATCCAACCCCCTGCTCAGGCAGGAAACCCTATACCATTTTGGACAAATGGCTGTCCAGTCTCTTCTTGAAAACTTCCAGTGTTGGAGCATTCACCGCTTCTGGAGGCAAGGAGTTCCACTGGTTAATTATTTTCACTATCAGGAAGTTTCTCCTTAGTTCTAGATTGCTTCTCTCTTTGGTTAGTTTCCACCCGTTGCTCCTTGTCCTGCCTTCAGGCGCTTTGGAGAATAGTTTGATTAATATTGATTTAAATGAGGCCAGGTAACGGAAAGATACAGGTTGCATTTATCTCGGGGTGGGGGGGGGCAAGGTTAGGGTTGAAAGATTGGTTGGCAACTAGAGCAAAGGTAAGAAATGGAGGCAGATTTGTAAAGGATCAACAACGGAAGTATTCCCACTGCTGTGACTAGCTTGGGGGGGGGGGACTCACACAAGCCTTTCCAAACAACTTTTCTTTTTATATGTAAGTTTCATTAGAAGTTTTACAAAAGACATAAAAAGCAAAGAAGGCACGGAGGGCACTTCTTTTTTTTCCTGGCTTGTCCAAACTGCCTAAAACTATGGGGTTGGAGACATATCACTCAACTGGCATTTGAGCCTTTCTATTCCCCAAACAGATCCTGTTAGCAGCTGACAAAGGAATAGCAGAATAACAGAGCTGGAAGGGACCTTGGAGGTCATCTAGTCCAACCCCCAACTCAAGCAGGAGACCCTACACCATTTCAGATAAATGGTTGTCCAATCTCGTCTTAAAAACCTCCAGTGATGGGGCCCCCACATTGACATCTGCTTTTATTTTATCCGATCTTTCCCTTCTCGGTACACTTAACTACCAACTGAAATTCCGAAAGATTCCTGGTTGGATATCATTTATATTCACAGCTTCTTAATATGTTAATATAAAATACTCTCCTTTAAGAATGCTTGTTTTGAGCCTGACCTTTTGCTTATATCTCATTTTAACACCTCCTTGCACGTAGGCAGGCACATTTTGTCATTTAGGTGTGGGATGAAGGACTTCATTTAAATTTAGATTCTTATGAAAATGGAACAACAACAGCCGCAGAGACAAAGAGAACAACAACAGAATTGAGAAAAAAAATTGAAATAATTTCTCCCTGTTTCCAAATTTTTAAAAAAACACGATAAAAGGTGATGGGAAATCTGGGAGAAGGAAGAGGAGGAGGAGGAGGAGAGGGTGGTAACAAAAATAACAGAGTTGGAAGGGACCGTGGAGGTCCTAGTCCAGTCTGAGTTTCAGTGCCTAAGAAGTTCTCCTGTTCTAAACGGTGAGCCTCCTAGACTAGGGGTACACAACCTTGGCTCTTTTATGACTCATGGACTTCAATTCCCAGAATTCCTGAACCGGCATGGCTCAGCTTGGAAACCTCTCCCTTTCCCCTCAGCATAGCTGGCTCAGGAATTCTGGGAGTTGAAGTCCACGAGTCATAAAAGGGCCAAGTTTGAAGACCTCTGCTCTTAATCTTCGTCCTAGGATAAGGGTAGGCAACCTTGGCTCTTTTATGACTCGTAGACTTCAATTCCCAGAATTCCTGAGCCAGCTATGCTGAGGGGAAAGGGAGAGGTTTCCAAGCTGAGCCATGCTAGGCTGAGGAATTCTGGGAGTTGAAGTCCACGAGTCATAAAAGAGCCAAGGTTGCCTACCCCTGTCCTAAGTCCTCCTGTTCTAAACGGTGAGCCTCCTAGACCAGGGGTAGGCAACCTTGGCTCTTTTATGACTCATGGACTTCAACTTCCAGAATTACTCAGCCAGCATGGCTCAGCTTGGAAACCTCTCTCTTTCCCCTCAGTATGGCTGGCTCAGGAATTCTGGGAGTTGAAGTCCACGAGTCATAAAAGAGCCAAGGTTGCCTACCCCTGGCCTAAGCCTTAACTTTGAAATAGCAGGTGGAGCGTAGTGGAATTGTGGTTTTGTCTACATTACCTGCCAAGAACACTGTGTGAGAGAGAGAATGGACTTGCAAGCTTTGTGCTCGTAGTTCCCGTCTTCTCTTTATTATCCTGACCCAGGTCCTTTTCTCTTCTTCCTTTCCCACGCTTCAGCTTATGAAGAAGATGTACAAAGCTTGTCTGAAGTATCCCTCCTGGAAGCAGCAACACAACGCAGGCAAAAAACCTTGGCTGCATCCGGAGCAAAGCCTCCTTCCCACCATGCCCCTGTCTGAACTCTCCCTCCAACACGCCTCCTCGCTGGAGAACATTGATGAGAGCAGCTTAATGGAAGCCAAGGAGGAGAAGGGCGACACCAGCGGTTCAGAGAATTGATGCCAATTTGACTTTTGCTCCTTTTTGAGACTAGCCCTGGCCAGCCAGCTGGCTTACCCAGTTGGTTTTACAATAAAGGATAAAAAAAAAATGCATTTTTTTTTTTAAATTGCATGGCATTTATTTTTCCTAGCTCAGACCAGCAGTGTGGCTTAGAGCAGGGGTCCTCAACCTTGGCAACTTTTAAGAGTGTCAAATCAAATAGATCAAATAGGTTTAATGATCCATTTCTTTCTCCTTCCTGTTGTGTTGACAATGATAACCCTTGGAGTAACTTTTAGAGAAGAACTTCTGATCTGCACAGCCAGGGTCTCCAAATTTGGCAACCTTAAGACTTTATGACTTGTGGGCTTCAGTTCCCAGAATTCCTCAGCCAATTCTGGGAGTTGAAGTCCACAAGTCTTAAAAGTTGCTACGTTTGGAGATCCCTGATCTACAGGCAGCCCTTAGATTCCAAGGAGTATGGCACTGAGCCATGTTCTTTCAGAATTTGGTTCTCCAGCCCCAAGAAGGATGGCAAAGATGGCTGGTTGAGAGGCTAGTTGGCTTGGTTTTCCAAGCCTGCATCTTTTGATGCATTATGGCAGTGTTTCCCAAACTTGACAATTTTAAGGCATGTGGACTTCAACTCCCAGAATTCCACAGCCAGCAATGCTGCCTTAAAATTGTCAAGGTTGAGAAACACTGGTTTAGTGGATGGGAAAGTATGCTAGTTAATCATAACAATGTCAAGTTTGGGAAACACTGCATTATGGTATTGTTGATTGAGACAGGCTTGGAAAATGATCAAATGAGTTGGAAATGGTCCTATGATTATCCAAAGTGATTGCACAGCGTCTTGGCTACAGTTTTAAATTCATGCCACATCGGTGACGTCTTGGAAGGAAGGGAAGACACATCTCCAGCGAAATGGTCTTGCTGGTCTAGTTTTAAAGGGGCAGCTTTTGAACCCAATTTGCCGAATCTCCATTCTCCCTCTTACCTTTCCCAGGTGACGTTGGGTGCTCTTTGCTCTGATAGATGGGTAAGCTATGGAGGAGCGGAAGAGGCAGGCCCAGCGGTTTAAATGGCAGGGTAGATGGCTGGTTGAAAAGGAAAGGCAGGAGGATGAGGTATTTGGTGCGGTGAGCAGAGGACTTGTTTCTCCAACTGAGTTGGCACTTTACCAGGTTTTTTTAATGCCCAACTTCCAGCCTCTCAGCCAGCAAAGCAATTCTTTGGTTCTTGATTCTGTTCTAACAGCTTTTCTTCCTTTAAGGAGCCCCGCTGCCGATCTACTGGGGACCAGGTTTTGCAACTTCGGATACAAAATCCACCTTCCCTTTTGAAGATCTGCCAATCGACTAAAAGAGCCACTTTCGCAAGCTGGAGCTGAGAAAGCGGTCCAGATGGCTTCCTTTCATGGCTGCCTTAGTACTCTGATCAGTTGAGACATGTGGAAAGTGCAAAGGTTGATACCAAGTGTTTCCTCTTTCTGTCTCTGCTCCATCTGTGTTCTCTGTGTGGAGCAGAACATTACCTGAAATGTGAAAGTCCCCAAACCATGTTTTAAGCGGGAGGCTAAAACATATAAGGAACGGTTGCTGGAATTGGGTATGTCTAGTTTAACAAAGAGAAGGACGAGGGGGGACAGGATAGCAGTGTTCCAATATCTCAGGGGCTGCCCCAAAGAAGAGGGAGTCAAGCTATTCTCCAAAGCGCCTGAGGGTAGGACAAGAAGCAATGGATGGAAACTAATCAAGGAGAGAAGCAACCTAGAACTGAGGAGAAACTTCCTGACAGTTAGAACAATTAACCAGTGGAACAACCTGCCTCCAGAAATGGTGAATGCTCCAACACTGGAAGTTTTAAAGAAGAGAATGGACAGCCATTTGTCCGAAATGGTATAGGGTTTCCTGCCTGAGATGACCTCCAAGGTCCCTTCCAACAACAACAACATCATCATCATCATCATCATTATTATTAAACAGGGCAAAAAATAAATCAATAGCACCCTGGATATTCTATCCACTATTCTAGCATAGAGCAACAACTTCAGCTCAAACTGATAGCTAAAAGAATTTACTTGGAACCACAATTTCAGGGTGTCTGTCTCCAGAGTGGGATCTTGAAGTGGGATCTTCTCCTATCGTCATCCCCAAATCTCAAGATTACTCTTGTAAGCTACCTATTCCAGATCACCAAACATGGAAATTAACTCTTATTTTTATCCTTGAAGAAAATGAAAATATATTTGATTCTCTTCTCCGCCCATCTTAAAATATCAGTCACTGTATTTTTGAGTAAATCTTTGTTCCTAATTAAGTAAATTGATCAATTTAACACAGATCAGTTTAATGCTGTTACTTAATCAGCTTAACAGTGATATTCAGTCATGTTTGTTTCAAATGTTTTTCTTCTTCAGTGTTATGTATCGCAGTCCTTTGGACGACCATACAGCATCATCAGATTGGTTCCTTAAATTTTACTCTAAATTTTATTCTAGAACCACTCTAAAGGTTCTAATGCCATAAATGTATAAGATTTGGCCTTTTTTCTGTTTCTACATTTTTGTAACTGTATTCCATAGTACAGCTGCCTTAGATTCTTGTTGTAAATCCTTTATATCCACGAAGGAAAATTTGAGACATGATTTGTATTTTTCAAGAATATAAAAAGTCAATCCATATTTTCATTTCTGTTTTCATTTTCTAAGATTAAAAGTAAAAATCACTTTCCTATTTTCTGGTTAATATTATCAGTGGCGTTCAAAAAGAGTGGCTTCGAAACAATACATTCAATACCTGATAATCTCATGTATGTCTTCAGGTCTATTGCAGTCTGATCAGATTGAATCATGTCAGCTAAAGATTATTTATCCTCTTTGTTAAAACTTTGTTTATGTTTAATGTGATTCTAGACAGGTGGGTCCTTATATATGCTTTGGGAGTCAAAAATACATTGTTGTGTAATTCAGAATAACTTGACATGTTTTAGCGAGACGTGGGTTAAAACATCCCTCCTAAAAGAATTCTTAATCTTAGCTGATTTTTGTCAAGGTCTGATTTGATGTTACTATTAATTCTTAAAGTGCTGTATGGTTTTTCTTTAGAGCTCTTCTGATGCAATGTTACTTCTAAAGATAATGGTGGAATATTTTTAACACCCAAAGTTAAAAATTAATTAATTCCTCCTCCGACTTGGAAAGGATAGATCTCTTCATCCTTATTACTTCTGGGATCCATTCCCTTTCTTAAAAAACAAAAAAGTTTTGAAATTGCATCAGCTTTGTTTTCCCCCCAAGAGCAGCTAATTGCTTTCTAATTATATAATTAATTCGTCCTGAAGGCAGGACGAGAAGCAACGGATGGAAACTGATCAAGGAGAGAAGCAACTTAGAACTAAGGAGAAACTTCCTGACAGTCAGAACAATTAACCAGTGGAACAACCTGCCTCTAGAAGGGGTGAATGCTCGAACACTGGAAGTTTTTAAGAAAAGAATGGACAGCCATTTGTCTGAAATGGTGTAGGGTTCCTGCCTGAGCAGGGGGTTGGACTTGATGACCTCCAAGGTCTCTTCCAAGTTAATATATTATTTATTTATTTATTTATTTATTCATTCATTGGAGCCAACCTTGTTCTATTCCAGAGTACAATAAATCACCTGTAGCTAAGAAGGGGATGTAGTATACCAACCTTAATGCATTACAGGGATGTCATATGTGTTGAATTGGAGATAGCCTTTGATTTACAACAATTTAGTGACTGTTAGAAAAAAAATGACATGACCATTTTTCACACCTACTTTGTCGTGCCATTAAAATTCAGTCGCTTGGCAACCGACTCAGATTTATGATGGGTCATGTGATCCTTCTTTGCAACCTTTGGACAAGCAAGGTCAGTGGGGAAACTCGATTTGTTTAACAAGTCTGTTACTAATTTAACAACTGCAGTGATTCACAAACAAACCGCAGCAAGAAAAGCTGTAAAATGGGGCAAAACTCACCGAACAAATCTCTCACTTCGCCACATAAAGTTTGGGCTCAACTGTAGTTGTAAGTGGAGGACTATCGCGTTGATGATAATTGGTAGAAATCAATCTTTTTACTCTGTATAAAAACGTAATGGAAAGGAAGTGCTGGCTTCTGGGTTTGTTTGTTTTTTTTCCTTATTTGCTCCTAGTTTAGCAATGCTTCCTGCTTCTGTAACTGTAGTAAGGAATATATTTTAAACCAGCTTTCTTCCGCATATTTTAGCATCAGGTCTTTGGCTTTTCCAAAAATGCAAGTTCTTCTGGGAGTAATAAACTTCAGATACCATAACCTCCAGTGGACTCAGATGATCACCTGAATTAATTTACCCACATCTGATGCATCAGTGTTTCAAAGGACCTCCTCAGCATAATGTCCAGCCTGGTTGATGCTATCTGGAGAGAAATATTCTGGGAGGTTAAAGGTCATCGGGTTCAGATAGTTTGAACTTTTAAATTCGATAGTAGCTGGTTGACAATATATCACTGTTCAATTTTGACCACTGAATAATCAGAGAATATGAATGTATAGGATGCAAGGATCTATCTTTACATTTCACCCACGGGGAGATGAAAAACTCAAGATGTTCTTTGTAGACGGTGTTAAAAAAGAAATAAGTACGGTATATTGAAAATGTTTGTTCTATGCTTCGGGCCAATTCCTGTACACCAAGGGTCTCCAAACTTGGCAACTTTTAAGACTTGTGGACTTCAGCTTCTAAAATTCTGGGAGTTGAAGTACACAACTTTTAAAGTTGCTAAGTTTGGAGAGCCTCGTTGTACACTGTATGTACGTGTGAGAGATGAGAGCATAACCCAAATGTGAACATTTTTTTTTATTTTTATTGGCCATATTAAATATATTATCTATTTGATAGTTACAATTTAGTAATACGATGCCTGGCAGGTTTAACATAAGTATGAAATACGGCAAAAATTACAATACAAGAGAAAAAGGAGACCTAATACATTAATGCCACTAGGTACATCAATCTGGAATGTATAGCTGTAAATATAAAATTCTACATTATGCTTTCCAGTAAACTTCCTGGAAATATAATAAACATTTTGTGGCAATTACAAATACAAATTAAAGATTTAACTTTCTAGGAAGTCATAATTTTGGTTAGTATTTCATTCAGAAAATCTAATTTAAAAAAAAATGTATTTCTCACACTCTTGCCAATTCGATGAGATCTCTCCCTCCCCACCTATTTTGTGTTTTTTTTTGTCACTTTCGCAACAGAAATCTGCCAAAGACAAATCTATTTTATTTTATAAAAAAGTGAAGTATGAAACGAAATGAAAGAGAACAGGTTGTAAACATTCCTGCAAACTAAAGACACGAACATTTGTATAAAACTCTTTTCAACACTGAGCAGAGGCTTCCATTACAACAAATGATTAAACTTAAAAAGTTCTGCTACAAGTAGAACAATACATTCAAACATACATTTTCCAGAACTTATTTTTTTTTAAATCAAAATAAATAGATCACATAAAAGAGGAGAGTACATTTTATGGGGGGAAAAAAGAGATAAATTTCAGATTGCACCATAAATCTACTTTAAAGATAGTGATATGATATCATTTCCGTGTGTTTGTGTGTGTGTATGTGTGTGTGTGTGTGTGTGTGTGTGTGTGTCTTTTCCCCCAGGTGTGAAATGCAAACAATGCCACAAACCATAAGCTATCATGATGAATTAACAGCCAGTTGTGTTGTTTTGGAAACAGACATGTTTCAAGCTAAGCATGAGTTTTACAAGTTACGTCCACTGTCCCATATACAAGTACAAGCATTCAGATGTTTCGTTAAGGTGGAGCTTTTCGGTCCCTACCAATATGGAAAACTCAACAAAATGCCTAGTCATTGTGTTGTTTTAGTTTCTTCTTCCGAAGAACAAAACGGATGGTTTCCAGCTTTCAAAGTAGCAGATAATGTTTAATTACTTTTATTTTACAGGTATTTGCTGCAGAGGCCTTACACAGAAAAGCTTCTCTGTAGTGCATGATATTTGCCCTCCCACCCGCGCCCCCAGCCCCTCAAACAAATAAAAGAAAAAAACAAGCCAAGAGATGTTACTGAAATTTCCATCCCAAACTGAAAAGACTTTGGAATCACAAGACCCAAAACAGTGGAACACAGAACCGCTATGGATGAGGTGACAATTACATTAAAACTTGGACCTAACTTTTTTTTTGGGGGGGGGGGAGTGGGGTTTAAGGAGAGAAAGAAGAAGGGGGGGGAGAGAAGTAATTTTCACACGTGACTTGATCAGGCGGATGACGTTAGAAGGGCGGCCTGAGAAACAAAATTAAATGGGGGAAAAAAAAGAGAGATCCCCCCCCCCGAGAGTCGGCTTTTTAATTCCACGTTAAGAGTACAAAAAACATTTCTGCTCAGTTTGAGCCAAATAGTGAAACATTTATCATAAATGCACTTTTTTTTTTTTGTTCTCATTAAAGACAAAAAAAAATGCTGTGCTTTTTTTTTTTTTTCCCCTCTTGGAAAACAAAGAAAACCAATGCTGCAGCGGTTTTGTTTTTTTTTGGTTTTTTTAAAGTCAGAAGCACAGGGTGTTCTTAAGTCTCTCGGACACAGAGAGGAAACCTTGAGTTAGGCCATCCGTTTTTTTGTTGTTGTTTTGCAACGAGAAAGCATCTCAAATCAGAAATGAACACTTCTGGAAGTGGGGTGGGGGGCGCGGGGGGGGGAGGAGAGCCTCTCAGCCACATTTCAAGACCAACACTCCCTCTGCGTCCAGGTAAATTGGACACCTTGGATTAAAAACTCAAAAAGGCTGAATGACACCTGCTACTGCCCTAGAAGGGACAGAGCACACACACACACACCCCCAGTTAAAAGAACTGGAAAAATTAACATTGCACTATCATTAAAAGTCAATGTGGACAGTATTTGGGTAGGATTTTTATCTACAGCGTTATCTGAGGTGGCTTCCTCCAGCTGCATCCTAAAATACAGGACTCTTTTTTTTTTTTAAGCATAAGCATCGTTGCTCCTACATCTTGGTCCCCAGTCGGCTCGTCTCCTGCCCTCCCTTCTTGGTGGACTTGAGAATTCAGGACTTACGGTGAAAATTAAGTCAAAAGTCTTGAGAATTAAGGCAGCTTTTTTTTTTTTTTTCCCCTGCTGTTTTCAACAGCTAACCCTGATTAGTAGACGCACCACTGTGCTGTAAATAGGGATGTTCTTCCGGTTAGTCTGCCCTCCCTCCTCTCTCTCCCCTCCCTCCCCCAGGTTTCTTCGGGCCCCGGGGGGGAAGATGGTGATGGGGAGGGGAAGGCATCCTGTCCATCCAACCTGTTTACTCAGCAGCAAAAGTGGAAATGTGTTGTCTTTCTTCCATCATTCCCAGCTAGCATTTTAATTGGAATTTACATAAATACCCAAAGCCGTAAAACTTCCGTATGAAAAAAAAAATTATAAAGCTGAGTGATGAAGTCACTTCTCGCGGCCACCGACTTACTTGATCACAAAGTACTGGATGATAACGGCAAACAAAATGGCGACCGTTGCAAAGATGACGAGGAGGAGAAACGCAAACTGTTCGTCGCTCAGCGCCTTCCGCTTGCTTTTCAGGAGTTCGGGAGCCGGGTCCGAAGACGGCGAAAGCAACTCCTGCTTTTGAGATGAGAAAGTGGCGTTTGGGCTATACGGGCCAAAGAGTTCTTGCCATCCAGTGGAGTCCCGATACTGGCGCCCAGCGCACACCCTGAATCGGTATTCACAGTTTGTTTGCACGTTGGGGACACGGTAGGAGGTATCTGGTCCCTTGTAGATCTGAGGCAGGAGCAGGAGAAGACAACACATCAGAGCTGAGAACAAGGCAACAAGGGTTCCACAAAGCCAGAAATCTTCAATCTTTGGGGCCTACCGGAAATTCTTGAGATGTTCCAGTCATGTTCCCAAAATGGGTATGGACAGTTTTAGAACCCCCCATTGAATGAAAACAGGATTGATAAGACTGCTGATGGCCACTGTACCACCTCAACGCCTCCTAGGTGCTCCCATCTAAGCCTATCTTTGCTTTGGGGAGGATAGGTGGGCACCTTTTCCAACACACACTGCCCTGCACTCATTTGGAAACAAAAGCTATGCTTGGAGTTGGCCTTTTGCTCTGTGGCAAATCCCTTTTTAAAGCATCAGATAGGGCCTAGACCTGGTTCTTGAAAGATCTGGATATGCCTATCTTGGTACTCCTGGCTATCCAGCTGGAGACCCTAAATATTGCCTTATCCTGACCTGTAAGGCCTACACACTGGCCTATGAACTCCGTATCGCTCACGTTTACTGGCAGCGACTCCCGCCTTGAGGTTCAGACAGAAGGCCCTCTGGTCCTTCCAGGAAATCTTTGAACCTTCTGGTTGAAAAGAAGATGATCTACCAGCAAGGAACGGTCACATCTAATACAATGTTTGGCGATCTGGGTAACGTTCAGGTGCGTAGACTTGAGTAACAGGTTACCCAGCACTCCGTAAACTGTGATTCAGCTGGACTGGACAGCCATTTGTCTGAAATGGAATAGGGTCTCCTGCTTGAGGGGGCTGGACTACAAGACCTCCAAGGTCCCTTCCAACTCTTATTCCGATTATACTGTTATTCTGAGAGGCCACCTGGTGGTCTAATTGGGAAGACGGATTCATGTAGGAGATGACCAGGCTGAGCCCGAGGGGTCAAATGTGTCATTAATCACGAGTCCCATCTAAATCCAGCCCACCTTGAATTCCATTGACTTGTCTACTGCCAATTCCCCTTGACTGAATCCTAGTTCATATTCTTGTAGAGAGCTTAGGCTCGCAGTAAACCCTTATACTGATCTGATCTGCCTGGATTTCCCGATTTTCCTGGCGCTCGACAATTCATGTGATAATCTTTTATCACAAGGGTGTCCATTCTTGGCAATTTTAAGACTTGTGGACTTCAACTCCCAGGATTCCTGAGCTGGCCAAGGTCTTAAGAGTTACCACGGTTAAATGCCCCTGCTTTATATGTAACAATGCATTCAGAGTCATTGTATTTGGGGTGGGGATGGGGTTTCCCCATAATATCTGTTTAAAAAAAACCATTCTGGGATTACCTGATCCGCTTCCCTCCCAGTGGCAAGCTGCAATATGTAAACAATGGCATCACCCTTCATTGGCTGTAAAGGCTCCCAGGTAACTTCACAGACATTGTCTCCCAGCTGATGGACTTTAGGTGCTGCAACAGAAGACCTACAAGTTGGAACTTCAACATTCGTGCTACGCATTGCCCTCCTTTTAGCTCATGATAAGGAACGGGCGTCACTCTCCCTGAATGAACTTAAATGACATTTCAAAGTGCAACTTGGGTTTAAGGTCACCGTATGAAAACCTGTTCCTCCAGCTCTTCTTCCATCCAGCGGAGCTTCTTGGCAAATTAATTCTACCAGACTGATTCTGTTTCAAGTGCACATTTGGTGGGAATAATTTAAGAAGGTGCTGCTGAAATTAAGGCTTTGGGATTCTTCCTGCAATGCCCCCTCGTGATACTGTCCCGCTGGGTTACAGGTAGTCCTCAACTTAACGATCAAAGCTGAGCCCACCATTTCTGTTGCTAAGCAAGAAATTAAGTGAGTTTTGCTCCATTTTACAACCTTTCTTACCACAGAATCACTTCATTTGTTAGGTTAGCAACCCAGTTGCTAAGTGAATCTGCCTCCCCCATTAACTTTGCTTGTCAGAAAGTTGCAAAATGGGATCACGTTGGCCTGGGACGTCATAAATACCTGCCAAGCATCCAAATTTTGATCACGTGACCAAGGGGATGCTGCAATGGTCATAAATGTGAAAAAAAAATGGTCATAAGTCACTTTTTTCCAGTGTCCTAACTTCAAATGATCACAAAACAAATGGTTGTTAAGGACTTAACTCTCTTTGGGAGAGATGATGAAGAACACGCAAGCCTTTCAATAGTTGAGTTACTGGGTGTTGCAGTGCTTCGCAGATCTGGGAATATTACCCTAAATTGGGCAAAAGTGATCTTTCTTTGGGAAATGATAACACAAATGCATTTACCCAATCACCACAGGGACATCTAAATAAGGGTTTTCTAAGAAGGGATTTTGGATCATTAAAGGTAAGATTTGGGAGGACCGATACATTTGGCAATTTGTGCGCTTTATCCGAGGACCATCTACATTTTTCTAAAACAAAGTGACAGGAGGAGACCCATCCTGCCTTTAACTAAATTCAGTCTAATTTCTTTCAAAACTATGTTGGCTGGCAAAAACAAAAAACGAAAATCCTATATCTTTCAGTATCATTGATCAAAGCATAAGCGAACACTTATGTATTGAAGAACCTGTCCTGTGAAGGGGTCGAATCGTGCTCCATTTTATGAACACCATTAATATGTGCCAAATGCCCCTCACCTTTCACGGCAGGCGGTGGTGATTTGGTTGTAGCAAAGGCATAAACTTCAGAAAAGTCCCCTTCGCCTGCATCGTTGCATGCCTGGATTTTAAAACAGTATGTCGTAGACTCACTCAGCCGCTGCACTGTATAGGTGTGGCAAGGTCCACTGTAGACAGTGATGAACCTGAAACGGGAAGAGAAGAGATGTGAAAGTCCAGTTGCTCTTTGAAACAGCACCTTTGGGACCACCCACCAATCATGCAGGTGAATTTCTTTTAAAAAGCTTGATGTATCAAAAATAACGTCCTTTAAATTCCAAAGAGTAAAATAATCATTTGCTTAAGTTACTCAAGCATTCCTGATTCAAGTCAATAAACCCCAAAGTTGTTGAGTCCTACTCATGTTCACAGCATGGGCTAAAACAGTCGCTGTTGTCCGACAGTGCATGACACATCACTGCTAGCTTGAATTGGATCAGGGCAGCCGTCACCAGCTTTGCAAAGACACACGGACTTTTATCTATCAGCAAATGGCAAAGACTGAGCAACATTCTGAGGACAAGTATCTCTAAAGATCCCGCTCCAGCAAGATTTATTAGGTGTGCATCATCCATGAAGACTATTTCCCCAATTAAATATTTCACTTTCATCCATTTGTCATAGCAGCTGTGGAGCGTTTTTGTTTGTTAATGGAAAGTGGCAGAGAAATAAATCTCAAATAAGTGCACTTAATCAGATCTTTGAGTTTTGATTGTGCTGGCTTTCTCTTCCTATCAACTGAATGTATTCATGTAAGAAGAAATTGGAAGCCCCCAACCCCCAGTCCATGGACTGGTACTGGGCCGCGGCATGCCAGCAACCGGTCCGCACAAACAAGCAAAGCCCCATCTGTGGGATGCAGGCAGCACACAAAACCACGCACTCTCTGGTCTGCGGAAAAACCTCTCTCTGTGGAACCGGACCCTGGTGCTCAAAAGGTTGGGGACCTCTGGTATAACGTCTCCTGATTGAACAAGGGATCTCTTCCAACTTTGTAATTCTGTTATATCCCTAATTACACTATTCAATATCTGTGGCACATCTAAGGGAATAGGAGTGTAGCCCAAGGCATTCAATTAGATGATGGGAACTTCCAAAAAATATTTTTGTGGGAGTATTAATGGCAACATAAGTAATCTCCCTGAAGACAGTGAAGTTAAGCGAGCAAATATGTCTTTTCATTTGCTCTCCATGCACAAGAGGTTTGGGTCGTTATTGTTATTGTTTCTCTAAATCAGTGGTTCTCAACCTGTGGGTCGGGACCCCATTTGGGGTCGAACGACCATTTCATGGGGGTCGCCAAACAACGGAGTCCGCCATTTTCCCCCCCTTTTCCTTAGCTGTGCTACTCCCTTTTATTCTATTGGCTTTTGAAAGCCAATAGAATAGACTCTCTTGAATAGAGTCTAATTCTATTGGCTTTCAAAAGCCAATAGGAATTGTCCAGGCTGTCTCTGCCCTGCTGAGCCCGCCAAAAGTCCCATTCTGCAAACGGTGCTGCACCAGTTGAGTAGTCCTCGACTTACGACCGGTTGGGGGTCGCGGCATTAAAAAGGTTGAGAACCACTGCTCTAAATCCTGAGCTGCCACTTCAAAGAAGCTTTTCCCAGGCACGATGAAGCCGATCTATTCCCGTTTTATCTCACCTGCCCAGCCTGTCTTCCATCTGTAAATTGAACTGGGTGGGGTTGGCAATTGAAGCTCTGCTGGGACCTTCACCCCACTTCAGCTTAAGGCTCTGGTAACTGAAGACCGCACATTCCAGATGGGGAGGATCTGGAGGTAAAGGCTTTGTTTTCGCTTTAATGGATGGACTGAAAGGACCAGTTCCAAGACTGTTGAAGGCCTGAATTCGGATTCTATCAGGGAGTAAAAAAGAGAAAAAGCTGGTGTTAGCAGGAGATCACCACCCAGAGTCATCTGTATGAGAGGAAGACTACAGACTCGGAATGCACAAAGGAATCTTTGCTCTGATTTAAAGGGAGTCCTCGAATGGCGACGATTGCGCTCAACCTTTCTGTTGTTAAGTGAGTTTTGGCCCATTTAATGACCTTCATTTTGCAAAGGGATTAAGTGAATTGCCGGAGCTGTTAAGTTAATAACACGCTTGTGAAGGGAATCTGGTCTCCCCAACTGACTTTGCTTGTCAGAAGGTCACCAAAGGGGACCACATAAGGGCACTGCAACCATCATAAACACGAATCAGCTGCCAAGCATCTGAATTTTGATCAGGTGACTATGGAGATGCTGCAATGGTGATGATAAGTGTGAAAACCGGTCGTAAGTCGTAAGGAGAAACTTCCTGACAGTTAGAACAATTAATCAGTGGAACAATCTGCCTCCAGAAGCTGTGAATGCTCCAACACTGCAAGTTTTTAAGAAGAGACTGGACAGCCATTTGTCTGAAATGGTGTAGGGTTTCCTGCCTGAGCAGGGGGTTGGACTCGATGACCTCCAAGGTCCCTTCCAATTTTATTATTATTATTATGGATCATCGCACAGTCAGCCAGATGTTCAGAGTGGATTTGGCATTTTGTCTACCTATCGAGTCCTTACCCAAGACCTGGGATAGGCAGATGTGGATGTTTGATGGTATTACAGATATTGTCGCAGGATGGAAGCAGTTCCTAGTAAGGCCGCCTTTTGCAATTGACTAATAGCGAATTTGTCAATGCCAATGGTGTTCAAGTGATGCTCCAATTGTTTTGGGATTGCACCCAAGGAGCCTATGACTATTGCTACTACCCTTGCTTGCTTTTGCCACAGTCTTTCTGTTTCTATTTGTAGGTCTTTGTATTTTGTTATCTTCTCCAGTTCTTTCTCGTCTATTCTGCTGCCTCCAGGCACTACCACGTCCGCTATCCAGACTTTTTTGTCTTTCTTATCGACAATTGTTAAGTCTGGGGTGTTGTGTTGCAGGTGCTTGTCTGTTTGAATTCTGAAGTCCCAGAGCAGTTTAATTGCCTGAGCAGGGGGTTGGACTTGATGATCTCCATGGTCCCTTCCAATTTTATGATGATGATGATGATGATGATGATGATTAAACAGGGCAAAAAATAAATCAATGGCACCCTGGATATTCTATCCACTATTCTAGCATATAGCAACAACTACTAAACAAACTGTTGTAAGTCAAGGATGACCTGTAGATATAATTGTATGCTACCCAGAGTCGCCTGACAGTGAAATGGGCAGCATACAAATTTAATGAATAAAAACCTGAAGAGACAAGAGCTGTCCCCATCCAGCCCTGTGTGCTGTGATCGAAAGTGGCCAATCACCTGTATAAAGTGTCAGGTTGCAGGTTCTCCAGAACATGGCTTGTGACTCTGTTGACTGTTAAGACCTGTTTCTCCCCATACTCTATGTGGTAGCCGATGATCTCTGCCCCATGGCAACAAGGCTCCTCCCAGAGAAGAGCAAGGCACGTGGAGAGGGGAAGACCTTCCAACTGATCTTCTTCAAGCAAGTTCAAGACGGCCACCGCTGCTGGCACTGAAGCCGGGGTGGTCGCGGTGCTTATTTCCCCAAACAATCCAACACCAGCCAGATTCACAGCCTGAAAAAAAAAAAAAAACAAGAGAGAGAAGCGTGAAGAAGAAGTGTGAAGTCTCAAGCCTCTGCATCTTGGTTCCTCCACACAATGTTCTCCAGATGTTTTGGATTTTAACTCCCCTAATCCCTGCCCAGCAAACACGGACACCCCTGGATGTGCATTTAATCCTAAACAGCCAGACCAATAATAGTGAGAACAATCATCCTAGAAAGGAGTTCAAAAAACCTAGTTGCGTGAGCAACTGAGGTTGATCTAAGCCGGTGTTTCTCAATCTTAGCAACTTGAAGGCATGTGGACTTCAACTCCCAGAATTTTGCAAAAGCCATCCGCTTCTGGAGTATTCTGGGAGTTGAAGTCCATACATCGTCAGGTTGCTGAGACTGAGAAACCATGATCTAGGCCACAAAAGAGAAGAAATATTACTCTCTTGAGATTTCATGATTGTCCATAGAGGAAATACAAATCACTATTTTTATCATGAAGCTTTATTTAACTCTGAATTGAAATGGAGACATTGGGTGGACCACACTAGAACCATTGAAAAGAGGTACAACTGAGACAAGTTTTCCAATGTTTTACAGTGCTACTAAGATTACTGCAAAAGAGATCTGAAAATATAACGGTGTTTTGAAAAACACTGTTTTTCATCTCGTTTAATGACAAACTGACATGCCGAATTTCTCTTTGACTCTTTAAGACTCTTTTTCTCTTAAACGTTTGTATTCTATAACAGTAATATATATTTTGCTGCACAAGATGGCAGCACCTGATTGATTTTGTCAGGATATGTTGCTGTTAAAATAAAAATTGCAGAAAAAAACGGGAGTTTTGGAAAATCCCAGCGCTAGAGGTTTAAATGAGTGCAAACACTATCTCAGAAAGAAATTTTACACACATCTGTTGCCAAAAATCTTGCATGCACTAGTAATCAAATTTGACTTAGAAAGAGACTTTATCGTTACAACTATGGTTTGGTGGACCAGTCAGAAGTTATTCCTCAAAATGTGTCCCAGAGGTGCTTTTTTCAAGAGGCAACTGGACTTTCTTGCTTTTCTTTGAAGGTGTTTTGCTTCTCCCCCAAGAAGCTTCTTCAGCTCTGACTGGATGGTGGGGAATGGAAGAATTTATATTCCTTGTGGATAGCTGATCATTCATTTAGAGCAGTGGTTCTCAACCTGTGGGTCGGGACCCCATTTGGGGTCGAACGACCATTTCACGGGGGTCGCCAAACAACGCAGTCCGCCATTTCCCCCCCCCCCTTTTCCTTAGCTGTGCTACTTTCAAAAGCCAGTAGGAATTGTCCAGGCTGTCTCTGCCCTTCTGAGCCCTTCTGCTGCACCAGTTGAGTAGTCCTCGACTTACAACCGGTTGAGTAGTCCTCAACTTATGACCGGTTGGGGGGTCACGGCATTAAAAAGGTTGAGAACCACTGATTTAGAGTCCTTAAGGCAACTTGGAGGCTTATCTGTGTCCTCAGGGTCACCTGAGTAGTGCAAATGGGTGTGGAGCCTTTTTGGAACTGCTGAAAGGACTGTGTGGTAGACAGGAGATAGATGATGTCGTATCCCTGCCCCTCTGTTGAGAGAGGGCTGTTCAGTTTTGACCTAGATGCCTCTTTGACCCCTATTTCAAACCAGCGGTCCTCTCTGTCCAAAATGTGGATTTTGCTGTCTTCAAAACAGTGGCCTTTATCTTTTAAATGCAGATGGACTGCTGAATCTTCTCCTGATGGGTATGTTCTCCTATAAATAATTCCCCACCATTCAGTCAGAACTGAAGAAACTTTTTTGGATGACAAGTGAAACATCTTCAAAACAAAGAAAGTCCAGTTGTCTCTTGAAAAAGCACCTTTGGGACAGCCTTAACCTGGATGTCGGAGAATCTCCATAGATATTTCTTCAAAATATGGAATTTGGTTATACTGCATCCCAAGAAATGTTAAGGATCCCAGCATCCGTTATGGTAAAAACAACAGTATCCTTTTTTTTTTTGCATAGTAATGAATCGTTTAAGATGTTTCAGGCTTTCATTGAAAAAAATTCCATTTATTTTCCTCACTAAAGGCTCAGGGCCTTAACATAATGTGATGTCTTAAAATTTCAGGGGAAAAAGAATGCTGCCTCCCAATCTACACATACATACCTGTACTCTGCAATAATAAGTAGTTGCAGGGGAAAGCCCCTTCACTTCGTAGAATAGCAGAGGGCCGGTATAGACTACATGCATAGATCCTTCCATTTGTCCCCATTCTAGTCTGTATTCACTAATTTCTGCCCCATTACATGGTGGGCTCTGGGAGGAATTAGAAGGAAAAGGTTTACAAGTTAACATTTGCGTTCATAAACTGCAGATGAATTTCATAGAACAGAGGACACCAGGGACCGGTTCCGTGGAGAGAGGGTTTTCTACAGACCGGAGGGTGCGTGGTTTTGTGTGCTGCCTGCATCCCGCGGATGGGGCTTTGCTTGTTTGTGCGGACCGGTTGCTGGCATGCCGCGGCCCGGTACTGGTCCACGGACCGGGGGTTGGGGACCCCTGTCATAGAAGATGGCTATGGCATTTTCTATTTATTGATGTGGGATTGTAATTTAGATGTTCTACAAAAGGGAGCCCACTAGACCAGTGGTTCTCAACCTGTGGGTCGGGACCCCATTTGGGGTCGACCAACCATTTCACGGGGGTCGCCAAACAACGCAGTCCGCCATTTTTTCCCCCCTTTTCCTTAGCTGTGTTACTCCCTTTTATTCTATTGGCTTTTGAAAGCCAACAGAATAGACTCTCTTGAATAGAGTCTAATTCTATTGCCTTTCAAAAGCCAATAGGAATTGTCCAGGCTGTCTCTGCCCTGCCGAGCCCGCCAAAAGTCCCATTCTGCAAACGGTGCTGCACCAGTTGAGTAGTCCTCGACTTACGACTGGTTGAGTAGTCCTCGACTTACGACCGGTTGGGGGTCGCAGCATTAAAAAGGTTGAGAACCATTGCGCTAGAAGAACGTAGAAGCCCATCATCTTTCAGAGAGTCCCTATCTAACAACAGTAGGTAAAGAACCTTCAGACTCTCGTGGGTCATCAAAAGATAGACTGAAGATTTTCTCCTCTAGTAAAGTCAATTTTGGGTGTGCTCTGCCTTGTTCAGTTCATTTGGCAGTTATTTCGCAGTTTACAGCAGAGGTCACCAACCTTTTCATGCTGGTGGCCCGGAAGGAAAGGGAGCAGCTGGGAAATTTGCACGCACCTGCGTGGAAACGGGGCCGTGCCCACCCACACAGGGCTAGCAGCCCTGTTTGCGTAGGCATGCAGGCACTAGCTGCCACTGCTAGCCCCACACACATGCTCGAACAGATCTGTGGGCGCTAGCACGAGTGGAGGTGAATGCGCACACACAAGTGTGTGCACTGGTCAGCCTATCCTGTAGCCTGGTGGCCAGTGGGCCACGGCCCATAGGTTGGGGACCCCTGGTTTACAGCTTCACTTAAGGATTACTACATCTACTGCCTTGAAGTATCTGGAAAATGCAAAGCTAGGAAACCCTAAACCATAATCCTGCATTTGGGGGCCATTCCTAAGGACCACAAATTTGCAAAGGAATAAGAAACGTCACACAGGTCGTTCAAAAGCGCTGCAAACACAGATGTGGTATGGCACATGACAAGGAATGCTAAAGGAGACGGAGAGAGAAGGGAGTCTTGTTCCCAAAATCTGAGCTCTGGAATTTTTTTATTGTTTGGAGTGCAGTGGCTCACGAGGCTAGAACATGGGGCTGATGATCGTCAGGGTCGCATTTGAGGGGGGCGGGTTGAGCTCCCGTCACACGCTCCAGCTCCTGCCAACCACAATGAGATAAATGGGTACCACTTCAAGGCTTCCAGCATGGAGAAAATAAAATAAAAAAGCTCTGGGATGTCCCAAAAGCATGCCACAACACCTGGCCAACCATAAACTCTGTGAAGAGTCCTTAGTTTTTGATTCATAGAATACTCTTCCTACAAAAACTTATTTATTGCATTTATTTGGAAGGGGTAAAAAAAAAAACTCCACCTACCTCCCATGTAGCTACTATACAAGTAGCAGTTTTGCACATTAAGAGGGGGGTGGGACATGGATCGGGGGCCCCTGGAGCTGTAGAAATCTCTGCCTTTTCTGAGTAAGGGCCGAGCTGTAGGGAAAGAGTACCACAAAATTAGAAACATGCTGAGAGATGGACCAAGTCATTATTACATCAGTGGCTTCCCGACAAAATTCTTCCAGTTTGGTGAACAAGATTGTTCCGTCTTCCACGAATCCACCGAATTTAGTTTCTGCCCTTGATTTAGGCCCAGCTCATATGCTCGTTTCACAGTGCAGGCCCTGCTCCATTCCTAATCTTGCTTCTGCTCCAATAATATTTGAAGACATTAGGTCAAAGGGATACACTTTTGTCTGCAATTCTGTCAGTAAAATTTTATCATGTGTAAGAGGATTAAGATATATGAAAGAGAAAACTATGCTGGGTGGATTATCTGCAGGACCCCAAATCTGGTAATTTTGGACAACCTGCTAGGCCCCTCTGACCTAGTGCAACATACTCCTTTAAGATCACCAAGGTGGGAACGATTAAGGAAAGCCCTGCTCAAATCTAGGGATCCCAATGTAGTCATTATCTGATGAATGCTACTTCCATAAAGACCCAACCTTCACGCTCTTTTCTTTCCTCAGCCAAACTGTTGGGAAAGGGGGGGGGAAGGAACGGGGAAGCTCTTTCCCCCCCCCCCCCCACTGTTTTTTCTTTCTCCTGTACAGGAACTAAAATTTCCTACTTGATCAGGGGAAACAGAATGTGGAGTTCCTTAATAACAGTAGACCAAGTCTTCTCCAAGACACTGCTCAACCTCTCCTTCCCTGGGAAGCCTTCAAAATTCTCCAGGATTCTAATTAAAACGTTTGCAAAAAGCATACAGCTGTCTGCTTCCACCCAAGCCATTCAGAGTTCAAGACTTGGGTTTCCAGATTGTCCCTGAACAGTCTACAAGGGTTGCGCCAACAGATGCTTTAAACTAGGGTTTTTTTCAAACTTGGCAACTTTAAGATGGGTGGACTTCAACGCCTAGCTAGAATTCCCCCAGCTAGCTGGGTCATCGGGCAATTGAAGTCCACCCATCTTGAAGTTTCCAAGTTTGAAAAACATTGCTTTAAACAAACCATTTATAGACCCCCCCCTCAAATGCCTACCCCTGCTTTATTGGCTGCCCGTATCCAGAAGCAGTATGTTCGTCCAGGAAGAAGACCATTCACGGTGCATTCCAAAGCTTGGCCACGGTAGGCTTGCCGACGTTCTTCTTGGTCGCTGTTTGCCATTTCTAGAAGGTATTCCGACACCTCTGAGCCCCCGTCTACTGAAGGAGGATCTGCAAGACAGGACATGACTATGAGCAAACTGCTTTTAGAGGATGCTTCGCCACATTGGCTACTTTTTATGGAAAATTCAGTCCAGAGATACCACCAATTCGTTGTTTCATTTGACAGAGTTATCTGTAAAAAAAAAAAAAAAAAAAAGCTCTAATGCTGCTGGTTGGGGAATTCTGGAAATTGGACCGTAAAAGTTTGCCAAGTTTGAAAAACACGACTGTAATGGATCTGCCCTGAGTAGGGAGTGCATTCTAACACAATTCTATGAAAATCTGATCAACTGTTCTCCTCCCATATCAGCAAAGTTGACAGAATAGGTATATTCCTATGCAAAATAATCAGGAAGATTATATTTAACCAGGTAACAGAGAGGGGATTATTTTGGCCTTATGTTTTGCTTGTTGTTGTTCCGTTGTTGTTTTTTTCCAGCAGTCATAAACAACACTGAAGAAGAAAAAAATCAAGAGGGGACGAGTAACGCTAGTTTCAAAGGAGAGCTCCAGAGATGCTTCCACACCATACTTGTGGCTCAACTCACTGTCTCGCTGCTCAACCAGCTTTGCAGCAATTCCAGAGGGGAAAAAAAGAGGTATGCCTTTTAATCTGCTTATTTTTTTGTAATGCTTATTTGATTTTTGTGACTCTGTTCAGAGTGCCACTTAAATTTTATTGGGCCTTTCTAATGTTTCCCCGGACTGCAGGATTTTATTGTGTTCCAAAACCTCTGGGGGGCAGAAACATCGCTGTTAAAGTATAATGAGCTACATCTAGTCCCAGATTTATTGCAGAGAAAGAAGATACAGGAATTCTTGAGGCAGTTCAATTTCCCAGGGTGGGAAAAAACTGTGTATTTTTAAGTGGGCGTTCAACTACAACCCCCAGTATTTTCTGGTTTGGCTGGATGGGACCGGGGAGGGGAGTTACTGCACCACTTCTGGGTTACACAGTAATTTTATTCTAATTGAATGACAGTACTTATACATTTTTATACTCTGTTTTCTTACGATTTGGGATCTTACCCCACTGCAGGATAACTTCCTTAGGCTTGGCTTTGCCAACCAGGCACGGAGGACGACACGGCCCAGGGGGAACAGCTGAGGTCTGGACAGTGAGTACATCGGATGGCTAAAAAAGAAATCACACCTTACTTGCTGATTTACTTCAGACAGCCACCCAACTCACAAGAAATGCCACACCCCAAACAAATGCAAATACAAGTTGAGGTCCTCGAGTTACGACCTCAACTGAGCCCAAAATTTCTGTTATGAAGTGAGACGTTTATTAAGTGAATTTTGCCCCATTTTACGACCTTTCTTGCTTGTTCAGTGAATCCCTGCAGTTGTTAAGTGAGTAGCACGGCTGCAAAGTGAATCTGGCTTCTCCACTGACTCTGCTCGTCAGTAGGTCGCAAAAGAGGATCACATGACACCCCCCCCTCCCCAACACACACACCCCTCCCCGGGACACTGCAACCGTCATAAATACGAGTCAGTTGCCAAAAGTCTGAATTTTGATGCTGCAATACTTGTAAGTGTGAAAAACGGTCACACGTCACTTTTTTGGGGTACCGTTGTAACTTCAAACGGTCCCTAAACAAACTGTTGTAAGTTGAGGACTATTGTAAAACAAAGCAATTAACTGCAAGCATAGACTCAGATTTGTTATAGTCCACTATGTTAGTTTGTGGGCATGAGCATCCACCCATTCCCTTCTCCTTCCAAATTCCAACTGCAGCATAATCTCAAGAAGGACAAGGTGCACCTATACCCTACAAATACAAAACATAAACTTGGCTTGTATTTTTCCCAAGGCATATTTTTCTCCTTACCTGACTCTGTCCCCCTCTACCAACACAAGAAACCTTCAGCCTGTAGGAAGTACCAGGCTTGAGATGGGCACATACGTGTTCTCTCGTGGAACCTTTGTAGGCCGTTTCCCATTTACTGCCTAACAAGGAAAAGAAAGATCTGTTCACACGCCATTATTCCTGAGAGAATGCTGGGAAAAGAATTTCTTTTGCAACAGAAGAGACATTCAAATGCTATAAAAAGTGGATCCTGACTGTTCTCTTCCATTCCATGTCTCTTTTTTTCTCATGCCCTGGAGAATTTCTCAGGTGAGAAATGAGCAATCCTCTGTGTTAATAAGAATCTGCAGTAACATGATTTTGTGTAAAGGCTTAAAGCAGACACCATGAAATCAATGGGGCTATCATTATCATTAGTTATCGTTAACCTGTCCCAATTATTTTAACGGATCAATTCAAAGCGTGATTGATTCCATTTTTAAGAAATATACAGGCCAGTGAAATATTCAAGTGCTTACCAGGAGAGGCTTCGGATATTTCTAAGACATATGAAGAAATATCTGATCCTCCAGTATCTTTTGGTGGATCTAATTTAAGAAGAAATGCAAAAACGGTTTAGAACTGAAAGAAAATCAAAGTTTTAAGTCAAGGATAATTAACTGCAAACAACATATTGGTGGGACTGAAAAATATATTAAGGAAAGCTGTCCTGAACAATGTTTCTATATGTTTTCAAACAAAGAGCCGGGCTCAGAAAGGAAGGCGCAGGGTTGAACAATTTAGCTCCCATCTACAAAAAGCAATGCACTCGCCTTTTATTTAATCTCACATTTGTTCGGCAAAACCTGGACATTTGCTACAGAACCAGGAAAAAAAATATAGTGTGAATGCATCTCAAAGAGCCTAATGCTGGGAAAGACTGAAGGCAATAGAAGAACAGGACAACAGAGAATGAGGTGGCTGGATGGAGTCCCTGAAGCAATCGGCGTGAGCTTAAAGGGACTCCAGAAGATGGCAGAGGACAGGAAGGCCTGGAGGAACTTGACTGCTCTTTAGAAGGCCAGATCCTGAAGTTGAACTCAAGGACTTTGGCCACCTAATGAGAAGGAAGGACTCACTGGAGAAGAGCCCAATGCTGGGAAAGATGGAGGGCAACAGAAGAAGGGGACAACAGAGAATGAGGTGGCTGGAGGGAGTCACATGACCTTAAAGGGACTCCAGAAGATGGTGGAGGACAGGAAGGCCTGGAGGAACGTTGTCCATGGGATCGCGATGGGTCAGACATGACTTCACAACTAACAACAACAATGCATCTCTTTCCATTTACCACAACTAAGGACTGGGCAGGGGAGCAGAGGGGAGGGAACAACGGAGATCTTCAGCAAAGGAATAAAGTTTTCTTACCCCAGGTAACTTTCACATTATGGGAATGGATTTTTCCCTTTACAGTTGGCTTACTAGGAGCTCCAGGCTTGTCAGGGCAGGTACTATACTCCACAACTTCGCTAGGCCCACTTTTTCCTTCAGTGTTGTGAGCAAACAACTGTTCCATCACAAAAGAGAACAAACTTAGTCAAAAATTTGTACATCTTTTTTTTGTTTGTTCCATCAGAGTCTTTTACACGGGGAACAAAGATTCAAAACTCTTTCTCCACTAAATGTCTATGGAGATTCTCAGTCATCCAGGTCATGGTTGTCCCAAAAGTGCTTTTTCAAAAGACAACTGGACTTGCCTTGTTTTTACCTGAAGACGTTTCGCTTCTCATTCAAGCTTTTTCAGTTCTGAAACTGAACTTTTTTTTTTCCTCAAAGACTTAAGGTGCTTCTCATCCCAAAAAAACTTCTTCTTGGATGAGAAGCATCTTAAGTCTTTGAGGAAAAAAACAAAGGAAGTCCACTTGCCTCTTGTAAAAACACCTTTGGGACATATTTCTCCACTAGGCCATCCATGTATTCCTGGCCTACAAGGGGGCCACAAAAAAACCTAAAAGTCCACACAATGACTAAAGAAGATATTCCCATGTAGAATAACCCCCCTCTCTTCATAACATGTGAAAATAGTTATAAAGTTGAGCACAAAGGGACCAGGAAGGGCTGTCAGTGGAGACTTGCAGAGCTTGGTGGTGGAAGGGGAAGTTGATAGACTGAGGGAATTCAAAGGAAGAGAATCTTTGTAGTTCAGGATTGAACTGTGGGGTCCTGGGTGCTTTCTGAGAAGGGTTGCTTGCTTGTTGATATTTCATTATTCAACTAGGTAATACCGTCAATGCTCGTGGGCCACCCTAGTGGGGTAATGCAACATCCCCAAGCAAACAGCCAAGGTCAGACAGCACCAACAACTCCACAGACTCAAGAATCTTCATGATTTTCCAATCAGTGAACAAGATATTTTGCAAGCTGATAAAGGATAGTTGAAGACTGGGCAGCATAGAGAGGTTCACAAAAGTGTCCCAAGTCAGCAACACCAGCTTTGCATAAAAGTCTCAAATTCCAACCTCAGTGTCTCCAGATAGAAATTAAAAAAAAAAACTCTTATAAAGTTGCTGCTACTCAGGTTACTTAGCATTCAACCAGATGAATACTAGACAAATCATTTCCAAGATCGTTAATGGAAGTCTAAACTTCTCCTAGAGCAGGGGTCTTCAAACCTGGCCCTTTTATGATTTGTGGACTTCAACTCCCAGAATTCCTCAGCCAGGCACACTGGCTGAGGAATTCTGGGAGTTGAAGTCCACAAGTCATAAAAGAGCCAAGTTTGAAGACCCCTGTCCTAGAGCCTTGAAGAGGTCATATATTTCACCTAGTTTGTAGGAACAAGTCACTATTCAGCAGTTTTTAGGGTTGAATAAGGGGTTTCTCAGCGTCTGGATAGATTGATCATTTGGATTTGGTACCTACCCTAAATTTATAGGAAGTGTTTCTTCTAAGGTCACTTAAAGTGCAAGAAAGCTCATCTCCATTGTACCCTGCTTGGAAGCCATAATCCTGCATAAAGAAAAGATAAGTCCAGTACTCACATATTCCTTAGTAAACTTTCCACTTTATAGTCAAGGATTATATAATGTATAAATTCATGACAATTGTAATTTTTTTTAAAAAAAAACCCATAATCCCAGTAATTATTCAGAATGGATTGGTGTTCCTAGTTAAAGAATCTGCATTCTTCTCAAAGATTGGGGGGGGGGGGGAATCTACCATAGCTAGATAGATGATAGCTAAATAGCTAGATAAAGATATAGAATGATAGATAGATAGATATAGATGATAGTTAGATAGATGATAGATGACAGATAGATAGATAGATAGATAGATAGATAGATAGATAGATAGATAGATAGATAGATAGACAGACAGACAGACAGACAGACAGCCATTGGTTACTAATAAGCACAGTACCATGTAGTACAAAGTAACGTTATAAAATATTCCAGAAGCTTTGTCATACTCATATAAATTGCTTCATCTTTGATTATTAGAAAATATTGCCTTTCTCAAAACAAGTTGATCACACATTTCCAAAAACAACTTCTTAACTTCTGGAATAATAACAATTTTCCGATATTTTAATGCGTTTCTTTTAGCCCCTGCCCCCTCCCCATGCTCGATAGAGCTATTATTCCTGGTAAAATCAGATTCTCTCCAGTGCCCTCCAAAACAGGTTTTTGTCTCTGAATCCAAAGCACTACACAACGCTCCTGTTTACTGCCACGGCTACCACCTCTTCTTCTAAGGGGAAGACGTTAAATGACTCTCTGAAGGGCTCGTTGACTACCAGATCCTCCGGGATGGGTGAATGGCGCAGAACGCAATTATTCACTAGGCAGCCTTCTAATGCGCCCCAGAGGGCAACTGCTCTCTTCCACGTCTTCTCTCTGCCTACTCTAAACTCAAGGACCTGGATTCAAAAGCTCCTCACCGAACCGTCTTCTTCCATTTCTAAAATGTACGTCAGGGAGTCATCTGAAGATGCGCCATTTGGAGAGCCCCACTTCAGTGACAGCCAGTTCACCCCTGCTTTAGCCAGCTGGGGCGGCAGGGGCGGTGGTGGAACAACTCCGATTGTGAAGCATGGCAACGTCTCGCCGAACCCACTGTAGGGCGCAAAAAACACGGAATTAGGGAAGAAGCTGAGCAAGATAAACCTTAAGGGAAATGGCGAGCGTAACATGCCTCCCCCCTTTTTTTTTACCTCATGCCGATGTCGTTTTTGGCCGCCAGTCTGAAGGTGTATTTGGTAGAGGGGGACAGCTTGGTGATTTTGTGCTGCTTTAGATGGCCATAGTAACATTCTTTAAAGGCTCCGCTCTTCCCCTTTTCAAAGAATAACAGAATGAGAGAGTTGGAAGGGACCTTAGAGGTCTTCTTCTCCAACCCTCTGCTCAACCAGGAGACCCTAAGCCAGGGGTAGGCAACCTTGGCTCTTTCATGACTCGTGGACTTCAACTCCCAGAATTCCTGAGCCAGCCATGCTGAGGGGAAAGGGTTTCCAAGCTGAGCCATGCTGGCTCAGGAATTCTGGGAGTTGAAGTCCACGAGTCATAAAAGACCCAAGGTTGCCTACCCATGCCCTAAGCCCTTTTACAGCCCGAGTGCCCCCGCCCCGCCCTCCTCGCCCCCCACCCGCCCACAGGGCCACCCACCGCCTCCACAGCCCACCACAGATCGCCCAGGCGGCCCAACAGCACCATGGCAGCCACGCCCTCCGCCCACACCCCACAGCATCATCTGCGCGCAACAGGGCACAAGGGCGGAGTCTTGTCCCCATTGCCCAGCTGCCATGTCCTTGGCTGCGCTATTCCGTGTGGGCCGCATCCAGGGGTGACTCTCCGCGGGGCTGCTGATGAGGGGGCCACAGGAGAGAGGCGGGATTGGGGCGACGGCACAGGTGCCACAAAAAGAGGGCTCTGAGTGCCATAGGCTCACCACTACTGCCCTATGCCATTTTAGACAAGTGGTTGTCCAGTCTGTTCTTAAAAGTCTCCTGTGATGGATAACACAATTCTCAAAAATCCAGTTAACTCTGATGCTTACAGGGTGTTTACAGTCCTCCTCCTCCTCCTCTTCCTCCTCCTCCCATTCCCCCCTATCTCCATCTCCATTTTCACCCAGAAAAGCCATTAGGGCAGTAATTTCTCAACTCTGGAAACTTTAAGATGGGCAGACATCAACTCCCAGCCATCTCTGAATGTTGCATTGAAGAAATGGTATAGGGTTTCCTGCCTGAGCAGGGGGTTGGTGGTGGTGGTGGTGGTGGTTATTATTATTAGTAGTAGTAGTAGTACGTTAGTTTTACACAAATGCAGTCCAAAGTCTGCATCAACGTCTGGCACCAAGGTATCAGAATTATTAAGACTTAAAGTAAATTCATTAAACACAAGAAACATACCTCGTCCCATTCTAAAAGGTAGCTAGTTATTTTGGACCCATTGTCGTTGGAGCACTGTGAAAGGGAGGGAAAATAAAGGTCAGTTTGCTAGATTATTTAAAGAGGAAATTACCTCCTAATTTTAACCATTTCCAATACTTCATTCCTATGGGAAATGCATGAAATTCACCGCGTTCTCCAGACACATAATGAAATAAAATGGATTTTCATTCTACAAGCGGGTGTCTGCTGAGGAAGTCGGGAGGTAAAATGTGCACCACCATGTTGTGAATCCAACACTGTCCCTTTTGTACTTGTGACACACGTTTTCTCACTCTGACAAAATCATAGCTTTTGGGCAGGGGTCTTCAAACTTGGTCTCCTATGTGTATGTTGGGTGGCTGTATCGATTTGTTCCATAAATACATAAAAACTTTATTTCCAAGGATACTTTTAGGACCTGTATTTCTCCCCCCCCCACTTCCAGGCATACTTGATATTGATGTTTAGTTACTGCGCAGAGAGCGTGCACTACAAAAGTGTGTGCAAAGCGAGCTGAATGCATTCAAAGCCAAGTTGTCCCTCGGTAAGGAACATCGTTACGAAGGGTCGAAAATCCAGATTTCCTTTGAAAAACTCAGTTATGACCCACACAGAATTCTTGGATTCATTCTTGGCTTCCTTCTTACCTTCCACTGTAATGTCAGGCTGTTTTTGGTTTTGTTGACTACTTTTGGTGCTGCAGGAGGATCCGGTTCACAACTCTCGGTAGTAAAACTCACCAATTCTGAAACAGACTCCTTTGTGGAATGACCTGAGGCTGAAACCCTGCAACACAGACATAGATATAACTATAAAAGCAAAGCCTCGGTCTTACCTTGTTTTTTTTTTTTTAATTCTGTTTTAACTCCTCCTTCTATGTTCATTTTTAAGGTTAGTTTGAGACGGGACAATGCTTTGAAAGGGGGTATATAAAGTCTTCAGTAAACGTAAGGATAAGTAATGCTAACCATACGATGAAACGAAATAAACCAAGGAAGTACACCAACATACAATGACATTGAGAGTTGAAAAAACAGACCACGGTTAACAGAAGGCTCTGAAATACAGCTATTTAAGGCACTTCATTTGGAATATAGTCCTCTTATTTGTAGATTTATTAGAAGAGACCCACCGCTCCAGATTCTTCCCTTCCTCCTCATTCCTCAGACCCAAATACCTACCTTAAACCTGAATACCTTTTATATTTTCATTCTGACGACAAGATTCAACGTTCCCCAACAAGGTGGTTTAAAAATAAACCACAGAAATCCCCAGTCCTCTACGGGCACTAGGACAATTCCCGTGTCCCCTGCACCCCTTGATGGAAGGCCTCTCCTCCAGCCCCACCACAAATTTAAAAGATTGTGATCTTTGTTTTATTATCTTGATATTGATAAACCTTTGCTTTCCGAGCCCACCTGACATGATAATCAGTCGCTGGTCTAAGTTCAGACAGAGTAAAACTTTTGTCTTCACCACTGTAGGGGGAAAAAAAAAAAAGATACCGTTAGATCATAACGAAGAAAATAACGAGCCACAAAATCCCTCTGCCTTTTGCATGGAGGGGAAAACCCTAAAAATAAAAACCTGCTTACAATGACTTTCCTGCAACTTGCAGGATGGATGATGGCACAGTACAAAAATTAGGCCTACAAGCTAATCTTGGAATTTAGTTCCAGGATTTGGCGCTTGGAGTTCAACAGTAAAAGCAAATATAAGCTCAACTTTTAAAATTGTTTCCATGGAGAGGATGTTGGAAAACAATCCTGATTGACACCGGCCGTCAAGCAACCAGCTAAGAAAGCAGTGCCATTCAATCGTGAAAATGGACTCACCTGTAAACGGATTTAAATTTTCCATTTTTACCGCTATTCGAAACTGCTACTTCAAAAGTGAAGGCTTCAGGAGTGAGACTCTGCGTTTCTTCGCTCTGGGCTGCAACTGGGGCACTCCAAGAAATAACTGCTGAACGTGCCTGTATCTCGGAGATCTTTGAAAACCAAAGGGAAGATGGTTGCCATTTACAATACAAAACAAGCAGTATGTGGTTGTTTTGCTGCTTCTCCCAAAATGATGAAAGCAGCATTATGCCATTACATCTGCCCCAACTGGATGGGCCTGGAGCATCATCGTGAGCCCTGCTGGTGACGTGCAATACTACAGGCTAACTCTGCCCACTGCCTGGAGTTCGATCCTGATGGAGCTCAAGGTTGACTCAGCCATCCATTCTTCCGAGGTTGATAATATGAGGACCCGGATTGTCAGGGGCGATAGGCAAATAATGCTTCTATACTGTAAACCATCCAGAGTGTGCTATAAAGCGCTATGGGGTGGGTATATAAAGTGGTGCAGTGATTAGAATGCAGTATTTCAGGCTAATTCTGCCCACAGCCTGGAGTTCGATCCTGACTGGCTCAAGGTTGACTCAGCCTTCCATCCTTCCGAGGTCGGTAAAGATTGTTGGGGGGCAAAATGCTTAGAGAGGGCTGTAAAGTCCTGTGAAGCAGTATATAAGTCCAATGGCCACTGCTATTGCTATATAAGCCTAAATGCTATTGCTATAGGGCAGGGGTAGGCAACCTCGGCTCTTTTATGACTCATGGACTTCAACTCCCAGAATTCCTGAGTCAGCTGTGCTGACTCAGGAATTCTGGGAGTTGAAGTCCATGAGTCATAAAAGAGCCGAGGTTGCCTACCCCTGCTATAGGGTATAAGGTATAACAGGGCATGGCTGGATCTATATGATGCTACTTTCACCAGCCTGCTTTTGGATTCATTTTGTGGAAGTCCCTGGTGTCATGTATTCCTGTTCTCATCTTTTCCCACTTGAACTTATAGGCTAAGTCAGTTCCATTTTCCATCCACTTCTTATTTTATTTAAACATCTACACACGGGGATGATTTTGTCTGCAGACATGTTTAACTTGTAATATTTAAGATACTGAATTGAAAACCAAATCTGATATTATTTTAAATCCTTTCTAACTTTCTTTGGTTTGAGAAGATTAGAAGCCCGCCCCCCCCCACCCACCCACACACTCCTTGATCAATTATTGCAACTTACAGTAGGCTTACTGAAGCTCAAAAGTTCTTCAGATTTCCTAGACTCTGTGTCGGATTCTAGGAGAAAAAAAATACAACAACATATTCAGCGAAGGGAAACAGAACAAAAATCCCCAGTAAAGTGTTTTTTTAACTGCAGCGCCAACAGATAAAAGTTGCTAGAGCCAGCAAAACACAAGCTGTGCAAAGTTCATTGGCCTTATTTGTTTTGACCACTGAATCTGCCAAGTGTGCAAGTCTGCTCAGACAGACTTCTTCTATTTTGCCCAATGCCACCCAGAATTGGCATATATCTTGCCTGGCCTTTGGCCAATTTAAAATTCTAGTATTTAAAATCTGAATAACTCCCTCACTTTAGAAATACAGTTTAGAATATTTTCGTTCACTAGAAAACTTTCCTAAAGAGGGGGGGGGGGGAGTGAATTCTTGAGATTAGACACATACCAAATGATAAGCAAACTTTCCTCAAAGGATGGGCTATGCTCCCTGTGTCGGGAGATGCTTGGGAACCTTTTGAAGCACTGGTTAATTAAGATTAAAACTTTGGGCACTAGGACTGCTAGAAGAACTGAAAAGGGGAAAGATATGAATGTTTTCAGATAATTTTATGTTCGCTTTTCTGCCTAAGACTTCCATGGTTCAAAGTTCAGAATGCTAATTAATGTAAAGGCTTGAATAAGCCAATGGAAACAAAGGAACCTATAATTATTATGGATGTTTCTTTCTACCTCTGGATGGCATCTATTTTTTTCCCTTTCTTTCACTGGAGAACTGGCTGTTTCTAGGGCAGTCAATGAGGCCAAATTATATTATGTCGATATCTTTGGCCCAGGGAACTCCAGTGCCCCACTTAATAATAGCTTCACTTCTATGCTGTCACAACATGGTAGTTTAAGCCAGCAGTGAAGCATTCATCTTCTGAATAGACACATCTCCAGGTTGATGGGAAGACAATTGTGCGTGACAATTGCAGGCTGCACAGAGGTTTAGTGTATTCTACTGAACTTATGAGTTGCTGTTTGAGAAAAGATAAAAAGGAGTAGGTAGGTAGGTAGGTAGGTAGATGATAGATAGATAGATAGATAGATAGATAGATAGATAGATAGAGGAGAGAGATGATAGATGGATGGATGGATAGATAGATAGATAGATAGATAGATAGATAGATAGATAGATAGATAGATAGATAGATAGATAGATCTGGCTGGATGAGGAATCATGGGAGCTGAAGTCCACAAGTCTTAAAGTTGCCAAGTTTGAAGATCCTTGCACTACACCATAGATGGCTGGCTCAGGAATTCTGGGAGTTGAAGTCCACAAGTCATAAAAGGGCTATAGTAAACCATGAAGGAAACCGTAGGAAACCTATGGTAGCATAGGCAGACTTCACCATTTCTCTACCTTCCCATGGAAGAAAGGGACGTGTTGGTTTTACCGATTCATAGGCAGCCTACTCCCACATGGTTCCACACAGCTTATGTACAATTTATTAACGCATACATCAATTTCCAACCCCCCCCCCAAATTTTTTTACGTACCTCCCATCCCTGAATCAGCTGAAGGGATGGGGCTTCCCCGGGTTTTTCCTATATGCTTCTGTTTGATTTGCCCCAAGCTGCCTTGCTGCCCCTTTCCATAGCCGTTCTGGATGTTGGTGCTGGAGGAACTGTTAGCTTTATGAGGTGAGGAAGGAGGGCTGTTGGCCTTGTTATTCGTCTGTCCGCTCGCCTGTCGGTCTTTTAGCCTCTTCTTCAAATGTTCTTGCATTTTGAGAGTCCTTTCGTCTCGCTGAACAAAATTTGCTCTGCCGTGGGAACGGGACTCTAGAGAGGCAAAAGAGAAAAAAAAGCTCATTAGATGGAACACCACTGTGAGAGTTAAATGCTTAAATGCCTTCAAGGCTTAAGACAGACGCGCAATCAAAGATACAAATGAGCTGCATGTGTTTCACGGTGCTAACAACTAGGCCTGGAAAATTTTTAAAGAAGAGACTGGACAGCCATTTGTCCGAAATGGCATAAGGTTTCCTGCCTGAGCAGGGGGTTGGACTAGATGACCTCCAAGGTCCCTTCCAACTTTATTATTATTATTATGGATCATCACATAGTCAGCCAGATGTTCAGACTGGATTTGGCATTTTGTCTACCTATCGAGAGCTTACCAAGGACCTGGGATAGGCAGATGTGGATGTTGTTGTTGTTGTTATTGTTATTATATTATTATTATATTATTATGGATCATCGCACAGTCAACCAGATGTTCAGACTGGATTTGGCATTTTGTTTACCTATCGAGTCCTTACCAAGGACCTGGGACAGGCAGATGTGGATGTTTGATAGTATTACAGATCTCGTCGCAGGATGGAAGCAGTTCCTAGTAAGGCCGCCTTTTGCAATTGACTAATAGCGAATTTGTCAACGCCAATGGTGTTCAAGTGGTGCTCCAGTTGTTTTGTGATTGCACCCAAGGCGCCTATTACTATTGGTACTACCCTTGCTTGCTTTTGCCACAGTCTTTCTATTTCTATTTGTAGGTCTTTGTATTTTGTTGTTGTTGTTGCAATATATGCACCCATACACAAATTGAGTGTGTATGACTTTATGTAAGAGAGAAAGACTGTGAACAAGCACAAGAGTAGGGTAGGGTATAAGATAGGATCCTATGATTTTTATTAAGTATTAATGCTACACAGGCAGCCCTCAACTTACAACAGTTCATTCAGTGACTGTCTAAAGTTACAGTGGCACTGAAAAAGGTTGGCTTATAACCATTGTTCACACTTAACAACCGTTGTAGCTTCCTCACGGTCACGTGATCAAAATTCAGGCGTTTGGCAACTGGTTCATACTTACGACCGTTGCTGTGTCCCGGGATCACGTGATCCTCCTTGGCGACCTTCTGACATGCAACGTCAAGGGGGGGGGGGACAGCCAGATTCACTTAACAACCGGGTTACTAACTTAGCAACTGCCGGGATTTACTTAAGTGTGGCAAGAAAGGTCGTAAAATGAGGCAAAATGCACTTAACCATTTTGTTTAGCAACAGAAATTTTGGGCTCCATTGTGGTCGTAAGTAGAGGAGTACCTGTATTATATAACTAATACAGGTAGCTGCAGACCTAAGGACATGTTAGTACTATAAATGAGTAGTTGTTGTAGGAAAACAAGAAGGGGAAGCTTGTTTTCTGGCAAATGTTTTATTACCCAAACCAGATAACATACATCAGTGCTAGTAAGGAGTCCTTACTAGCACTGATGTTACCTCCTTTGAGTAATGAAATATCTGCCAGAAAACCCCCAAGCTCAGAGAGCACCAAGGACCCCTCTTTTCAACCTCGAACTACAAATATTCTCCTTTATAGGAAAGGTTATCTATGCCACCTTGCGCTATACAAAATGAAGGCAAGGTAGAGGATAGATAAATGACCTTTACTACTTCCTTAGGTGCTTGATTTCTTTGTTTCCCCCCCCCCTTCCTTTCAAACAGTATAGTTGCATTTTAACACCATCCCTCTAAATTTACATGGGTGAGAGAAAGTTGGTGAATCCTTTAGACCAGTATTTTTCAACCTTACCAACTTAGCAAAAGTGCGTATAGTCAAGGCTATTTTCCCAGTTGCAATGTATGGCTGCGAAAGTTGGACCATAAGAAAGGCTGAGCGCCAAAGAATTGAGGCCTTTGAACTCTGGTGCTGGAGAAGACTCCTGCAAGTCCCCTGGACCGCAAGGCGATCCAACCGGTCAGTCCTAGAGGAGATCAACCCCGACTGCTCTTTAGAAGGCCAGATCCTGAAATTGAAACTCAAGTACTTTGGCCACCTAATGAGAAGGAAGGACTCCCTGGAGAAAAGCCTGATGCTGGGGAAGATAGAGGGCAAGAGAAGAAGGGGACGACGGAGAATGAGGTGGCTGGATGGAGTCCCTGAAGCAGCAGGCGTGAGCTTAAATGGACTCCAAATGATGGCAGAGGACAGGAAGGCCTGGAGGAACATTGTCCATGGGGTTGTGATGGGTCGGACATGACTTGGCAACTAACAGCAAGCAACTTTTAAGATATGTGGTCAAAGAAAGTTCAGTTGCCTCTTGAAAAAGCACCTTTGGGATGCTTCCAATAGAGTTACTCTATCGTACCCAGGAGGACACAAGAAACCAACTACAGAGGAGCAGAAACATTCAACATTGGTTCTGAAAATATCCAGGTGCCAAACACACATGCAGTCAAGGAAACATCAAGCTCTGAATGCAGGTGAGCTTGCTGTAAGATTGCTTCTCCCCCCCCCTTTCCAGCTAATGCCTTACCTTGATCTTGGTAAAGATGAGGCGAAGGTGGTGGTGGATGCTGATGAATGAACTGGGGCGGGATTTCTCCCGTTCCTGGAACCGGAGGGTACACGGGATGAGGGGGGTGGGGAAGCAAAGCGGGGTGGGGATGAATGTAATGGGGCACATGTGGAGGAGGGGGATGCATGGAAGGGTGAAATTCAGTCGAGTGCGGCATAACTATGACCTTCCGAACACCATTCTCTTCAACCACCTGCAATAGAAAATGAAAAAGTGCTAAATGAAGAGAAGGACGAGGGGCGACAGTGTTCCAATATCTCAGGGGCTGCCCCAAAGAAGAGGGAGTCAAGCTATTCTCCAGAGCCCCTGAAGGCAGGACAAGAAGCAACAAAGGATGGAAACTAGTCAAGGAGAGAAGCAACCTAGAACTAAGGAGAAACTTCCTGACAGTTAGAACAATTAACCAGTGGAACAACCTGCCTCCAGAAGCGGTGAATGCTCCAACACTGGAAGTTTTTAAGAACAGACTAGACAGCCATTTGTCTGAAATGGTATAGGGTGTCCTGCCTGAGCAGGGGGTTGGACTACATAACGTATTGTTTTAATTTGGGGCTTTAGGCACCAAACATTAAACATACACACAAAGAGATCGTCCCAAATGCAAACTGTTAATCATTCCTCAAATTAACATATAGAGGGAACAGGACCTAACAACACCCCAAGTAAGATGCAGGCAACCTTCAATTTTTTTTTTTGCCATCTCTTAACCTTAAATATTTAAGTCGGGGAGAGGGAGGGCGGGGAAATGAAACACAAACCAAAAATCCAGATTTATTTATTTTTAATCTAAGTGTACTTATTAGTTTTCGCTAACCTGGAACCCTTCAACTGAGCTGGGATTGCAACTTCCTAGAATGGACAATGCCATTAAATAATGCTGCAGAAAGCTGCTATAAACTAATGCACTATTGCGACTTTGTCAGCTACAGCTAAAGATTACTGATTACAAATTCTGGGAACTGCTGTCTGGTTCTGGGAAAGAAGAGATAAATTTTGGAAAAGACAAGATTAATTCAATTGTGCATCTTATACAAGTAGGTAAGCAAAGAGTAGGAGGTTATGTATTTGGTGTGGTTTATCATAAGCCCAAAGTGGAAGTAAGGGATGAATTATAAACTCAAAAGTAAGTGCGCTGCTGGCATCTAACACAGTAATATCAAAATGATTCTTAAACAATTGACTGAAAGTATCTTACTGCCTAGAAAAATCTAGGCAGCTTATGTCTGGGACAAACAATGTCATAACTGACTAACCAAATATTTTATCCTTTGATAAATTATTCTGCTTGAAGCTTGTTTAAATGGGCCAGCCTATTCTAACATTTCCTAGTCAGCTAAACAAGATCTGGAGGAAGTCTGACATCATTCAGTATTCTAAGCATGTACACAACCATAGCTTCCCAATTCAAGTCAAGTCAGATTAGATGGGAAACCATTCTCTTCTAAAGGAAAAAAAATGGTTCCAGGTCACTGACTGTTGGAAATGCGATTTGCAGACCACATTATAATTTAACTTATGGCTACCCTATAGCAACATTTAAAAACATGACTCATAAAGCAAAGTCATCCACAGTGAAAAGTATTCACATAAGATGCAATCCTTGACCAGAATGGTTTTGCTCTCATAAGGCTTTCACCCAACCAAATAATTTTTCTCTACTAAAGCGAAAGCAGCAGACTTTTCTTGAATAGAATAGAATAGAATAAGAAATAGAATAGAAATAGGATAGGATAGGAGCTGGAAGGGACTTTGGAGGTCTTCTAGTCCAGCCCCCTGCTCAAGCAGGAGAACCTGTACCATCTCAGACAAGTGACTGTCTAATCTCCTCTTTAAAACCTCCAGTGACGGAGCGCCCACAATTTCTGGTGGCAAGCTGTTCCACTGGTTGATTGTTCTCACTGTCAGGAAGTTTCTCCTTAACTCAAGGTTGCTTTTCTCTTTGATCAGTTTCCAGCCATTGTTTCTCATCCTTCCCTCTGGTGCTTTGGTGAACAACCTGCCCCCCCCCTTCTTCCTTGTGGCAGTCCCTCGGATACTGGAACACTGCTATCGTGTCTCCCCTATTTCTTCTTTTCTTTAGACTAGCCAAACCCACATCCTGTTCTTCGTATGTTTTAGTCTCCAGGCCTTGGATCATCTTAGTTGCTCTTCTCTGAATTTTTTCCAAACTAATTCAGAATTAGAAGAGTTAAACCTCAACAAAAACAGGGGCTGCTAACATAGCCATTATACTGCAGTCAACGAATTACAGACAGGGACCTGGGGGCTTCAGATCCTGCTGCCTTGCAAATGGCAACTGTAACCAACAAAAATCAATCAAAATAAGGAAAATAGCAAAAGTTCCATGAGATTTCAGTAATCCCTCGCCAAAGTCCTAAAATTTTGACCTTCCGGTCCGAGAACTTGCAAAGTTCTAGGATGAGACTATCAACACTGTATAATGTTATGAAATTTCAAATGGAATTGTTTGGCAGAAGGTATTTGAGCTATTTCATAAGATTTTGGACAGTGTCTGAAGCCTAAAAAGCTTGCCAATTCCTAAACTGGAAGTCTCAGATGCCCTCCTCTTCATCTGCCTAACATTACGTTTTATAAGAGGAGTCTAACCTCATAGAAAATAAGCCTGTAAGTGTTCTTGAGAAAATGCTAAGATTTCTCCTCAGTTAACTTAGTTTATTTCCTGCTTAATAAAACGCACATTGACTTTGGGATGAAGGATGACTTTGCAGCTTCTCAACCTTGATTTCTCAGAATATCTAGCCAATTCTGGGGTTTCCAAATAAGGACAGGCTAATTGGCTATCGTGGAAAAAAAACAACGAGAAAGATGAATCAGCAGAAGATATGAACCACTTCAAGTTCCTGTTAGCTGATGCCTTGATCTCGTTATACAGGCAAAAGGAGAAAATATTTTTTCGTGGGGATTTTTTGTTCGTCTAACTAACCATGAACATTGTGATTCTGATGAGCATGGAACATTACAAAGCTGATCCTGAAGTTCAAGGCCTTCTCAAAGATTCCTTTTGAGATTCAAAAGGAGATGATAAGCAGGCTCCAGAATTGTCTGATTCAGCTCTGCTGAAGTCCAACATTCAGAGAAGAATGCTTCTGAGTCATTCAGGCCAATCAGAAGTTCCACCAAAGCTACAAATGTTCAAGGGCTAATGTCCTGGACAACAGCAGTGGAAGAGTCACAGAAGAATCTAAGACAGGGGGTCTTCAAACCTGGCCCTTTTATGACTTGTGGACTTCAAATTCCAGAATTCCTCAGCCAGGCACTGCCTGGCTGAGGAATTCTGGAAGTTGAAGTCCACAAGTCATAAAAGGGCCAAGTTTGAAGACCCCTGATCTAAGAAATATGAAGTAATCAGGCACTGCTGTCTACAGTTCTTGCCAACACCAAGGAACAATTCTATACAAAGTTTTAGGGAAACCTGAACTTACAAACGGCATTAAAAAGGCATGTGAAATGCTGAATATAAAAAGAAAGGTAACTTTTCAGAGGATAGTCCATTCTTTAAAGCACCAGTGTAGTTGCTATTCTTGTACCAAAAGATAAGACTGCTGCTGAAAGGGCTACTGCTGTTATGGCCAACACATTAAACAGAAGAACAGAACATCAACTGAACATCTAAAAACATCTGGCACTCTGAAATCATGGGTGATTAAACAGTTGAGTGCAATGATGAATCTCTCTCTTGTTTTCCTTTTTTCTGACCAGGCTTATTAACAATCTCAACAAGAACACTGGCTTTGGGGAAACAATATAAAATACACCCTACTTCAGTTTTTAGCGGAGGCTCTTGACAAACACTTGGTTTTGAACTGGTGGCCAAACTAAGCTTCAGATGTTGAACTACTATCAAACAAGCATGAAAAACCTGTCCCCATCTCATTTATTCTTCAAGTTTTCAGCCATTCTCATTTATACTCTTTCATAAAACCTCTCGAGCGTGAACTACGGTGTGGTGTATCTGGATCAATGTTTTCAAATTCAGCATTAAAGCTGACCTTACATTTTACAGCTAACCATGGTACATGTCTAGAGGGAACTGAAGAAGCTTCTTGGACGTGAAGCGAAACTTCTTCAAGCAAAAACAAAGAAAGTCTCGTTGCTTTTTGAAAAAGCACCCTTGGGATAACCGTTGTACACATATTGTTCTGCTGTTTGTCATTTAAAAAGAATAAATTACAATTTATAAGGCATAGGGAGAACAAGAACGCATAGGTCAGATAAAATCCTCCTGATTTCTAATATATCATGATCGTTCAAGCCGTTTCTCTAACATCTGGCTATGGCTGAGAAAGCATACAGTACTACTAAAGACTGATGTAGTATTTGGATCACTATCCTCAAACTGACCACAGGCTATTTTAGGCCCAAATGCATGGCTGTGTTTTAGCTGCGGATTTGAGATTTTAAAAGAATCAGCTGTTTATTAGTAATTTAAGCGACAATGGACAGAGTTTTCTGCCTCTACTGTTCTCAACCCTACAGGCTGCTGACCCAAAACTTTCTAAACTTCCTTGCTATAAAACCTGGGTTTTCCTTGCCTAGGAGGCTTTATATTTGCCATCTGATTTTGGGGTTCATAGTCCACCACATGCTTAATTTGTATCCTGTACAAGACAGTCTCCTTAGTTATTGGGTTGCACGTCCACTTTAGGATTATGAGAAATTATGGGAACCTAAAAGTGACCAATGAGATGAGATAAAGGAAAAAGAGGAGATATTCAGTTCTTTTCTCCACGTGTCACCCTTGTTACCTTTAGGGATTATAAGGTGGGGAAAACTTCCCGTCGCTCACATGGGAAACCTCTCTTTTATAAAAATGTTCAAAGGATCGGAATGATTACCTGAGAGACATAGCCAGGAGGCACAAATATTGGAGGGACAGAACCATTTGGTGACATCATAGGAACATGTGCTGGACCTGAAACGAAACCAAGCAACACTAATTCATGACTCCTTGCAGAGTACGAAAACCAAGGACATTCACAGTTTATTCGACAGACACACTCATCGAATAGGCCATCGTGCGTAGCCCATCCACTTCATCCTTCCCTCAAACTATTTAGCAAAAATGGGGAACGAGGCCGAATGCAGAAGGATACGAGTTTTTGGGTTCGGTCTCTCAACCTTAGCAACTTTTAAGATGCGTGGACTTCCAACTCCCCCCCAACAATCCCCAGCCAGCTTGGAAAAACTGTCCTTTGCTATTGAAAATCTCAGTGAAAGAGCCAAGTTCAGGCACTTTTTTTTTTAAAGACCTCCAGAAAAATGCTCAAAAATATCAGAGGGGTCAAAGAGGCCAGCTAAGTCAAAACTGAACAGCCTTCTCTCAACAGAGGGGGAAGGATATGACATCATCTATCTCTAGTCTACAGCACAGTCTTTTCAACAGTTCCAGGAAGGCTCCACATCCATTTTGCACTACTCGGGTGACCCTGATGACATAGATAGGTGGCCTCAAGAACTCTCTAAAAATATGTAAATGACAGCTGTCTGCAAGGAGTATAAATCCTTTCATTCCATACCATCCAGCCAGAGCTGAAGAAGCTTCTTGGATGAGAAGCGAAACATCTTCAAAGAAAAACAAGGAAGTCCAGTTGCCTTGTGAAAAAGCATCTTTGAGACAACTGTAATCTGGATGACTGAGAATCTCCATAGACGCTCAAAAATCTAATGCAGAAAACTACTGATCAACAAAGATATTCATCTTATAAGACTTCTTTAAAGTCAAGTGCTTTATAAAGACTGAGGCTGGCCCAAGAGGCATTAAAAAATTACAGGGGACTCTTGCACTCAATCTGTTTGATGATGCCACAGATTGCTTTTGGGGTTTGCAAGAAAGATAAGGCAATTTGAAGGACAGCCTCCCGAGAAAAGTCTTTATTTCTGTCACTTTCTGACTAAGTATTATTTAAACTGAACATCTCTAGAAGCAATACCAAGTAGGTAATGGCTATACTTTGACTCTGGCTTGGAAACTTTGGAAAAAATGTCTTCTCCAGCTGCCCTCTTTCTGCATTTTGGTGGATCAATAGCTGGTAGTAGCTCACAATGTTTAGGCGCCAAAGAAACAAGGCCTCCGATTCCTTCTCATCTGATATATTCTACATCACCCATGCTAGACAAAAAAAAAAGCAAGAGCTTTTTCATTGGGTGGTAGAGAAGTTTTATATCAAACTTGTTTTGTTCCCTAATTGTGGGAGACTTTCTAGGAACAGAATAGTGGTCTTTGACTTGAGATAAAAAGAAAACAAGAGGTTTTGTTCTACTTTTTCTGATGTTTCAATCCACGGCCTGAGAAAGTAAAGACTCTTATAGCCTTCCCATTTTCTCTTATCCTATCAGAAACTGTCCGAGAACAGGGATCATGGAAAAATGTCCAGTAAAATATCCCCTTATGACATCAGACTGAATAAGTTTTGATCACGTTCGGCTTATGACCTTTCAAAATGCAGAAGCTGAGAAAAGTTTTCACAGAACGACACTGTGATTTTAAGATGTTTACCAAAAGCCTTCATTTTCCCTTGCGGCTTATTATTTGACCCTTAACAATAGATTTGACTTCTTTGTTCTATAAATACTCTAGAATCTAGAGAGATGGCCAGCCCTTTACTGTGGTTATGATGTGCAGGAAAGGGGTTGGCCAATGGTCAACCCTAACCTGGACGTGACTCAATAACCTTCAACTTTCCTCAATCTGAGTTCCTTCTAAATCAGTGTTTCTCAACCTTGACAATTTTAAGGCATGTGGACTTCAACTCCCAGAAGTCCACAGCCAGCAATGCTCGCTGTGGAATTCTGGGAGTTGAAGTCCACATGCCTTAAAATTGTCAAGGTTGAGAAACACTGTTCTAAATGTATGGTCTTCAACCTTCAAAATTCTCAGAAGTGGAATTCAGAGGAATTCTTGCTATTGGAGTCTAGATATCTAGGAAGGTGGTTTTCTGAAACTGCAGAACTATGATAAAGTCCTCTAGCCACCTTAATAGGCATGCAGTATCTGATTTCAGTAATTTCAGAGTATACCCTTGTGGCTGTCAAAGCAAGAATATACAGTAGTTGCAGCATTGACAGTGGCACTGTTTACCTTGAATACACTGTATATGTCCATCTTCAGTTCTTATTGTGAACGTCTCTCCTGGGTTTACTTGCACAAGAATAACCTAGAAATATGAATATAAGTCCTATTTTAAACTTCATCTGAAAGCAACATATACCTTTACAAAACTAAACATATCAGATTAGAAATATCAGTGATAATAATCAGTAAAAATCAAACTGAACTTATATATGCATTTTTTAAACCTTTTAATTGGGCATACAATACAAAATTGATCCAGATGTGAAAATAAATCCAGCAAATTAAAGAGAATCACTTCTCCGCTACACTTACAATAATTCTTTCCTCCAGATAACATATAGTATTGGAGAAAATTTTGTTTCTCCATTATTCTTAAATCATTAAATCACATAAAAACAATTATACAGAAAAAAAGATATTTCTAATCCAAGTTTGGCTGTTTCCCTGAAATGAAAATTGAGATGTGTCCATTTTTATTCAGTGTTATTACAGCTCACTGAAGCAAATGTTTTCCTGCTATTCTGATCCGAATGTTCCTTTGGTAGACAGTTTTTCTTAGACTTTGCATCTTGACACCAGCCTGTCGATAAGGAACACTTTTTTTAACTGATTAAAAATCAAAATGGCTGGCTGCTTCCAGACTAAACAATTCTGAGGTTATTTTACTTAGAGATGGTCACAATTCTAAGTATAAAATCAAAAGGCTCTTTTGGTCTTTTAATTTGAGAAATACTGTAATAATAAGCTGTACACTCCCACAAAATGAAAACAGGCCAAGTTGGTTAGGAATAGGAATAGGAATTAGAATAGAATAGAATAGAATAGAATAGAATAGAATAGAATAGAATAGAATAGAATAGAATAGAATAGAATAGGAATAAAATAGAGCTGGAAGGGACCTTGGAGGTCTTCTAGTCCAGCCCCCTGCTCAAGCAGGAGAACCTATACCATCTCAGACAAGTGACTGTCTAATCTCTTCTTAAAAACCTCCAGTGACGAAGCACCCACAATTTCTGGAGGCAAGCTGTTCCACTGGTTAATTGTCCTCACTGTTAGGAAGTTTCTCCTTAATTCCAGGTTGCTTTTCTCTTTGGTCAGTTTCCAACCATTGTTTCTCGTCCTGCACTCTGGTGCTTTGGAGAATAACTTGACCCCCTCTTCTTTGTGGCAGCCCCTCAAATACTGGAATACTGCTATCATGTCACCCCTATTTCTTCTTTTCTTTAGACTAGCCAAACCCAAGTCCTGCAGCCGTTCTTCATATGTTTTAGTCTCCAGGCCTTGGATCATTTTAGTTGCTCTTCTCTGAACATTTTCCCAAAGTCTCAACATCTTTTTTGCAGTATAGTAACCAAAATTGGTTGCAGTATTCCAGGTGTGGTCTCACCAGGGTTTTATAAAGCGCTATTAATACTTCACGTGATCTTGATTTATATGTAGATTTATATGTAGAATAGATAATATAAAGGGGAAAATTCAATAATGACCTAATACTAGAGTAGCCAAGCCTTTTGCTTCTTACTGAGAAGACTTTTTTCCCTCCTAATAGCTGCAAGATTATTGGTGCGGCAATATTGGAAGAAAAACTCATTGCCTACCTTGGAAGAATGGATACTTAAGGTGTCTAATTTAGCAGAAATGGTGAAAATCGCCTATTTGAGGATTATTCACAAGAAAAATATATTATGGTTTGGAGAAGATGGATTGACTATATTCAAAAGAAATATGAAACTGAAAAGTATTATCTTGCATACAAGTAGATTTTAGATAATTATTAATAGTTTTAATTATATTTTTTTTAATTTTTAATTTGTTAATATTTGCTTTGAAAAGGAGTTAAAGAGTGTTATGGTTTTGATTGATAGTATAGTTGGTTAATGTTACTTAGATTATGTTTACTTGTTACCCTGTAATCAGCTCTGGGAAGTGGGGGAGGGTGGGAGGGGGTGGGAGGGGTTTATATTGTATTAAATTTGTAAAACTTTTAATTAAAAAAAAGAAAAAAAAAAGAAATCAAACATGCCATATTTTTCAAAACTCCTGACCCGGTTTCCCAAGGCTGAATTGGTTAAATATTTTAGATTGTAATAGAAGGCTTTCTGAGACAAGTTAAGGCTCCCTTCTGACCAAGGAGAGGTACATTTTTATCTCAACTCGTTTCATTAAAAGGTCATGTGTTTACTATCTAGGACATAATATTCTGGTGGCTGTATCTCTGCAGGTCAAAGGGAGATAATGTCTCATTAAACAACCTTCAGAAGGCTGTATTTTATCTGCAGCCCTTCTAGCAAAAAGTTCTGGGGGGAAAAAAATTGGCAAGAAAGATGTGGTATCCAGAAGGGCTTTTGGGAAGAAGCGTGCAAAGATGCTTACCTTCGCGTTCATTTCCACAGGAGAAAAGATATTGATTCTGCAGGTTTGGCTTTTAAATTGCCCTGTGTTTAGAACTGTTTTGCAAGCTTTAAAATGCCAGAGAGCTCACACTGAAGCTTCAAAATAGATCAGAATAGGCTTACAACAAGGTGAAAGTGATTATTAAACGTCAGCTAATTTGGATTTCTATAGTTGCGTCTTAACAACTGAACATTTACAAGGCTACTGATAACCTGGATCATGGAAAATAAAACAAAACTTTCAAGGGCTCCCTCACCCAGAAACATAGACAAGAAGTTTAAAAACATGCCGGTCAATGTGGAGCCAACGGGGGGGGGGGTGGGGGGGGGTGGGGGGGAGTTTTCCTGAAGTTTTATTTGCGAATGATAACTCTGGTCGTGCAGTCCTTGAATTAATCTAATAAAACCTTCAGGGCATCTAAAATGTTCAGATCCTTCATAGATTTTCAACTGCACTGGAATGCATTGCTTAGAACAGGGCTTTTCAACCTTTTCACCCATTGTACCACTTTTAGGATATGGCAACATCCGAGTACCACCAGTCGCCTAGCAAGGGGTCAAAAACTTGACCCCCCCCCCCAAAAAAGGAAAAAAGTGATATAAAGTACAGGTAGTCCTCGACTTACAACAGTTCGCTTAGTGACTGTTCGAAGTTACAACGGCACTGAAAAAAGTGCCCCCCAAGCCACAGCCGAGCAAGACACCTGCCTGCCTGCCCGGTGGCGCTCTTCCTCCTGTCCGAGGTTTCCATTGTTGTGAGCATTTCTGCTGAGGATTGGCAGTGGGGGTGGGGTGAGGGGTGTTTGGTTTTTATTCCCCCCGTCTGCTGGGTGGTTGCAGCAGGTTTTCGTCACTTCACATGACCCTGGGACAATGTGACCCTCATAAATATGAATCAGTTGCCAAGCATCTGAATGTAAATCACAAGACCCTGGAGAAGCTGCAACGTTCCAGCTGATCGGCGCTTCTTCTGGGCTCAGCAGAAGCACCAGGATCAGCGCCAAGCTCCAGCTAGAGCCTGGCGCTGATCCTGGCATTTCCGCTGAGCCCTGACAGCCCTGCAGCTCCAGCCGTCTCTCGGTCAAGCTTATGCGGTGCTACCACCGGTTCAGCTCATTCCTCTCCCCCGCTACCACTTTTCTAGGATGTTCGCGTACCACCTGCCAGGTGCCAATGTGCCACAGGTGGTACCCGTACCACTGGTTGAAAAGCCCTAGCTTAGAAAACTCTCGCATTTCTTGTAATATTTATTTCAAACCAATTAGCTGGGAAGTAGCTCTGAGCACTTTCCAAGCTAATGCTGTGAATGCGCATAGAGCTTCTTTTGTGCCATTTTTTAACATTAGTGCTGAATCACGCACCTGATTTACATAAATCAATGTATCTTTTCCTTTAAAGGGGACCAATATATTTGATCCTACAAGAATTGATAATCATATAAACAAAAGGGACTCTCGGTTCCATGCAACCATCTTTTTTTTAAACAGTTCTAGGAAGTTCAAATCTGCAACACGGCTTCCAAAAAATCTACTAGAGGAAAAATCCTCTGGGCATCCTTAAAGCAAGGTCTGGGATCTAAATTCTTGCATTAGATTATAAAAGTAATCTTAGTTGAGGATCTTCAGGTTATTACCTCTTACCGTAAACGCTATTATTAAAACCGATTCAACAGATAGAAGGAAATATATCAGCACTCCATTGCCCAATGCAATTCACAGCATGGATGCTTTAGATTTGCATGTATGGGAGATTCTGTATGTATCTAGACAGAAATACCCATTTTACATCTGGCATAAACAGCTTCATATATTTTCAGTTCCTTAAACTAACACTCATCGTTTTAGAAAAATCACATGACGATGTGATTCTTCCTGTCCTTGATACACTCAATTTATAAAACAGAACATTCTCGATTTTAGGTCAATAGTTCAATTATAGCAATGACAGACTTCTACAGAATGATCATTTCCCCACTGTTTTTAAATTACAATTATATCTGATTGCCATCTAGTTAATTTTTCAGAGTTAACAAGCACACAGCGGAGGAATGAAACCAACACTATTATGCATATTGACAATGATCTTGGACCTTGGAACTTGTTATCCAATTTTAATAAAAAATCAATTGTGTTCCAAAGATTACAAAGATATTCTCTCGTATGTTAAGTCATGGCTTGCTTAAATATCCTTTGCTCAATAAACCATGATTAGAGGAGCTTAATCATGGGTAAGTCATTATCTACAAACTAAACCGGCACAGAAGATGTGATCCCCTCTAAGCATTCGCAGAAGAGAACAGTCTGGAGATTCCCATTTTATGCAGATTCACTTACCTGTTGGGTGGTGTCCCCATTGACCATATGAGGTAGAAGTGGCACTTCATTCAAAATAGGTGTGGCTTCTAATGGAGGTGGCTGGTCTGCCATCATAAGTGAAAGGACTGTTCATCAATGGTTTTTCTCAGATCAACTACCTGGCAAAACAGAAATGCCGTTTCAGATGTCAACAAGTTTTTATTATGATACAGAATGAATTATCTCTGGGGCTTTGGGCTCTGAAAAAATCATCCACCTACTCAGAAAAATCCCAAAGCAAAAGGTCAAACACCAGCAGAAGAAAAAGACCAACATCTATCTTACTGGCAACATCCAGCATAGAACAAGTGTCAGCGTCCTTGCCTGGATATTAAAGATGCTGGCGCCTAGATTTTCCCCTACTTTAATCACAGCGTCTTCACTGACAGCAAGGATGCTGAATTCTTTCCAGAGTTTATGCAGAAAACTGGTACTCATTTCACTTGGTACCCTTCAATTTTGTCAGTGGTGCAATAAAAAAAGTCATTTTCCAAAAGCCACCCCCTTTATCAAGAATGTGCTCAGTTCCTAAGACTCTTCTTTTAATAAAACCTATTTCAACCTTCCACTAGCATATTGGAGGGAAAAAAAAAAAAAACATCCAGCACAAATCAAGGAGAGCCCTCTGGGAGTTAAAGAAGCATTCAAATTACTGGTTTAAAAATATAACCGGCTGTGAAAAACATGCCTGAAACATTTGAGATACAGGTGGCAGTTTGCAGGACTGAATGGCAAAGTCAGATGGTATGCGGTCTCTATTTCCATATTTGAGGTTTCTAGCACATTATACGGCACTCCTGTTTGAAGAAGCCTTTTCTAAAAAGCAAATGATTTGTTGGACACATAAGAGAAAAGAGAAAAATAGGTTGCAGCATTATTTATTTAGATTTATAGCATGGTTTCTTACCAGCCTCTGGAGTTATTACAAGCTCTATAGAGTCTTCACCATATGAGAGAAAGGGAGAAGTGCACTGCAAAGACTGGGAGCAGATAAGCAATTTACAAGAATTTAATCAGATTTTTAAAAAAAATACAACGTCAAGGTTTCCAACAACCTTTCCAGAACAAAATTTAGACATAAGGGTTTTCCACTGCTTCAAAAACATTATTATATTTGGATCTCGCATCCAAAGACAAAGAATACAGTCTGTTGCAAGCCTCATCTCAGCCACAGGCAGATCCGTGTGTGAGGTCGTTAGTGCTCTCTGAGCTGGGTTGTTTTCTTGTAGACATTTCACGACCCAACTAAGTAACATCATCAGTGCTTGGCCTGTGTGTATTGTATGACATCTTTTCCAAAAAGATTCAAGACAGCTATTGGTGTCAAAATACAACACCAATGCAAATACTCAAGTATACATAAAAATATTTTTAAAAAAAATACTGGGGGGAAATGTACCACGCACCCACATTATCACCTTCACACTCTCCCCCGGGGCAAAGCAGAACAGGTAGGATTTTTAACACTTCAAAGCTGACCAGACTGTTACTTTGGGAGAGAGGGGGCAAAAAATGAGGGCAGCTGAAAACTGACTCCTAGCCACAGTTGCTACCTGCTCTTTAAATATAAGAGAACCCCAAATTACAGACCATCCCCAGGTGAGATAGTGTAACTCAAAGAAGAGGGGGTCAACCTATTCTAGAATAGGTCGACCTAGAATAGGTGGTACCTAGCTCAACAGGAGTAACTGCGAGAGGGATCTTAGACTCCTAATGGACAATCACTTAGATATGAGCCAGCAGTGTGCTATAGCAGCCAAAAAGGCCAATGCAACCCTAGGCTGCATTAATAGGATAGAATCAAGATCACATGAAGTGTTAATACCACTTTATAAGGCCTTGATAAGACCACACTTGGAATACTGCATCCAGCTTTGGTCGCCACAATATAAAAATGTATTTAGACTCTAGAAAGTGTGCAGAGAAGAGCAACAAAGATGATTAGGGGACTGGATGATAAAACAGACAAAGAATGGTTGCAGAAATTGGATATGTCTCGTTTAATGAAAAGAAGGATTACAGGTGATATGATAGCAGTCCTCCAATATCTCGGGGGTTGCCACAAAAAAGAGGGGGTCAAACCTATTCTCCAAAGCACCCGAAGGCAGGACAAGAAGCAATGGATGGAAACTAATCAAGGAGAGAATCAATCTAGAACTAAGGAGAAATTTCCTGACAGTCAGAATGACTTGTCTTCAGGGACTTGTGGGTGCTTCAACACTGAAGGTTTTTAAGAAGAGACTGGACAACCATTTGTCTGAAATGGTATATGGTTTCCTGCCTGAGCAGAGGGTTGGACTAGAAGACCTCCAAGGTCCCTTCCAACTCTGTTATTCTGTTATTCTACTCAAAGGAAAAGATGGAATTTCCCTAGAATCATTAGAGCTACAAAGCCTTTCTAAATGGCCTCTGTTGGAGTCTGTTCCTCCCCATTCTGACTAGATGCACTCCAAGTGCTGGATCAGTGCTTTCATTTTGCCAAGGGTTGAGATGTACAGGTGGATATAATAAACTTTTTGATGATACTAAATCTCATATCAGACACTATTTCATCTGTCCTCTCCCGCTACCACCCATTGGAACCGTTCCTTCAAGGAGATGGAGAACATTGCAAGACCCATTCCAAATTCTTGAAGATGGCCCTCAGGATACCACTTCACTGCAGAACCCCTTTAAATACTTTTGTGGCCATAGACCATGGCTACGGATCACCAAGACTTAACTCAAGATTTCAATCAAAACATTTCTTCAAGCCTTTGTGGACTGGCTGTGAAAACATCGCGGCCACTCAGGGCTCTGTGGACCATAGTCAATGACATGGAAAGCTATTGAGAAATCAAGGACAACCAAGAGCATATACTCCTGGAGCAATCTCTCAACAGGTCACACCAAGATATGACCAAGGTAGTTTCCAGCCTGAAACCTGACCGCTACAGGTCCAAAAAAATCTGTTTCTTTTAAGACCGTTTGAAGACTTTTAGGTAAGCCACTGTCTTTCTGGATGCAGTTTCAAAATACTGTGATAATAAAGAGTGTGCCACAAATTAAGTATAGGATTAGTAACCAAAAATGATTTTCAATAATTAATAACAGAGTAACAGGACTCACTGGAGAAGAGCCTAATGCTGGGGAAGATGGAGGGCAATAGAAGAAAGGGATGACAGAGAAGGAGGTGGCTGGATGGGGCCACGGAAGCAGTAGGCGTGAGCTTAAATGGCCTCCAGAAGATGGTAGAGGACAGGAAGGCCTTGAAGAACCTTGTCCATGGGGTCGCAATGGGTCGGACACGACTTCGCAACTAACAACAACAACAGTGCCTCTAAGCTTAAGCAAAACACTTTCCCACTCACCATAGGTGTCACACTGATCCACTCACCACATTAAGAAGGGCTAATTATACAGATGGTGCCTCTCCCTACAAATTTGATCTCTTTCTAAAATTTAAAGAGATCCTTTTGGCAAGACCTACAGAGAACATGTTTTCAAAACAGGGTTAAAACATTCTGGAAGGTGCATCTTTCCTTCTCACTTGAGAAATGTACTCAACATACTTTTTTCCTTCGTTGCAGAAGGATCAGTTCACGATGGGTAATGATGCATATATATTTTTACTTTTTAGTCATCCTCCAAGCTTGTAGAGAAGGAGCTCCACAGCCCATAACCAAAATTTGATGCAGAAAGTGGAACTGAGAATGAGAGAGGGAGAGATGCAAAGCAGGAGGAATAAATAAATGAAGCAAGGCTGTGGGGAACTTCAAGGAATTTCTGAAATCACCCCGCCTGTGCTATCTTTTCCTATTAAGGAACTGCTTCTCGCTCTTCCTTCTAAAAAAAAATCAACTAGCAATCACATTGAAACTGCAGGAGCCGGTTGGAAATACTTTCCCACACAAACAGAAACTAAAACACAGACCAACTTCACCGAAAATATGAATACACTGTGGTCCACTTCTCTCCTTTAGCCTGTCAATAAGTCCCAAAGTATTTCCCAACAAAATAAAATGGCGGTGGGGGGCGGAGAGGGGGGTATGTCTAGTTTAATGAAGAGAAGGACGAGGGGGGAAAGGATAGCAATGATCCAATGTCTCAGGGGGGCTGCCCCAAAGAAGAGAGAGTCAAGCTATTCTCCAAAGCGCCTGAAGGCAGGACAAGAAGCAACGGGTGGAAACTGACCAAAGAGAGAAGCAACCTAGAACTAAGGAGAAACTTCCTGACAGTCAGAACAATTAACCAGTGGAACAACTTGCCTCCAGAAGTGGTGAATGCTCCAACACTGGAGGTTTTTAAGAAGAGACTGGACAGCCATTTGTCCGAAATGGTATAGGGTTTCCTGCCTGAGCAGGGGGTTGGACTAGATGACCTCCAAGGTCCCTTCCAACTTTACTATTATTATTATTACTATTAGATGCCAATCAGAGCAAAAAATCCTATTTTCTTCTCCAGGTAGCCCTCGACTTTCAACAGTTGATTTAGTGACCGTTCAAAGTTACAACGGCGCTGAAAAAAGTGACTTGTGACCATTTTTGACACTTAGGACCACTGCAGTATTCCCCACGGTCACATGATCAAAATTCAGCTGTTTGGCAACGGACTTGTGTTTGTGACAGTCGCAGCGTCCCGGGGTCACACGGTCAGCTTTTGTGACCTTCTGACAAGCAAAGCCAATGGGGAAGACAGATTCACTTAACAACCACGTTGCTAGCTTTAACAACTGCAGTGATTCACTTAACAACTGTGGCACAAAAGGTCTTAAGATCGGGCAAAATTCGCTTAACAAACGTTTCACTTAATAACAAAAGAGTGGGGCTCAATTGTGGCCGTAGGTCGACAGCTACCTGTATATTTCATGTCGGTCTGGCAATTTAAGTTTGTTTGTTTTTTTTTTTTTTTTTGCAGTAAAGCACCCTATTTCCTTGAGAATTCTTGGCACAATCCCCTACTTTAACGACAGCGAACCTTTTAGAGACTGAGTGCCTAAACTGCAACTCAAAACTCACTTATTTATCGCCGGGTGCCAGGTGGGCGTGGCCCACTGGATGGGCGTGGCTGTGGTGGTCATGGCAGATTGGGTGGGTGTGGCCAAGGTGGGCATGATCACCTCAATGTTGCTCAAGGGGAGGGACCCCTGTGGGAGCTGGGCAGGGTTGGGGGAGATCCAGGGGGTCTCTGGCAGGTGGGGCGGTGGGCAGGAGGCTTACGGGGTAAGGCGAGGCAAGGCAAGGCAGAGCAGGGGTGCCATTGTCATAGGGCAAAGTGAGGCGGGCCGGGCAGCTGTGGCCTGATACCATCAGCCCTGCACACAGAGACCAGCAAGTGCATGGGTGCTGGGATGCATCCGGCCACGTGGGACCTCGGCGAGTTAGCGGGCGGCTGGCTGAAGAGGGACAGTTGCCATCACCGGGGCATGGCATGTGTGCCCACAGAGAGGGCTCCGAGTGCCGCCTCTGGCACACGTGCCATAGGTTCGCCACCACTGCCCTACTTTGTCACCTCAGAGACTCTGGCAACTGAGTTTGATCAAAACTGGTAATATCAGCTCTCATTATAGAACTTTTAAAAGAACTGGGTGCCAAGGTATACAAAAGCAGTCACAGGCGCTTTGCAAAGGCTAAATATGATCCTTGTTCCCAGAATGCAACATTTCTCATAAACTTCAAAAATTGGCCTGTTTAAGATAAACTTAAATCACGGTTTATCAAAGTGCAAAACAAACGCTGCAACTGTCATAATGTAAAATTACTAAGATCTGGCAATTAATTGCTTATTTAAGCCCACACCAACAAGCTTCGAGTTTGCGCTCTGATTCTAAAGCAGTATGTGACCCCAAGAATATTTCCAGGAAAAAGAGGGGCGGGGGAAAAAAAAAAGAGGAATTGAAAGTGGGTAAGGAAGCAGATAGAAAGTTATAAGCTGCCTAGAATCACCTCTAAATGAGAAGGGGAAAGAAAGAAAGAAAGAAAGAAAGAAAGAAAGAAAGGAAGGAAGGAAGGAAGGAAGGAAGGAAGGAAGGAAGGAAGGAAGGAAGGAAGGAAGGAAGGAAGGAAGGAAGGAGTTCTTCAATACATATTTGGGATTTTTATTTGGGATTTTTTGTTTATCACAATAAACCCTGCCTCAAAGACAAAACTCCCAGTGGTTCGCAAGATAAGAATATACAATAAAATGTAAAACATAAACATGAGACAAATAAAATCCCCAACACAGTGTATGACATTAGGCTCCAAAGGTCCTTCAGAAAAGCTATTGGACACCATTAGAGACAGATAAATTTCCAACAACTCTGTCAATGAAAAACAATCTTTATATCATTGTTATATATGCTACCATCAAATAGGTGAAGCGCTCCTTCATTTGTGTATCTTGTGAGGTGTGGCTATTTCTGCTTTCTTAATGGCACTTAATATTTTACAAAGGATTTCTAACATTAATGCTTCATATATTGTATTTGTTGACAGATCTTGAACAAACATGTACATCAGTTTACCAAATATTCACCAGCTTACTAAGCACTAATCCACTATTAAATTTTGACGCCTGGGCTGTAACCCAAGCCTATTTGTAAATGTGACGGGGTGTGTGTGTGTGTGTGTGTGTGTGTGTGTGTGTGTGAGAGAGAGAGAGAGAGAGAGAGAGAGAGCG